CTCTCTAACAGCCCTAAAATCAAGCAAACCTAAAACCTCCATGAGGACTGCCTCCCCATGCCAAGACATTTGGGCGGTTGGCACAGTATGGCTCCCATTTCCTATATACGGTACTTTAAATGTACGGCCCGGACCAGTAGACAAAGCAGGTCTATCCAATGCCAGCAGGGTTCTACATAAACTCCACACCATGTCGATCTTTCCATCCAGAGGAGTGCTGGAAACGTTCCCAGAGTTATGGAAGGCTGAAGCCGCTCGTGATGACTTCACCCCGAGACGACCTAATTGGGGAACTGTCATGACATTACAGCTAAATCCTCCTTAAATAAAGCTTTGACTTTGAATCATGCTGTGAATTACATTTTACAGGAAAAGGCCTTTTGGGATTTTTTTTTTTTTTTTGATTAATAGTGTCAGAGGAGGTATTAAAAAATGAAGGGGGGCAGGGTTGTGGTGGATCTGTGAATGGGTAATCACATCTGCAATCCCAGGCCCTGCCACCTAATACTCACGGCAAGGTCCAAGGTAAACACAGCTGTGAAATGTCCTGAACGACTGCACAAATAATAAATCTGTACGGGTGCAGGAGGAGGCTGTCAGACTTTTTCCCTTTTACCCCGCTGTCCATCTATCCGTCTATCTGCCTGTTTGTCTGTCTGTCTTGCCGTTTTTCCCAGAGGGGATGGCAGCAGCACCCAGAATCTGGAATGCAGTGACTGTGTACGAATGAAAGACGGCGGCAAATCAAGATGGATGACAAAAAGAATGACAGCATGCACGCTTCGCAGTTTATTGTGGATTTGGCTTCGTCCATCCATCCACATTTTCTCTAAATTTGGACAAGCTGCTTTGTTTGGAGCACTGTGCAGCTAAGAAGTGTGATGAAACATTATACGACAGAATTCATTCATGTGAGGAGAATACAATGTCCTATTTTTAAATCTCCACTCTGCAGATGGAGGTAGTTTGTTTGATGGAGGCAAGAAGTACGAAGAAATATCATGTTACCTCTCCTAAAGAGAACTGTACACTGATAAAATTCAGAAAAAAAAAAACTCAGTCGTAGTTTCACATTAATATTCAAAAAGAGGAATGAATCAAATTATAAATATTCAAGGGGCAGTGTTTTTGTTATTATAACCTCAAATCCAAAACCTTTTCGACGTTTTGTCGTAAGGTGTTGAAAAAATGTTCAAAAATGTTTTTTTTTGTTTTTTTTTTTCAAATTTAAGAATAAGTCTTAAAAACTGACTTACATGTGATGTGTATTTTTTGGGGAAGTATGGTTCCTGGAATAGTCAGTAGACAATCTTAATCATTCAACTGTTTCCTTGGTGTTAAAAATGCAGACTGAAAATTAAGACAATCGACAAATCACAATTTAAATGGATGCCGATTTAAATCAAATCGGCATCCAAAAAATCATAGAAGAATTGAATCAGGAGAAAAGCATATCATCCCAGCCCTACTATTCATATAGTCTACCAAAACATGGCAGAATGTTGACTACCGAAAAGGACATTGACCATGTTTTATAGTGATATTTAGGGAAATCCATTTTCAAGAAAGTTATTGTTTTATCGCTCAGCCCTCATTAAGAATTAAGAAATGTAACACTTAGCTCTATGTTTTGGGTCTAAATGACTTCTTGGACTAAAAGGATACATGCAATGATGACCAATATTCATAAACTTATATTAAAGGTAGAATAACACCATACTAGACAGAGCTCATCACTTTAGCTCACTCTATTTCATGCAAATAATTTTGCAAGAGAAAGTTTTTTTAAGACTTTTTTGCTGTATGTGCTGCTTCAGATATTCCATTGGAAAAAAAATGAAAAAGCCCAGGTCCAGGTTCAGGTCCGGTTGCCAGAGCGTGAGAGTGTCCTCTGTCAGAAGCCTTTATGTTTGAGCAGCATACTGAGGCTGTCCTGAAGAAGAACTGTGGGAAAAATGGTGGGAGTTGTCAGTGAGGTAACTAATATGAGAAACAGCAGTTCTCTAAACATCAACACTGGTGAATGAGAGAGTCAAACAGGACACAAATCATATTACTAATGTAGGCGTCTAAAGCAGAGTATAGTATGTTACTTTGTTCTGTTGTTCTGTTCAAAAATGAAGCTGTCGTGAGTGTTTGTTAAACTAAATTTCTCATCCTACATTTCTTTTGGATGTCAAACATATCACTCGTTGAGAACATTTGCCATTGTAACTGCGACAGTGTTCATAGTTGATCCTGCAGTGTGTCCTGAATCACTTGTTTGGACAAATATCCCCCGCCACTGTTTGCTGTCATTAAAAATCACTATCTGGAAATAATTCATCTTTATTCTGATGACCTTATTTGCTTTTGTAGCTCACAAAGAGGCATCTATGACAACATTAGTCTGTTCTACAATCAGCTAAAATCTCTCCACAGGAGTTTTCAATGAGACGTTCTTGCCATTTTGAATGTAAGCGACCCTGACCCTTCAAAGTCTGTCTGTTGAAATCCTGTTTAATTATATTTAAGAAGTAACTCTCAAGTATCTCTGCTAACTCATATTAGTTTGTTTAGTGCAAAGGTTTTTATTGACGCCTGTTTGTTTGTTTGTTTGTTTTTTTCAGTTGCTCAGTTGCCGAACCATGACTCAAATATTCCTCAGAATAAAGAAAGTTCAGCATGGGGATCAATGTGCATACGGTTCATCATTACGGTAAGTTCAGGAGTCTGTTCTGCCAACTAAATGTAGAGTTTAATATGAGTAATGCAAGGTTGAGGGCTCAGCAACACTTACCTTATAACTGCATGATCAGATTGTTTTTGAATTAGTTAGTTTATCTCAGAATAATGAAGCATTATTTTTTTGTTTGGTTGTTTTGTTCTCAACACCTCAGGGTCACACGCTGTTGTCACCTGCTGCTATCAAAACCCTTAAGTCGTAGACCTACCACAGGTAAGTACTGTGTTTTATTTCTGATGGTATTTCCACACAAAAAAATCACTAATATTTATGATCATGATGAAATAAGATGTTCTGCTGACACTTATACCTCTTTTAAAAACAGATTAATTCATGTGCCATATCAGTAAGCACTTTAAAGGTCTTAATAAGTTTTTAACTGGACCCAAAAATGCTAAAACATTTTAAAACAAACTTATAACCTTAGTGTGGAAAATAAGTGAAAAAATGCAGAAAGTCTGCTTTTAAGACGAGTGTTTGTCTAAGCCTTTCTGTCATGTCTTTGTCACCAAAGTGTGGAAATCTCCTGGAGGGGATTAAAGGCAGGTGTAGGAACATTGACTTTGTCATCCCTTTAACTCGTGTTCTTCTTGTCAAGAGGTGTTGAATGTTTTCTGTCCTGAGGAGTGAGAGCATTCCCACTCAGACATCACAGACACCCAGAGTACCTACAGGACACATCAGCCACTGTCCATGTCAATAAAGTCACACGCAAACAGTGTTTTAAGATTGAGTTTGACCAAATGATATGCTAGCTTTCATCTCCGAAATATGCGGATAAACAAATGCCCAAGGGTAGTGCCATCTGGATCTCTTCAGCGTTCGCCAAAGTTTCTGACACTGAATAGTTGGAAAGGGAAGCAGAGGGCCCCAGCACTAAAAACTGAAGTGACATCCTTCAATTTGTCAGACATGCAATTATAATAATAAAAAAGAAAATAAAAACTGTATCATATTCTCCTCTTGCTCGGTAATACAGCCTTTAAGGGTTTAGAATAAAATACACCTCTCTTAGCCGAGAGCACGCTCCTCTATCTCAAGGGGATTAACACTTAAAGACAACAGAGCAAACCTACAAACAAATTCACTTCTGTCTCAACAATGCAGGATTCACCATGCAGGTACATTTAAAACAACAACAAGAGTGCATTGCCAAAATACACAGCTGTCCCTGCTGGCACGGGTTCATTAGCTCCATTTACATAAGTGATCTTACATCTATCACCTACAGGGGGTTCCTCAGCAGCAGCCTACTCCTGTCATGTTCTTCGCTGGAATTAAAGCTGCTACTGCTCTGCCAGACTCAGGGTTACAGCCTTTTTGGAAATAAAGGTGTAAACTTTGAACAGTTGGAGGAACTCGTCTCAGTATCTCTCTTTATTCTGTTTTTCTTCCACCCCTTCCTATTCTCTCTTGATTTTATTCCTCGCCTGAACTCTGACTTCACTTTAAATGACCCACTTTGTTATAATATCTGACACCACTGAATCCAAGTTATACTGTGCACTAGCCTGTTGATACTTCTTTGATGGTGTGACCTTTCCTTGCTACTGTGAATGAATCATGCAGGAGATTTTTTTTCCTAACTGTATGGTAAATGGTGATATCCCTGTGGCAGAGATTTGCCTGAATTTCTGGTCTGAGTCTGTGCGACTGCTCGTTTCATATAATGAAAGTTATAGAGGAGATTTAACCTTGCATAAGTGGAGTTGTTTCTAATAGGCTCACCTTCATGAAAGCAAGCGAAGCACATAACACTTGTATCATTCTTTGGGTTTTGCATTGGGAAAATGTGTCTTTTTTTAAAGCTGCCTCGGAGGATTAAAAAACTTCAGATATAGTTAAATGCACTCACTTCAGAGCGCAGGGTATGTGAGAAACTTGTTCTTAGCACAGCTACTGCATTTGTGATGTGAAAGAAATTGAAAGTGTGTGTATTCAAAAGTCTTAAAGTGAAGGGTCAGCAGAGTTGATTCCCATCTCGGTGCCAAAGAAGCATCTTGTTGGTCACGGCCACTATCAACATTTCGCTGCGCCTTTAAATGTACTTTCATTCTTGGTTTTGAGGACTTATGTGTGTGGGGGGCACTGTTGTGTTGATTGAGTCACATCCAGCAGTGCTGCTGTGGGTGCAAAACAGCCTCCGGTATTAGCATGTATAAACAGGCTTATAAATGGAGCACTATTTGGCTGTTCATTTTCATCCTCTTAACAGTAAACAAGGCGGAACAGGCCCTGACACCCTCAAATAAATGGAGACCAACGCACGCAAATTCAGCGGCAAGAGGAACCGAAGAGGCTTGTTTGAGTTAAGGTCAATCCTGTTTAGATTGCCTTGGTCGTTGTCCGTTTTTTTTTCCCCGGCATTTTGTTTGTTGAGCTTTTCTGCGAGGCAAATCATGTATTCATGTATTCTAAGACCTGATGTAATGAATGTGACTGTTTGCTTGTGCTGTGCGGCTGGTTTTTATGGTGAGGCATGGCTATGTGTGTCGAAGTGAGTATTTGGATTGGGAAGGTACAAAGGATACAGCACAGTGGGCACACTCATACAGATAGATGTTCTGGCTGAGCATTGTGGCGAAAGTTAAACAATACATCGTATATTCAGAGGGACGCACGTGAATAGGATTGGCTCTGTCAGACACAAGTATTAGTCTTCAGAGTTTCTACTTTTTGAGTTGTGTTTAATCATCTGAGCTGCAGTCAGGGTCAAACTGGGGGTTCTGAGACATGCTTAAGAAACTGGAAAGTGACAGCTGTTCAAGAGTAAGTCGACCTTACATTAACCTTACCGAGGCTGATTAATGTTTAAAGAAGTATCCTCAGACAGGCGCGGCTTTTGGTAACGGGACAAAAGGTCAACAAGCCAAGAAAAAAGCGGCTGATGCAAAGAAAAAAAATCCTGCATGCTCAGGAGTGTTGCCAGATGGGAAATATAGAATTATCGTACAAGAGACTCAAAATTATCGTATTTTTGGGAAAATTATCGTACACCCGTCATAATCAAAATAACAATCTTACTGTTGCATGATAGTCACTCTGTTTAGGGTCCTACAGGCACTCACGATTTTGTGGCTAATCCCGACTGAGCAGGATTAACAGCCTATCAGGCTCGTTGTTCGGAGGCTGTCGTCACTCAAACTACGATTGGATGGAAACATCACGTGATAAAAGATGACTTCAGGGTTCGCAAATAAGAAACTGAAAAATAAAGTGTCTGGCAGACTTAGACAATCCCATTGCACCACACGTTCACAAAGCTGTCAAGTTATCGCAAACTTAGCCTTTTCAATTTTCATACACCTGGCAACCCTGACGCTTAGTATTTGACACTCAAATACTAATCTTTTTGGATCAATCAGGCTGCCTATCATGTGTCTATAAAATAGGGTGACCATATGTCCTCTTTTACTCGGACATGTCTTCTTTCTGGGGGGCTGTCGGGCCTTGTCTGGGAAAAATCCTTCAAATGTCCAGGGTTTTGTATGGAAGCTTTGAGTTTGTGTTGCGTAGACTTACTGAGTTAGAAGCACGTAAAAAAACGCTCCACCAAACCTGAAAAACTCTTAAAATTAACTATGTGCGACTCTGTGACACCACCCCGCGTAGTCGTGTCCTCTTTTTGGGGATTCAGAATATGGTCACCCTATTTAAAAACCTAATCATAACTTAACGCTGTGACAAAAATGTGCTTGAAATTAAAAGCTGTTTTCATCTTAATTATTTGTGAATCAAAGTAAGAAGACTTGTCATGTAAAATCGCTGGAGTATGAGAACCTTTCTAAATCATTTCTACACAAACTTAAGTACCTTGAGAAACGAGACAAAGGAGCTGTCCTCATAACCTACATTTAAAAGCCTGAACAAAATAATCATTTATAAGCTATATGACAGCTTCAATTGAAGCCTTTAGTGATACAAATTTAGTGTCTCTCTATTGAATTTGGTGTCTTGGTTTGAATTATGCCACATGCTAGGATAATAGGGATTGTCAAAATGGTGGACAGGTTATATATGACGTCTTCATTCATTCAACCTTATCAGTCGTTTCTGAAGAAGCCATTTAGATGAGCGCTCTGAAGACAATACAGCATGTCATTGTGATAGGTCCCATCTTGGCTTTTTAGTGCCTCTCTGAAACAAAGACAGGATTAACGCATGGATTGAAATGGTAAAGCACAGTCAAATACATTTGTTTCTCTAACACTGCACAGTCTCTGCGATCCCTGCGGCGACCTGCTCCTGGTTATTTATGATGTCGAAATTAATCTCACTTTGCACGATGGGCTCTCGAAGAGGGGGCCTCCTTCTGAGACGGCCGCTGAGCGAGGGATGAGAGAGGGATTGAGGAGAGGAGAGAGAGCGCAGAGCCACCGAGGACTTATTCAAATCCTCCCTCATAGATTAGCAATCGCAGCTTGACAAGCCGCCCTGCAAGTTATTTTCTATTTAATTTTTTTTTTTTTTTTTTTTAAATCAAGGCGTTTTCTTACCAACATGTCAAAGATGGGGGTAATCCATTCGGAATTTGCGAGTGATGAGACAGGAGACAAACTCGCTGGCGTGTCACAGAGTACCGAGGATGCAGGAAGTAAAATATGCAAATGAGGTGTGCAGGCTTTAAAGCAGCTGTCTGTTTGATTGCTGCTCTCTGGCATTGTTTGCCTTTGATGGATGAAGGCTTTCATTGCAGGGGCCCATTAGGAGTACAAATATTATGATTTATGATTACACAGGATCTTTGATTGTCAATTGATGGGAGGCTCTTCGGATGTATGGTGTGATATTGCATAGAACCGTATATGTAAATGGTCTAATGTTGAGAAGCGAACTAAAATTAACTCCTCTTTAACTTTGAATCAACTGAGCAAAGCTATTCTGTCAGATGGATGGTTTTGATATAAGAAAGGAAAAGCTAAGAATACAAAACCATTTTCAGTCTTCTTTTACTCCTGTTTTCACACTGTTTTCTCAATTCAGATACAAACATTTACGTCTTAAATGCACCGCCAGCTCCATCTACCAGATCATCCACTAGGGATACATCTCCATGAGAGTGAATTTTCTGGTTAGTCTGAGCTCTGGTAACACTAGGGCAGCACTGGAAGCAACAGACTCCTTGCTTGTGGGTGTGGGTATAGGACTCATGTGTTTTATTTAAGTTATGTCCTCTAAAGATCTTACTCGTACTCATGAAAAATGCAAAAGTTTTAACAACTAAGGACAAGGACAAGCACCGAATTAAACAGACTATGTATTTTCTCTCCTAACCAAGACTTAATCGGCTAAGATAATCTTTGTACTCAAACAAACAGATAGTGACAAGGACTGTCTGAGGGAATAAACACAGCTTCTTTGTTACAGCTTCCTCACTGGGACAGTGTTTTAATCACACAAACAAAGCGTGCAAGTGAATACCAGTCACCACTGGCACCTCTTAGTGCAAAGCATGATTCTAATAGAATATGGGGGGATTAGCTGCTTATATTGTGCAGAGGAAAATAAGCAACAATAGGCTAAGTTTGCATACTTACAAGACATGACAGCTGTTTAACATGATATATGTTAAATAATATTTCCTGATGCACATAAAACGAACCGCTCAAGAGTTGCTTTTGTTGAACTTTCACTTGATTTAAAGTAAAAGTGATGCTGTTGGAATTCACTTAAGTAAACATAAAAGGTTATACGCATCGTAAACAGAATGACTTAAGAAATATAAAGGTAGTTTTTGCCTCTTTTAAATGCATCTTATCTTCATTTGACTCAAACTTCTATACAGTGCATTAAACTTTAGAGTGTTACGGTAAACTATTGCATATAGTTAAAGCGCTATGCAAAATAACAACTTGGTAGCATTTTTTCTTTTTCAGATGTCTGTGTCGTACAAAGTATAGAGTAAAATGAGATTTCAGAAAATGTTATTTTGATGATGTGTAGCTAAAGATAGTTTGTGTAAAGAGTGAATGCACGAAAAAACAGAAATACCGTATTTTTCAGACCAAAAGGCCCACCTGATTATAAGGCGCACTATGAATTAACGTGTCTATGTTCACACACAAGGCACACCAAATTGTAAAGCCCATTAAGCAAAACAACACAGTCTGGTAAATCAAACTTTATTTAACTTAGTTGTAACAACAAATAGCTGTACTGAAAATATGCTCACTTATTGATTCATTCCTCTTCCACAAATTCAACGAATAAAATTCTTCATCTTTAGTGTCTGAGTTAAACAGCTGTGCGATTTTGGCATCAAGCATGCACGGATCCCTCTCATCATTATCTGAGTCAGTCTCATTGCTGTTACTGGTACGCATTTTTTTTTTTTTTTTGTAGGATGGTAGGGGAAGGTCCCGCCTTCCTTCGCCTCTTATTGGCTAGAAGTGCTTGGCTCCGATTGGTTATTCCTTATGGCCATGAAACGTCACCGTCTGTCAGGTTAGGAGATTCAAAAGTGCGATAATGTTCTGCAGTGTTCTGTTCAATGTACAGAGACGACAGCCCACATTTGGCTTGAGCGTGTGATGATGTTTCCAGCTTTTCTAGCCAATCGGAGGCGAAGGAGGCGGGACTTTCCCCTACCATCCTACAAAAAAATATATATATCGCTACCGGTACTTGGCTGTTCAGTGACGATTTCAGCTCAGACGACATTTAGCGTAATGCTCCGAATATCTATTGAGAGGAGCGGCTTTGTTGCTTACCAAAATCGTACTTCCACATTTCAACAGATTTTTGAGCGTATTTTACTACATAAAATCAGTCAGTAAGCACAACAAGTAATCATACATAAGATGCACTAGATTATAAGGCGTACTGCCAATTTTTGAGAAAATCTAAGGATTTAAAGTGTGCCTCATAGTCCGAAAAATAAAGTAGTAAGAAACCCTTTGAGTACAAATTTCAATGATCCAACAGGCTCATCTTAGCTTGGACCCTTGCAAAGTATGCTTGCATCATTTGGAAGCTTTGCGACATTTATAAATATTTGACAACAGATGAGTGGGCTCTGTGGGACGCCACTCTGAGCACCACTGACAAGTCTGCTAATAAAGCAAAAACCATCAGTGGCTCCCGTGTCAAAGACCGCACTCAATATCCAGAGGCTGAGATTGCAGCTGAAACACGCACACCCAGGCTTGCAGACATCGCTGCATCGCATAAACTCACACTTTTACACACAAATGCCGCACAGCCAGACACCCATAACTCAACCAAAACATACAGACAAGAATATTCTTGCCAAAGCACACCATCAACAAGTGAAGAAACAAATGAGAGACTAATTTAGTGAGTTTGTGAGCCAGTCATCACAATCAATAAGTGCGCAAATGAAAAAGCAATTAGACCAACTGTGAATGCCATGCCTGCAATCATTGCTCTGCGTTTGCTGCTACACTTGAGACAAATTGAAGCAAATAAAGTATCGTTCAGATGGTCATGCTGAGGGTTTTCACTGTAACTATCCGCACTTACTCCGTAAATGATATAATCCAAGTGCATTTGTGCATGTGTGTGTGTGTCAGTCCCTTCAGCAGCTAAGATTCCCAGGTTTGAATGAGAAACAGGTGGTGGTGGCCAAACACACGCTCTCGGTATACGGGGTGAAACCACGATAACATGATAGCAGAATGTTGGTATTAATGCTGTAAACACTGACTGAAGAGGTGGTTTAGTGTTATGTACATTTATTCACTGACACATTCAGTTGTGTTAAAATCCAACAGGCCTTCTGTTTGCAGCGTTTGGGTGCAAAAGCATTTCTGATTAGTTTGATTCTGCTTCTTTCATCCATGATTACTCCTCATTCTTTCTTCTCCTCTTTCCATCCATCCATATATGTTGCTCTCTCTCTCTCTCTGTTGGCACGTGCATCATGGTTCCCCTGTTGGTTCTTGGCCAGCTCCCCCAACTCCTCTGCTCTCCCTCTTGTTCACCCTCCCCCATCCTCCTCCTCCTCCTCCTCTTCCTCCTCTTCTTTCCTTTTTGCATGTGTGCCAGGGTCTGGGGGGCTCGACACAGTGTACAGCCCAGTGGCCTAAAAGTGAATACTTACGTAATTGCCAACTGTCTCCAATCATTAGGGGCAGCCCTTAAAAAAGACATGCTTCGCCGACAGCTGCGTCCCCTCGCCTTTGCCAGCCTTTCAGATCGCATTTGTTTTAAAGGGCTCGTCCACATTATATTTAACCCCAGAGCACTGCGGATGACGCGGAAAAAGATAGCGGAGGCACAATTTATGCAGTTATGTTCTACAACATGACGTTGGTATGAAAACGGGCAATTGATTCTTCCAGAGTTTGATGTGCAGTGGAGTTGAATGTGTTTATATCTGTTATAACAGATTTTGCGGCCCTGAATCATAAACACTGGTTTCATCACAGCTCTGCGTAATAATTAGATCAGCATGAGATGCTAAGTATGTAGCTGTGGAAACAGTTCCTCAACAATACGTCCCATCACATCTTTCAAACTCTCAAATCCACAGTGATGGGTCTATTCGTCATAGATGAAATATAGTTGAGTACATCTTTGCTACGATCTATTTACATGTCCCCAGGTTACTGTGATGTGTGAGCAGGTAGGACATTAGCTAATATCCTCTGAGCTTTTATTTGATTTCTTTTCTTTTCTTTCAGCCACCAGGCCCTAATGCGGTGCAGTTTTAACATACAAACTTAATGCAAGTGCATTGAGGACACGTTTTGTTTATACCCCAAGTCCTGCATGAATGTTAAATTAAAGTAACGGATATAAATTGAGAAATTCAAGTTGAAATGTGCTCAAAAGAACTTTCTTTGTTTATATAAACTACAGACAATTCCCTGCCAGTTCCTGCTGCGAGACAAACGTACATTTTATTTCCGTGCTTTCACAGAGACCTCCCACAGTATGGTTAGTGACAGCTGGGTCAGGTCCCCACATATCGGGGACACAGCTGCCCTGCAGACATGTGCTCACATACACACACACACAGAAGCGTGCGCACACACACACGCACGCACACTCTCTCTTCCATGCACCAGGCAAACAGGAACTTGAAAGCGGAGCATCTGAACTGCCTCAGAGCAGAAACACATGACCACATTTCTGTTGTCATTACATACGAAAAGATATTTCAGCAAAGAACAAAAGAGAGCTTTTCTCTTCCTCTTCATTCCCATGTGTTTTTGATACGTGTTCACCACATATAATGTTTCTAATGAGAGGTTTGAAAAGATCCTAAAAGGCAATAAAAATCCAATCAGAGGAGAGAAAACGGTCTCTGCTCATAAAGTAACAAAATGTAATACGAATGTGGAAATGTGAAAGTGAACTGCTTTATATTTAAATGTGCCTATTACTAGCTGCAGTTTTGTGTTTATATTTGTATTTCAAGGTTTAAGGTAGCTTTATTGTCAATTTTGCAGTATGTGTAACACATACAGAGGATTGAAACTGTGTCATTTAAGGGCCCACAGTGCTAAGGTACACATTTTGTATTAAAATAAAAAGTATAAAAGTATAAATCAAATGTAAAAGAAAAGAAAAATATATTTGAGTTGAACACATTTGCATATCGTTAAATGCTATGGTTGTAAAAGTAAAATTAGAAAAGCAATAAATAGCAAGTGGTTAAGTCTTGGTAAAGTATTTTAACCCGTATCATTTAGTGTCTTAAAATATGTTACTATGTAGAGAATATACTTGCTTGACATTATAAAGATGAATGCTGAAATGGATTAAGTGATGGTTAGATCAGCAGCTTGTGATAAAACATAAGTAATAGCAGAGTCCAGATCCACGACTGTTAAACAGAGTAAATCATCTATTTTGACAAACAGGCAGGCATTGCTAAACAAAGAAGTCATTTATGTTTGTTCATCTTTTCTGAGCTGAGAATACACATGTTTAAAACGCTTTCAAGAACAATAAGGAAACCAATAACTGAACCAGTAAAGATGTCAAGGCATGAGAAATTCTGTTTCCAGATGGTGATGATCTCAATATCAATCATAATAATCACAATTTCAGTTTTTGCCATGATCCAGAAGTCCCACATCACTACAGGATTGTTGGTTGTGTGTGCACAGGTTGAATCTCTGTTTTCGCTGTTTACAGTCTCTGTCATTATAACGTAACCAAGTTCAAACACCGAGGTGGTCCAAAATCAGAATACCTTGTTATTAGCACATAAGTTTACAATCAAGCTTCTTTCCCCAGTAACCAGACAGTAAAATTAAAGCTGAAATCATTTTTTTTAATATATAACTCTTTTTGTGCTTCACATAATATGAGGAGAAGCAAAGTTTAAGAAAAATAGTCAGAGTAAAATCCAAAATGCCTGATGTGTCAAACTAAATAACCTATGGCCTAACTTTATCACACTTCTGAAACTTACTTTTATCAGACGTAAATGTTTGTTGCTCAGCTGGGGAGCTACCTTCTTTCCTGGGTAAACAGGAAGTTGACTTCTAGAATAAGGAACTTGTACCTGATAACCGAGTTGATTGAGACTCATTTAAATATTTTAGGATTTTCATTTCTGGTAACAAGACTTTTTTTTTCTTCTTACATTATGTTAACTCCCCATCTAACAGATTTATTTCCCTTTTTATCTTTTTTATTCTGAGAGGGTTTTTTTTTTAGCTGTCTTTTAGCAGGAATAACACTATGATATCTGAAACCATACTTTTTCTATAAGGGTGTATTTAACCGGGGTTCCTCTGTAATTATAAAAGAACAGCACCCGACTCCCTCCTGCAGTGCATCACTTCTCCGGAAAGCTTTGTCATTTGTTTTCACCGTCATTCCACTCGGGTCAAGATAACATCGCAAACCAGTTTCGCTGACATCACAGGGATGTGGTGGCACTTGTGGGTGCTGCATCTTCACATTAGCGGTGAATAGAGAAATACTTACTGTAAATGGTCTGACACAGTCAAAGTCAAACCACAGAAACGAGGAAAAGATGAATATACCGAAATAACAACTGTGAATGCCTTTGTATTAAATTCAAAGTTTCATATTCAAATTATATCCAGTAAAACATTTTTGGTAATGAGTTATATATCATAAGTTTCAGATAAGTCAGTATCACAAAGTCTGTATTATGATTAAAGGTTTGATATGAGAGATGCTAGAGGATACATTAAACTGTTTATCTATTCCAGTTTAAATTACACAGTGTTCAAGTTTTACTTTTTTTTTCAATTTGGCTTTGGAAAGTAAAAAACAAAGTTACATGCATTATTTTACAGCATTAAAAAACATATTAAGTAAATGGCAAATGGCCTGAGAACTCAGAGGATAAATGTTTATCTTGGTTATCACTTATCTCACTTCTTTTTCCATGTTTTAGGTAACAGGTATGAAATAAGTTCTTGCTGATAATAATCACCAGGACTAAATGATTTTTTTTTCCAGAAAAAAAGTGATGTGTGAGTTTGTGTTTCGGTCTGACGGCTTGTCTAAATGCTTCCCGAACAGAAGCTCAGAGAGCCATGAATCAACCATGAAGGATAATCAAATCAATGTAAATGTGGTTTGTGTTTTTTTGTGATGCTGGTGCTCGATACCCTGAGGGGCCCTGTCAGTTGTAAGAGGAGGGGCTGTACATAATGAGGGGTCACGCTTGAGGGGCCCTTTGTAAACATGCTGAGTGGGAGCCCTTTCTTTGTGGACAAGATTGTGGAATTAGTCCAAGACAAAGGGAGGTGTGAGCACTGGGGCACCCCAGACCCCTTACACACACACATATACATGCATGAACCAGCTCTTATTATCTTTGTCCTCCTCATTCTCCATCCTTATACAAACCCTATTCATTTTTGAGACTGTGTATGTGTGTGAAGCTTTTTTGCAAAGGACCCCTGGGGGGCAAGTGGGAGCTCCCATTTGGCCTTTGTGATTAATACTGCATTTTGATGTTTATTTGCTACAGTTCATCATTACTTGGAAAGGCTTTGAGACAGTCACAATTTGTTTTTATTATAAAGCTATATATTTTGTTCTAAAACTGCAGCTTTTCTGAAGTAAAAAGGAGAAGTAGGGTAAAAAAGAGAGTGCAGAGCAAAAGCACCAACATGTAGGTTGTGCTTTATGATAACAAAGGATTGATGAATCTCATTCATTTAAACAGACATGATTTTACCCGTAGGAAAAATTAGAATATTCAGTGGTTTCAAAATTTACTGACTTAATTTATAGTGTATTCATAAATTATTAAGAAACTCAGCAGAACCTTGAGGGGAAACTATTTTTTACAAAACCGCAAATACACAGTGAAGCTAAGACTTACGTTTCTCCTGAAGTTCACCATCAGAGATTTTATGGCTTTAAAGAGTCTCATCTGAGGGCTCTTGTTGCAGAATTTGGGTTGTTGTAAGTTGGGTAGAGTGTATCACCCCCTCCTGAGCAGAGGAAACCAGTCAAAATGCAACAAAAAGTTTGCACCTCCCACCTGTCTCTTATCGTCATATTGGGACAGTAGCTCAAAGTGGGTGGGGTGATTCAAATTCGACAACAGGTTTCCTGGAACAGCTGAAGCCAACTCTACAGTGTCGGAAACCCTGAGCAGAGATTTTACATAACTTTGCGGTCACTGGAGTATAAGTGTGGTGTTGGGCTGCACTGCCAGCTCTGTAAAGAATCACATTCATTTAACAATGTAATAACTCCTTCTTAGTTTTTTAGTATTGATTATCTGCCAAAATGAGTCTTGATCCTAAACTTGTAGAGAAGTTTAGCTAGCACTGTTGTGAAACTAAGAAACAAACTGTTTCTGCTGTGTCAACTGGTGTGCATGAACTTTAACTCAGAGCAGCGCTGCTGTGAATGCAACTCTTATGAGAGAGTGTGAAAATCAGACGACAAACAAAGATCGTTTATATTGGACTTTTACTTGACTTTTTACTCTGTTTTTTTTTTTTTTTTGTCTCCTTTTTCATTGCTACTTATTTTACTAATTAAATTTTAAAATAAGCTGACCTGGTTACCTTAAAAGTGGACTAATCAATCTAGTGTGCAGTGTAGCTCAGCAACATCATTGGATAAATTCCAGAGCTCAGAGAAAAGTTTTACTGCCCCAGTTATTAAAATTAGCTTCAGATTTGGTTGTTTTTGATAAGAAAATGCCAAATGGTAAGTAAATTAACCCAAAAATATTAAGCAAAGTAAATTGATTTTTTAAGGAAAAACTGATTTAGATCTACTGATTATATATATATTTATTTTTTCTTTATGTCTGGATGAAATAGACTTGAACTGAGCCATACCAGCTTATATTTTTACACATTTATGTATTCTAAGTGTATCAATTAAGCCATTTTTATTCATCCATACTTAAATTAGATAGATAGATAGATAGATAGATAGATAGATAGATAGATAGATAGATAGATAGATAGATAGATAGATTGTTTACATTTGAGTCTCACAGAACATCATTCAATAACTTTGCCATTTTGTTGCCATACTTTTTATGTCCAATCAACACAATAATAAACCCTGTTGGTAGTGTATGTTTGTGAAGCAGTGTCAACATTTCCAAGTACAACAGGAAAGCTGACAAGTTAGATCTCTTGTGTCCTGTAACATGGTTAGGTTGTTTCTGCTTTCCGTGAAATGGCCCTCGAAAAATATGGCCTGGTTTCTCTCTCCTGCTAAAATACAAGAGTGAGTAGGAACAAGGCAGTCTGAAATGATGTTAGGGTCTACTAAATTAAATTTGTCATTTTATATATATATATATATATATATATAAATTTAAATAGAGCTTTGTAAATCTCTGTTGATCTAATCTAAGAACAAGTGGATATAACTAAACCATTTAAAGATGTCTAAATGGTTTGTCCTTGATCACAGACTAACTCCTGGAGATTTGTTGATTAAAAAATGATATTTCAGATATTTACCATGAGTTGAAATATAAGCTAGCATACACCATGAATGGAATTTCCTGCAGCCCGAGTTTGCGGTTCTGTTGTTGAGAGGTGAAGGTCAACAAATTAATGTGTTCACTCTCTCTGGACCACTGCAGTGCTATGAAACAAGAGACAAAACATACCAGCTTAGCTTTCAGTATTACAGCGAGACCTCCATGAAGAAAGGACGTGAAAAAGGCGAAACTGTTGTATCTCATAAACAAAACGTACAAAGCTGCAAAAGTGACACTGTTTTCATAGCTTACCAGACATCCCATTAGCCATGTTTGTCGATTGTTTTGGTATGTAATAGGTTAACTGGGAGACGACTAGTAGTAACAAACTGAAAGGGGGCATGTCCACCACCTACGGTAGCAGAAGCGGAAATGCTTCATTTCGCCCGGTACTTGTAAACCAGGGAAAGGCCAGTAATCCAGTTAAATTGCTCACTCAGCTATAACCATGAACCAGCTAAAATGTGCATCTAAAAATACTGTGTGATCTGACACTCTGATAGTAATCTAATTCTTAGGTTTCATCATTGGCTGTGAGCCCTCTTTCAATCAATAAAAGATCTCCCCTCCCACCTACAGCATGTGTCAAACAGAAATGCAGAGCTGAGGCAGTCACCTTCAGGTTGCTAAAGCGGTCTTGTCCCATGAAAGAAGGTCAGTTCTCTTTGAGATAACACAGAGATTATGTTACTACACAATGAAGCAAATAGGAAAACACTGTAAGGTCGCTTGTAGTGTTATGGCTTCCTGTGATGCTGCCAAACAAGAAAAATTCTGGGTTCAAATCCTGGCCAGAGTCCTTCCATGTACATTCAAAGTACTCTGATAGCTCATATGTTCACTGGTGCAGCCATGCAGTACTTGAACGTTCAGAAAACCAAAGAGGTAAGAACCTCTAGACTAGACCTTGGTGTGGTAGTGCTGGAAATGCTGGCTCTGGGATGTTTCGGCTACCTTTCATCACCATCTGGACCTTGCTTTTGAATCACCATAATACACTGGAAAGAATATTATCTCAAACAGGTGATCCCAGCACCTTCATGAGGCGATTAGCACTAATGCATTAAGACAAGCAGGTGCAAAGTTTCTAATGCCATGGGGGCCCCAGTCCCGTGGAACTTAAGTGTTCTGGCCCTCTACTACCATAGTCTTGGAGATGCACTTGAATCACCAGGATGTAATGAAAAGAAGTTAAACTCAAAAACAAGCGATCACATTGAACTTCAGTCTGGGAGCTGAATGGCATTAATGGGTTTTTGTGAAGCTGGTAGTAAACTGGACCTCATGATAGTCAAAAGCGATGTTGTTTATGCTCAAAAGGAACGGAGCTGGGAAGTTTTAGGTAGTTTTAACACATTCTGACTATTATTTTGGTAATAGATGTAACAGGTCAGCCAGGAGATAAGCCAATTGTAAAAAGTCAGTAAATCAATCCTTGCTTGAAACCTGTAGACTGCAAGGATAGCATTCCAGTTAAATCACCTAAGACCTGACCATAGATCCACTTATTAACCAAATAAACTAGCCAAATAAAATTGAACCCATGGTTTTACCAAGTCTTCAAGCTCTGCTTTGTTTACATGGCCTTGAATTCGTAGAAAGGTATCTTTGTGAAAGTGAAAGCTGTGCCACCAACTTATTTTGAATCCATCTCATATACAGTGGGGCCACAGCTCATTTGGTTCATATAGCTAAACAAAAGCTGACTTTAACAACGTGACTCGGCTGATTCACATGCAAAGCAGAGGGTCTTCTTTCACAGCCATGTGGAAGAAGGCCTGTGCATAATTACGGAAGAGGGGTTTCAATAGCATCGTAATTGGAGGCAACGCCCCAGCTCAGAAAGGGGCCGTGGGGCTCTAAACATGTCGAGAGCTTTATTGCAATGAGGTCCTTAGTCTACTACTCTTTAAAACCACAATAGAGAAGAGCTGGAAACAATGGTGGGTTAACATGATTGTGTGTGTGTTTGACTAGGCCTGGGAGCTCTCTGTTGCCTTTTCTGCTGCGCTCCTAGTGAGGGGGAAGTGAGGCGTACTGATGACAAAAGAGACGGGTGCTTGGGAGCATAAAGGGCCTGGTTAATCACGGCCCTAAACTACAGGAAGTGTCTATTCAATGAAGCCTCAGGCAGCCAAGCAATGATGCAATCTGGGCACTGAGGTGGACTGGGGTTTAGCAGCAGGAAGGTGGCAGCAGAGGAAGAATTGAGTTATGACAGATTCACAAAGCAAGGGTTCTTGAGGTCTTTGTCAGGTCCAGCTGGCTTGCAAGAACTGCTGCCATATTTGTTTATGCAACCTACTGGGATAGTCAGTGTTCAACATCCAGCCATCTTTGTACAGCAGACATGAAAAAAGATCATGTATAACTCTGAAATCTGACATGGCTGGGGTTGAGAAGCATTAAAAAAATGCTCAGATATAAATTTGGATGAACACTTTTGCCTTCGCTGCCATTTGAATCCATCTTTACACCACCACTCTTTTATATTTCCTCTGACTCCAAAGTCAACACAGCAGAAATGCATTTGTTCTGCCCTCGCCTTCACCCTTGACTTTTAAAATAACACATTTCGAGTTCTTTTCATCTTTACTGAAAAAAAAACAAAACAAATATGGAGACAACAGAAGCCATTTACAGCAAATGTTTATTACCCAGTTTGGGTGTGCACCCATCCTGGCCAACTGCTAAACAGATTTTCTCGGCTGAAAAACACTTTAAAATATCTTTCTGATTCCGCCGATGTGCGCCAGAATTTGTGCAAGAGAAAATAATGAATTGCCTGTGCTGCACGTACACAAATGCATCTCTAATGAGTAGTGCCCTACTTGTTCATTTCATTACAGAGATTTTCTAATGCTTTCATCTTGTGCACATGCCTCTGTGTATGGCTACAAACCTTGTGTGTCGCACAAGTTGTCCATGTTTTGTACATGTGTGTGAGCAAAGGAGGGGGGAGTTGGTAGTTTTGTACACATCCGTATTATCTCCTGCTGCTCATCCGGCTGAGAAGCTGGCCTTAATTACTAGTGTCTGCCTGAGTCACTAGCATGCTCCTCTACCCACACAAATAGACAGCAACAACAGGCAGCATCTCAAAGGAAAGGCAAGAGTGGTTTTGCTAGTAGCCGGAGGGCAACTTATCCCTGCCAACCAGATACAAAGGTACTGTGGGCCCACTTCCAAATGGATCCCTAGACTCTTTTCCCTAGGGCCTTGTTGACTTCCAATTGCTGTGCAGGGGCTGCTGTTTGGATGAGCTAAATCCATTGTTTATTTTGCAGCCTCTTGGTTAACTGGTTTTGTTCTCGAGTCTTTTTGTAGCCTTTTAAAATCAGCTATATCAAATCAACTTTAAGCTCTGAAATGGAGACTGGTTGGGATTTAGGCTGCACGTTTTCTGAGAATGTACCTCTATCTAATTCAGACACTGATCATCCCAGAGGCGTTGTGCTATATCTTGCCAGCCTGCTTTGATAGAGTCTTCATGTGTAGGCAATTTCTTTTTCTCAGCTCGCTTTCACCGCCTGAAACTGTTGAGTCAAATGAAAAACTTTACATGGGAACTGACGGGGCTACAATTAAACATCTGGAAAGAGCAGGCACAGCCCATCTTGGGTGGAGGGCGGGTTGAGACTATAAATAAATTCCATACATTTTCTGTGGCCGGAGCTACCCCAGCATGCATAAGAATTCCATTTGATGTTTCCATAAAGTTATAACAAGGCTTGAGTTGCAGCCAAGACATCTTGTTGGTCTCTCACCATTGACAATCTTCCTCAAGCACAATGTTTTAGTAGCTGGCATTGGTCCGCTTACAGCTAATAAGACCACCATAAAATTGCAAACCATTGTCAGCTGTGTTGTTGAATGAGTATAGAATGGCGCAAAGTCAAACATGGTTTTCAAGAAACCAAAATGTACGTCTCAACTCACTAGAAATAAGTCAAAATGCTTTTCTACTGTTGTCATGCCCCTGCAGTGTCTGATACTTCTGGACAAGATATGTTAAGTTTTAAGACTGAAAGCACTTCAAGTACAGGTGTGGTGCATGATTTTCAATCAAACATGCAGCAAATAACCCAGTCAGAGTTAACTCAAAGACAAACTGTTACTGTAACTGTGATGATCTCAGTCTACAATTAAAATTGAAAGTATGTTTTTACACAACTCTTTGAGCAATGCTCTAGGACTTTTGTTGACAGAGATACATGTCCAACGTCAACTTTTCAACTTCCCGCCTCTGCCAGGGTCGAAGTTTTTTAAGTCTATTCCAAACATATTTAGATTAAAACACAGATTTTGTATAAACATTACTGACAGTGTTGTAGTCGAGTCACCACGTCTCAAATCTGAGTTGAGTCTCTAGTCTTCATTGTTCAAATCCGAGTCGAGTTCAAAGCACCAGAGAAGAATCCAAGTTCAGTCAGAGTCAAGTTCCTATTACATGAGTTAAAGTCATAATTTAGAAGTCCTTATTAACATTATTATTTGTTATGGGCAGCAGTAGATCTGGAGGTAGAGCGGTCGTCAAATAACCGGAAGGTCCCCCCTATCCCTAGTCTGTCCGTTGTGTCCTTTGGCAAGACACTGAACCCACCTTGCTCCCAGTGTTTGCCCTCCACTGGTGTATGAATGTGACTGTTGTGTGGTGGTTGGAGAGTCCATAGGCGCAAACTGGCAGCCACGTTTCTGTCAGTCTGCCCCAGGGCAGCTGTGACTACTAAGATAGTTTACCACCACCAGGGTGTGACTGTGTGAGCCAATGAATGATGTACCCAATGTAAAGCACTTTGAGGGTCTCTGATAAAGCGCTGTATGAAATCTGATGCATTATGGGGAAGGAGGCTGCTTCACTCTAAAGTATTCATTTATTTATTCATTCTGTATGAACATTGACTTTTGGATGTGAAGAAATTTCATCTCATTCACTGACATAAGGCTGATGCTTGTTTGGAGACTTAAGCTACCAATGAAGTTACAGCACTGTGCGTCATGTGCAAGGCCATGCTTCCCTTAAAAAAAATTCTCACTTTATTGAGTGCAACCGATATGGATTCAATAAGAAAGTCTTAATCAAGAGATAGGTCCTTCTGTTATTGTCTAGAGTCCTAATAAAGTTAGCGCTGGAGTCCAAATACAAGTCCGAGTCATCAGTTCTCAAATGGGACACGAGTCTGAGTCCTGAACTGATACAAAAATTACTGATAAAGCTGCAAGTACTGTGAAAGATTTGTAGGGGGTGCTCCTGAGTCAATCTGAAACATCCCATTGTCCCATCCAAATGTAAGTTCCCTCAATTTCTTTAGTGCATTTATGTGCATCTGTAAAGTTCATGAGTTTTGAAGCATGTTTAGGTTACTGAAAATCCAAAGATTCTCACAAAAGTGCTCCTTTTTGCTGTCTGTCTTTTGAACACATACAGTAAAAGAGAGTGTTTTATAGCCAAACCCATCTGGTCCTCTCCAAAACAAAGCTTTGACATCAACCAGATAGTTTTTAAGCCATTCTCTGCAAACCCCGCTAAAAAGAGAGCAAAGCAGACACTTCTGAGCAGATGATTCACAAGAGACACAGAGCCAAAGTGCAGCGATAGTTCAGCAGGCACGGAGTAAGAAAATGGGACACTGAAGTTTTTCAGATAAGAAATGAGATTCTGAACACGAAATAGCATTACCACCGCCACCGTTCTGCAAGCCCAGCATCCAGAGCCACTGATGCCGTGTTATTACTGCACAGGATGAAGTTCGTTCAGTCAGTCACCCGGTGTGAAGCGGCGGCTGACTTTGCTCGCCCGGCCGCTCCTCTGCTACTCTCTCACTGCATTAACAGCGGGGAGTAGACTCCCAAAGCCTGGAAAAGACACACTCCATTAAGTCTCCAGAAGGACCCAGACGTTGCTCAGATACATGACAATGAACAGAATATAAATTTAGAAAAAAACAGCACAGAGGAAACACTCAACACTGTCTTTTTCATGAAGTCCTGGTGTACAGTGGTGTTAATATGCAGGAAAAACCTAAAATAACAACGTTTCTGCATTATTGCACCAAGTTTTCAAGAATTTCACAGCTTTTACTTTGAATGACGTATCAACAACATGCTATAATTGATCTTGCGTGTTTTAACTGAATGCTAGACACCCCAAAAAGAGTAATATTTTCATCTACAATGATCCGGGTATGAGGAAACACAAAGACATTTAATACAACATCAGCACAGAGGACTGGATCGCCTATTTTTGGCTTCTTAGAGAGCAGAGATGAGATTTATCCTCTAATTCTGACTGAAGGCTTGGCGTCACCCTTCTCTGTGGATAATTGCATTATTGTGGTCCGTGTGCTTTCAAGTGTTAGTTGTGTTCTCCTTAAACATTAAATAAAATATATTTATTCTCTCTGTCACATCAGAGGTCTGTGATGTGGAAGAGGCAGGCCTTGATGTTGATATTCTTTAAGTGTATTGCTATAATAGGAGAATCTTATCTGGCAATGTAAATTCCTAATGCATTCATTGCCCCTCTACTTCACATGAAAACCCTTTCTGTAGCATGTTATGAACTCATACTGTTGCTGCAGCATCTTCATAATGACCAGAGTTGTGCGGTTATTGATTTGAGCTATTTTGCAGGAGGGACAGAGGCAGAATCAACCTCTTCCCCGTCACATGCAATGCATCAAAATAATTGGCAGTGCCCAATTATCCTGTGATCCGTGTACAGGAGCTCTGATGAGCTGCCTGAGAACGAATCAGTAATCAGGAAGCCTCGGGTATGAATCACAGATGTGACACTGGCAGGTCAAAACGTTTGGATAAAAATAGGGCAGTGCTACTGGCAGGATGGCATATAAATATGGCAGTTGTTTTCAAACTCTTGTAAAAATGCCACATTGGAATTCAACGCTTAAAGATAATTCGGCGACAACAAGTGTAAGCTTGCGTGACTTAATCAACCCCGAGTGCAGCAGGCAGTCACTTAACAGTCAATTACAACTGGGACCACAGAGATCTGAGACGAGTAACTTTAACACACTACAGTCACGTCAACACAGCAGTGAGAATAAACCAGATGGCAAAGACTGGATATCACCCAGACTTTGGAGACACTGAAGTGTAACAAAGCTTTGGACAACTGACCTGCTGCAGTGAGAGTTTTTTCTTATTTTCTTCGTTCACTCCCCTTGAATGAATTATTCTTACTCACTTTATATTAGGATGAAGTGTAATGTGGAGAGCAAAGCTGGTTGTCGCCCATTATTTGAAGATGCTTGCAAACGTTTGCTTTTCAAGGGCTGTTGCATGGTGGATGTACTACTGTACGACTGTACTACTGTTAAAGGTATATTCCCACATAAAATCAATTTTAGGGTCAAACACACCGTAACACTGAGTTAGACACCCCCTTGAGAGATGAATGTTGCCGACCGCTTGCTTCTCTAGTTATACTAACTTAGCAACATTACTTTATCCTTTCCTTGAAGTAATAATCTCCATATCAATCATTTTGCACGGCAGTTCTTCTGCCTTAGCGTCTCATTCTGATTGCATTTCAATGAAGAAATGATCATAAATGTTCTTCCTTGAGCTGCACCACCCCGCTGTAGTCTGTAATGGACTGGCCCAAGGTCTCGCTACAAACAAGCGGCTGCTGGAAGAGAGTAGGTGAGTTGTGTTTAGTCTCTTTGCTAAAGACGTTAGGCAAAGCTAAAAAGATGTTTGGTGGCTAGTACTGTGGCTGGGACTCTATATGTTCAACCCTGTTGATGAAGTTAGGTGCTGTTCTGAGCATTATTTGTGGCTATAGAGTGGCCTTTTGGTTGAGGTTTGTTTATGGCTCCTCAGACAGCTGTGTATTACTATCCTGCGGTCATTACTAAAGTTGGTATAACTAGAGAAGCAAGCGGTCGGCAATAATCATCTCTCGAGGGGGTGTCTAACTCGGTGTTACGGTGTGTTTGACCCTAAATTAACTTTATGCCTGAATATGTCCGGTTTCCAATTTGTATAGCCACCAATTCATCAGACACTATCTCTACTTCATTTCTCCAGTAAAGTTTGTTTTTCAAATTCTACAGTTTTATTAATATTTACAGGGAACATATTCATGGTTTGAGTTTGTGAGTTGAAGTTCAAATCACTGACCATATCAGTTTGTGATGCCTGAAACCTTTTTATCTTCCCTGCACTATTCCAGTGATGGACGGTCATAAAAATTGTCATAAAGAAAAGGACTTCTGAAGTCGTAGCCTGTGATGACATAAAACATCAAGAAAAATGTTCAAACACTTCATGGGGGAAGGACACGCTGATAGGTCAAGCTTGAGACAAAGCACTGAGAAGAAATGCCTCCCAACCGTTAAATGTCGTTGCTGTCAATCAGTGAGAGAACGAGATTTAAGCTGGCACTGTCCATGTCACAAGGTGGATTCTGTCTGTGTGGACTTTTCATCAGTGACAGACTATACGGTTCAAAAGACAATCGCTCAAATTGTTTTTGGTCTGGATATGACAAACTCAATATTTCAGACGCTGCTGATGGAATCATTGCAGTTTGATCTGTCTTTTTGTATATGAGACGTCAGCATGATGATGGTCCCCTGACTGACTTCCAGGTGTTGGAGCAGGTGTGAGGCTCTTAAATCAACTGAATCTGAGGAAGAGAAATAAACATGTAACCTCGTTGTTACCGAAAAGCTTGTATACCAATTAGACCACGATGACATCCTGACATGTTTTCATCACATCAGCCAATTAGCATTTGCAAATTATTCTTAGTGAATGCACTGACCTACTTGGAGGACTGCAAGGGTGGAGTTTTTGCATCAATATAATCTGACGCAGTTTGTTTGCAGGATCAGAAAATGGTCACAGAATTTAAAAAGAAGTCTTGAATTGTGACAAAAATGGTTGAGAACTAAATAAAGATGAAGAAAAAAGCCTTGAAGATTAAAAGTTTAAACTTGTATTACTTGCATTAATCTGTCGTTTGATTTAAGATAAAGAGAAAATAACCTCTGTCCTCTTCAAACAGGCTGGCTGAGAGATTCCCAGAGTTGAAAAGCAGGGCAGGATGTATGGGAAATAAAATGAACCAGATCTGAGCTGTACAAATTAGCTTCATACTTTTCAGTGTGTAAAGCAAAGATATTTGCTTTATGGCGCATGTAAACTGTCTCCAAAGGGACCACAGTCATGTTCATAAATTTCTTCACTCAGTTGGTTTATCAGGAAATCTTTATTCAACTTCAGCCTTAGACACATAAGTAAATATTGGAGAATCATGACTGATCTATCTTTTTTGAAGGTGTTTCCTCAGTCGGAGTGAAAGAAAACACTGTAATTTAGAATTCTTGCTGCTTATTTTCCATCATAACCAGCAGACTCTCCTTTCTTTTCAAGAAATAATTTATGCCCTGTGCTCCCTCAGCTCACCCTTCTCTCCTCATTCTCCTTTGCCACTTTCTTCAGCATTTGACCACACCTATCTACCTTCATTTACCATTCATTTATTATATAACCCAATACTTTCCTAGGATATATTAACCTTACAGAAGCGCTGATGTTATTTAATCTGTCGTCTGGCTGAGGAGCGGTTGTTATTTAATGCTGGAGAATGACAAATAAAGCTCATTCCAGCAAAGCGATCCTGCAAAGTTGCTCTTTAAGGCTCTGAAACCAAAACCATAAAACAATGCAATGCATACAAATAAATATTAGGATCGCCACTGCCTGACCCCGAGTCTCCAAACATTGAATTTTCTTCCTGCGCATTATAAAAACCCATCTAAGATAAATGACAAAGTCAGAGCTGCAGCGCCAGGGAGGCAGAGGCTACATCGGCTTATGCTTGAGCGAGCATGTAGGCCATACGCCATGGATGCACCACACACCCTGAGGTGAGTGGAGCCGAGCGTTTTTTTTTATTTTTTTATATACACGTCAAGCAAGCTTCACTGCATCCTTGTGACACAACCCCTGCCTCAGAGAGGAGTCAGCCCTGTGCTGAATAAAACAGGCCTGATATCAGCACGGAATATGGTAAAATATTGAGGATAAGGGTAAACTGGGAGGTGAAGGTCCGCTGATGTGATCGTATTTCAACACATTTACAAACTTTATAAGGTGTGGCATGAGAAAGCTGTAACATGAAACATGTAAGGATCGCATTATTTTATTTTTACTTCATAAATTCCCAAATAATGCCAGTGAAATACTCAAGGACATGATGATTGTGAGAGCGACATAGTCCCAAAGGTTTCTACAATAGTAAACCATTATAAGAGAAGGAGAAATACGGTATAAAAATGCCCAAATGTAAAACATAGATGGATCTGATTTATGTAAGCTCCCAATGAAATAATGGAATGCTGAAATAAGAAAAAAAAATATGAATTTGGTTTTTTTTTTAGGAATCAGAGACACAATTGATCAACTTGGTCAGCTACCACTTGTGCTGATTTGACACATGCACTCCTGGAAATCGGAAGATTTAAACCCCTGAAATTTACAAAGTTGCTTGTTTACACATGTCGCTCACAGCACGAAGTCTCCCCTGTAGGATAAATCCCTGGAAGCAAAGCATGCTGCAAAGCCACAGTGTAATGTGTACAACATGGTGGCAAAGGAAGCATCAGAGACGCTATCATGATATCAGCACAATAGGCTGACAGATTGATGTGAAGACATCTGTTGTTCTGGTCTTGGAAATAATTATCCCTCTTCAACTTTTTTTTTCTTTTTTTACTCTTCTTGGTTTTCCTCAGTCACATGAAATAACCATCATCACCCGGTTATATTTCAAGCTCCTTCTCATATCTATTGACCCTCACTCTGGAAATTTCACAAGAGGACGAGCAGGGCAAGGTCCCGAAAATGTTAGGGTGAAAATTTTTGAGTTTTGTGTGCGTGTGTGTAAACACAGCTTTAGACTTTACATTAGCTCACCAGCTTTTGTTTTTCAAGCCGAACACGAACTTTGAAAAACCGTGTAAGTCATACCCCAGATGGGGGCTTGTAAAGAGATATTTCACTCAAAAATAACTGGATGATGCTTGCGATGTGACATCCTTCAGTTAGTAAGACATCATAGAGGTTTTTCCGTCCCACCAGCAGGGAAAAGTTCAATCTTAAAAGTCAGATGAAGACAATTCTTTCTTTTTTTAAACTGGGGGGAAAATCGCTGTAGAATCATGATATTCAGATTCACGTACATAAGGTTGTGGGAGAGTCAAATTTGAGTTCAACTTGTGGCCTTTTACTCTGAAAAAAAAAATTGTTTTTAACTTTATTTATAGTAATTTTTTAGAAATAGAGTTACACACATTAACACCAGTAGAGTGATCATGACATCCAAGAACTCCCATCATCAACCCCAATCCCCTTCAGCAGGCAAACATTAGGGTTTGCAAAGAGCACAATAGAATCTTACAATAGTAAAAAAAAAAACAAGGTCAATCTTACTCAGGCTGTTGCAGTATCAACACCATATCTAAGAAAAAAAGAAATGACATCGCTCATCTCTACTTTTTGTTATCATCAAGTTTGCAGTTTTCATATTTAGAACAGCCAAACACCTCAAGATGGCACAAGCTTTTAACATGTAAAAAATAATGACTGAGTCTTATTGAACATTTTTACTGACCTCTCGTTTAGAGTAACTCATTGTTTCCAAAGCAACTGCATTTCTGCAAGTATAAGAGCTTCCACTCTCCCCCTACCACTCCAAAAATTGCAGTAAGAGGTCAGGATTTATTGTTTTTCCACTTATTGCTCAGAGAGAACTAAAAACTAATATCCACAAATTGGCCAAAGATAGACATGACCAGGGGACACTGGAGAATACTGACTTCTGGGGCACACTGGCTTAATGTTAGGGTAAAGCTTTGCCAATTTATCATTTGAATTATGAAGCCTGGACTACTTTAGACGAAATAACTCAATGTCGAACACAGAAAGATGAAGTATTTATATGTAAAATAATGTCCTGCCAAGTTTTTTTTAATGGATTTCTTGATATCTATCTCCCAAGAAGCTTTAGTTTTGTCCAGTGAGTGGGGGAATCTTGTTCTGGATCATGTTGTATATTTTAGAGACCAAATCCTCTCTGAAGGGATTTATGTTAAGAACTAAAAACGTTAGATCTTCTGGAGGATGATTGGAGTAGCGTGTAAAGTCACTTGAAGCAAAGCCGCGCACCTGGAGGTATCTAAAATAATGAGATGAAGGAAGTCTTTTAAGAAGTAATACGACAATGAGCTGAGTGGGCTGTAATATGGCTTGTTAGATGACAGACAGAAAGAGGATTTTCAAGAGTTTGGAGTACCACAAATATATCAAGGCAGGCAGATAGAGGTATCTTCATCGATGCTGGACCTATTGAGACAACAATGGCAGTGAACATGGAGATAAGGTTTATTCTGTTGCTAGGTGATTTGAGCAATCACGTCTTCTGATGTGAACAGTCAAGCCAATTCTGTTTCCTCATTAGAAATCTGCAGAGAGATTAGATGGGAAATTTGAATATGAAGAAGGATAACTTGGCTAATTATAACCCCTCATCTCGCTCTAAATGACAGTCAGTGGTGTGAAAAAACAGTTGGATGAAAACAGGTGAGAGGAGAGAGGGTAAAGGAGAGGAGAAAGGAAGAAAGAAGTGAGGGGGAGGAGTCAAGAGATCAATCCCTTGTTTAGGATTACGAGTGCTCAGATAACATCCTGCACCTCACCCACTGCTTTCTTCCAGGGCGAGTGATTCGAGGCTGCATAGAGCGATAGCCTTACACACCTACATTGACACACATGCACGCACATATCCCCACACCAGAGCACCTTCACTCAACCCCGCAACCCCCATCCGCATAACGCCATTGGCCAAGTTTACACCTAGCTGTGCCGCCACGCTCTCCAAATGCGATTAGCGCTTATCTGAAAGAGGACCAAACTACCTTCATCATCGAGGTTCATCATCGTCGTCACATCCATATTCATGATGCTCAAATCCCCTCCGGAGTAAAACTAAGGGGATTCAAGCACCTGAGAACACGGGGCGCCAAGCGGAGGGGGAGGATTGTAGATTTCTCTATTGAGGTCACAGCGCCGTATAAAAGAAGCATTTGAAGAGTTTTGTACCACAAAGAGCTACACTCCGAGGCAAGAAAGTGACAACTCTTCTCAAAAAGAGATTCATTGCTCATAATGAGTGAAAATTACGGCTCTCTTTGGCTGACAGGAGGAAATGTAAGACTGTACTTTCAGAAAATAATAATCGCTATGCATACTTTTGAAATTTCTAACAATATAGGGATTAAATGACTTTCTAAAAAAGCCTGCATAGCTTTTTTTGGCAGTAACTAGTGGTACTTATTTCATGACGGACACACATTTAACTCGAATATTACACACAGCATTGCTAGTTAGCTACAAACACAACTAGTCTATAATGGCACGGGTGTTTCTTATCATTAACAACCACAGTTAGCTGGTGAGATCCTGGAGCTTGGAATAAATTGGGTCATCAAGTGCAGTTAATTCATCAATAATGTCATGAATTATTATGGCTTTTGTGTCCCTGGAAAACCTTACGCTGTCCTCAAATACCTGTTGCAACTTCACTATGGCACTGACTATTTTCTTGGTGCTGCTACTGCCGCTTCACATTTTCTCCAATTCATCTTCATTGAGATGAAAACTTTCCAGGTGATGTAAAAGACTTAGGATTAAAACTTTGGGACTTTCAGAACAAATTTTGCAAATTCACGACACTTTCAACTCCCACTGAGAGTTGAAGAAAATCTGAACTCAAGCAAAAGTATTCACACGGTAAAAGTGGGGTGACCATATTCTGAATACCCAAAAAGAGGACACAACTACATGGGAACGGAGTCGCGGAGTCACAGAGTTGCGTGTAGTAAATTTTAAGTTTTTCAGGTCGATCTAGTGTTTTTTACACCCTTCTAACTCAGTGGGCTCTATTTTCGTGTCCGCGGGTGAGGCGGCGGAGGATGGTGGACCACTGATCTATATCTGATCTGATGAGCGCGTTTGGACACACAACCTGACCGAATCAACACAGCTGAAACGGCATTAAATTAAATCAAATATCTAGTAAATAGACACACATGATGAAGTGAACAAGATATGTAATTTGTCTCCCTCCTTTTCTTTCTTCCTCTTTCTCTTATTTCTCGCACAGCTCGACCTGGACACGTCTCCGTGTCCTCTCCCCGTCCTGCTGCTGCAGCGGCTGAACAGATGATTTGTTTCAGTGATCAGATGAGTTATTTACTTTAAGCCTACATACGAATATTATAATATTCAGTTTTGCAAGCCTAATTTATTTTATATGTCAACATCTATGGAACACCTTGTCGGTGCGGCAGAACTGACTTACGCCGCGCCTGCGCCAGGTCTCCGGCGAAGCACGAAAATAGAGCCCAGTAAGTCCACACCACACAAACTCAAAACTTACTTACAAAACCCCAGATATTTGAAGGATTTTATAAACTCCCCCGGACAAGGCCGAACAGGCCGGACAGCCCCCCAAAAAGAGGACATGTCCGGTTCAAAGAGGACGTATGGTCAGCCTTGTAAAAGCCAATCAGTGTTCAGATTACTTAGCAAGATTAATTTATGAGGAAAATGGAGGACCGACTGATTGTGACGGTATGTAGATACCGGGGCTATAGGAAACAATATGTTCTTAATATGAGGAATAAAAAGAGGAAGACAGTCAGTGAAGAGGTCAGATTATATGGTAAGTAGTAAAAATGCAATAGATCCTTAAAATGTGGTCAACCTCAGCTCTGTTTGATGTAAACAGACTGACAGGAATCCTTCTTTCCTCGTGTTTGTGCACTCCCACATACGAGCGAATATAGTGAGTCATTTGAGTAAATTAAGCGAGTAAACAGCCAACACTAAGGCGTCCAAATACACATGAATTATGCAAGTTAACATTTCTTTCTTTTTTTGTTTGTTTTTGGTGTGAACATGATATAGAACTACTGAAACACATGGGCAACAAACATGGAGGGAAATGACTGGACTGCTGAAGTACAAAACCGAAGATGAAGCACTGAAGTGAGGGAACACTGTGCTTAAATTCACCAGAGGAGTGAAGATAAGAAGACACAGGTGAGACACATTGGAGTAATCAGAGGAGCAGGAAACACAGAGGAGCAAGAAGTCAACAGACCTGGAACAAGAGACAAGATTATCAAAATAAAACAGGAAATGCAAGACAAGAAACATGAGGGAATGATATAAATCTAATGTGGAGATGGGACTTATCACGATCCCTGAAAGAAAAATTAAAGGCAGAAAAAAGTGGGCCGTGAATGTGGTGATAAATTCAGGGAGAAAACCAAATAACAAGGTAAATTAATTCACACCTGCGTCACCATCCAGCTCTGCGTCGGTACGTGTCCTTTTTGTGCCCTTTTGGTGCCGGGCCAACATTGCTGTGCACACAATTTGGACTGCTGTCCCTATGTTTTTCATTGCTGGTATAAGAAGTCCTAGTATGCCGCAGTGCTTAAATACAAAGGAAACATAACTTATTCTTTACTTTTTTATACATATTTTTGTCACTCAAAATAATGTTAAAACTTTTCCTGTAAAGCGTTGTCTATAAGTTTAGTGTAATGTAAAGTATCACTTGAAAAATGTGTGAGGAATGAGCACACACACCTATACTGTTTTTAAAAGCTGCTAGTGGGACTGATTTTCTAAAAATTTACATATCAAAACTTTCAAACTGTAGAAAAAGATATATTCGAAGCTAATGATAAGAGTGTTCAGGGAAAAAACACAAGAAAGCTAGTATATATGGCTTACAACTGTTCGAACTTGAAATTAAAGATGATGTATGCGAGTTTTTCTTAAAGCCACAAGTACAGCATGTGGTAAAATTAAAGCTTCCTTTCACTCTTAACCCTCCTTGTAGTTTCAGTACAACTACATTCAAAGCCATCCTGAATTTTCATTATTCTGTCTTCCTCTGTCTCACCTCGTCTCCTTCGCTCTAACGAATGTTTTCCTCCATCAGCCACACAGGCGTGCCTCCGAAACCACGGCCTCAACGGTTCTCCACCACTTCCACCTCCTTGTTCACTGTGTGTGTGCGTGTCTGTGTGTGTGTGAGGGGGCTGTATGCATCTCGCAGCTGCCAAATGAACAGTCGAAACCTTGATAGCATCATGACACAGGAAAGAAGCCCATGATGCAGACACTAGCTGTTACTGCTAAATGTGGAAGAAAGGGGAAAAGAGAGGTGAAGTGTTAATGGGTCTCTTTGTGGATAAAACAGATGTTCGGAGAGCATGAGAACACTTCAAACTTCTTCTCTGCGGCTTCTTTGTGGAGGTCAGGATGTGTTTCTGCTCACAGAAAGATTGTCACCACTGCTAATTTACAAAGCTTGATTCACAGTTTCACGCTATGTTCGCTTTGTTGTTTGGTTGCAGACTCAAAACAACAACCCTGAACATTTCACATTTTTGTAGCGCTTACGTAGTTTACATTTGAGGACTCATTTTTGTTTTTGGGTGTACTCTAACGCGGTTTCAACAATCCATGTCCTCTTTGAATTAGCAGCAAAACAAACAAACAAACAAACAAATCTAAAGCCAACATAATGCAGTTGTATTAAAAAAAAGCAGTGAAGACAAAGACACACACTCTCCTTTCTGCTGCACACTGAATGAGGGGCGTGACAATGAACGTCTGTGAATAATTTAAGTTATTTTAAGAAATGTAAAAGTCACTTAAGGTAGCGCTAGATGAGTCAGGTTTTCGGTTTGGCTGCTACGCCTTAAATATTAAAATTACAAAATGCACAATCGTGTACATGCTTTACTGAAAGGGGGCAAGGAAGTGATGATGATGATGCTTTCTGAAGTCACTGGTCCTCTCCCTCTGCAAAGACAAAACAATGAAGCAAATGTTTGTAAAAAAAAAAACAGAGTTAGAGGCTTATCGAAAAAGTAATCGTTTCTTTGCCTGTTTGCTGACATGCAGAGCAAATAAGGACATTTCATTACGCTAAAAATAACTCGTCTTGGCTCCTATATCTAATATTTACATCTCTTGCTGTCGGGACTTGAGGTTAATGGTGCGTTTACCTCAATTGCCAGAGCTGAGAATGGCGTCAAATTAAAGTTGCTCCAGATGGAAAACCTGATTCAAGAACGCAGTTCAGCCATTCGCTATGTGGGGTTTAGTTTTGTTAACAAGTATTTTTACCTGCTCATCTTCCAACAAAAAAAAAAGGTGTGTGTGTGTATATATATATATATATAGCTAGCTAGCTAGCTAGCTAGCTAGCTAGATAGATAGATAGATAGATAGATAGATAGATAGATAGATAGATGGATTGGTGCATTTATGGAAGAAGAAATACAATAAAGAAAAACTGTTCACATATGTTGATATTTCAACTTGTTTATGTTATTTTTAAAAAAAATATTACATGTCCACCTCTCCTTTTTTAATATTCTATGTCCTGTGAAGTTAAATACTCATTTCCAAGTCCATGCTGAGTCCTTACTTGAGTCCAAATCATGGAGTCATGAGACGGTAAATCTAAGACTGTAGTCCTGGACTCACAGCTGTTACTATGTTACACAGCAGTGGTTCAATACTATCCACTTTTTAAGTTTTTATCTGTTTTTTTTTTTTTTTTCCAAAATGTAAATTTGTTGATGCTAGAAGGATGGATACATACACGGTGACTAATTGTTACATACATAAATCTTTTGCACACTATGCACATTATGCAAATATATGTAAATAAGTTTATTTGGTGTTGCTCTTTTACTGGACTCCATAATAATAAAACTAAAGTCAATGTGACTCCTGACAAGTTTTTATACCCAAGGCGATAGATTCATATCTGCACATAATCTAGTTTAACAATCAGCTTATCTAAAATGCTGCGAGTGAACTTTGTTCACAGCTCCCATGTGCTCTTCCTGTCCCCAACGCCACCGCACTCCCCCACTTCTCCTTTTTCCCCTGCCCCACTCCTTTCATCACTCTACATCCACAGGGGAGATGTAAAGCTTTTGGAGTAAATCAAGGCTTTCTCCTTCATAAACGCCTGTGCAATTAACTTAGCTCCTTCTCACACTGATTTACGGCGGCCATGTTGGAGACAGGAGTCAGCCAGGCCCTCTGGGTTTTCAAAAGAGAGGACTAGTTGGCAAACTTCCCTCCCTCTCTCTCTCCCTCCCTACCTCCTTCTCCTTTGACACACACATACACACACTCTCTCTCTCACGCACACACACATACACAGACTCATTCACAGCTGCCTCTCTGAAAAGAAAATGATGGTTGAAAAGGAGAGGAAGAAAAGAGCAGTGAGTGAAGCGATGAGGCATAATGGCAGAGTGATTGAAAGCGGTAGTGCAAATTCATGCGACAGACTTCTTACAAAGGTGTGTATTTAGAGTCATAAAACATAACCAGTGTTAGAGTTGGCATTTAAAACATGAAAACTAAACCTGAAAATGACTTTCAAAACATAAAGTATGTAAAAATGTTGAAAATGACTCTGTCCTTTATCTTAAAGTCCTCATCTGTCTTCTGGAGATGTCGGGAAAGACACAAAAGTTAGTAGAAACACAAACACGCTGCTCTCTAAGTGGTCGGTAAAAGTAGGAAAATGAGAATTGATTGGCTCGCTCCTTTTTTGTGATAAGGATGATGAAGGTTTCAGAAAGAGACGCCTAACCCTGTAAGAATCACAGTGTGGTCCAGTGAGAAGCAGAGAAGCGTGTCCTGCTGATGTGCCCTTGAGCAGAGACAGCACCATCCTACCTGCTCGCTCCGTGTAAGCAGCTTCAGATAAATGGCTTAAAAGTTAAAAGAAACAGTGACACAGGGAAGTCAGATTTGGTTTCATAATCTTAATCACAGTTACATTTTGAAGTTAAACTGTGACAGGTTAAGAAGCTGGCTCTGAGGAACTTTTTAAAAGCACGGTGAAAGAAAGATTTTAAAGGCACAGTTCACCAAAACTTAAATCTTGCTTAATAATCAGGTTAGGTAAGATTTCAGTCTTTCGGGACAAAATCTAGATTGACAGGTTCATCTTTTTAACAAGAATATAAAGCTTCAAATTAGTCCAGATAGCTCAACAAACAAGTGTTGCAGAAAGTCTTTGCTGTGTATCCCAAGAATCCAGTATGTGTATCCTTTATTCTCCCACAGGCTGAGACATACAGATACATGGGTATTTACTTTCAGTGTTTGCTATTTCTCTGAAGTTCAGTGGAGTTTCAGCTGACAAGACACTGAGCAGACAATGACAGAATTTCATTTTACGCTCACTATTTCTTTAAAGACACTTTCTTTTAGCTGAAATCCTTTGAGTGCTGCTTTTAGACAAGCTGCTAAATTTAGCCTGGAAACATCCGTGATTTTAATAATTTATTCCCAAACTGGCCTGTAAGGATCAACTCTCACATCCTTCACCGGCTTTGTGCTGTAAGATGCAGCCACAGATCTCCCTGGTTTGTCAAAATATGATTCCCAGAATGTCTCTGATTCTATTTGAGACTCTGCTTTAATGCATTTCAGACTTATAGGCCAGGGCCCCTCCCAAAACCTACCCACATTTCCAGGCCCTCTGCACCCCCTCCATACACCCTCTCTCTCTCACACACACTCACATACCCCTGCAGAACCCCGGCCCTGCCCTTGACTGCCGGCTGCCGAGCTTCACACTGCCTCCATTCTTCCAGGCCACAGATTCTGAGGGGTTGTGTGTCTGTGTGCACATTTGTGTGTGTGTGTTTAAGAGTGTATTAGTGCAGACAGTGCACAAAGTGTGCTGCAAAGCCAGTGTCTGTGCTTGCATGTGTGTGGCAGTGCATCATGGGCCACAGTTGTGTTGTTTTTTTTTGGAGTGATTACGCCGTTAACGTGCAGAAGGGACGCGCTGCAGATGGGTTTAATGCATGTGGGAGGCTAATGTGCACATGAGGGTTTGCATGTGACAGAGCTAGAGGGAGAAACAGACGGATACTGCATGCCAGGATGTGAGCAGGAGTATTCAGGCAGATGACCCCCTACAACCCTCTTCCACCGCCCCCGAAACCCCCACCACCCTCACCCACCCAACTCGCTGCGCACAGGCCTGTACACAATGTTCTCATCAAGGCTGGCTTGTCGTCTCCTGGCACAGGATGTCAGTAGGGATGTAATTGGTCATCCTCGAATTATGTTTTTACTTCTGGTTAAATGAGCACAAAGTAATATTTAACTACTAGTCACCATTATTTGAGTTCCTGAGGGTGTATTGATTAAGAGCAGCGGGAAAGGCGGCGTGTAGAGTATGACACTGAAAGACAAAAAACATGTTTCATATTTAGAGCTTTATTTCACAGCTTTGCAAATGCACACAGCTGCCTTTAGGAGGTGAAAAGCCTTCAGTTTGGGTTCACAAGCGATCTCAAATGTGATCTACCACCTGTTGATGACAGAGTGATGAGAGTTTTAGGGTTAACATGTCATTTTTTTGGTGAATTGAAAATAACTTTGGCCTGAAGAGATATTGAAGACCAGTCCAAAGGTTATTCTGCTATCAAGTCTTGTGAGCAAACAGGTACTAAATTACATAAAGAAGAATTCTGGTGGGCAGTTACTTTTACCAAAGTTATAGATAGTCATAAGGCAAATAAAATCATTTAATGCAAAGGGGGAACACAACCTCCGCGGCATTGAAATCAAATCAAGCCAAAATGCAGCATCTATAACTGTCTGAACCTTGAAACAACTCCATCAACTCCAGCTGCTGCTGCTGCGGCGCTGTCATCCTTCTCTTCCACCCGAAACAGCAGGGGTAAGCACACCCGGACTTTAGCACGTCCTGCAGCTGAAAAATCAAAATCCAATGTTGAAAAATACATGTCAGAGTCAGAGAAATAAAAGCTAATCAGTCATTTAACTGAGGTGACACACGATTTTATGATGATGTGTTCAAGGCCGGGTTAGTAGAACGAGAATTAAGCGAAAATAATTCATATGTCAACATGATCTGTTTTAATGTCACATCAAGAAAACCTGCACTAATACAATTGTTTGGAGACTTTTATATATAAACTCTTCCGAACACAAACTCTCATTCATGTATATCAATTGGCAGTCACAGTATTCATTTTTATCCTCCTTTCACCCTGAAAATAAGTAAGCCTGTTTCCTTCAAACTTTGGTGTCATAACTGAATTGTACGGCTCATTTAAAAAATGTTGAAATTATGTTTCAGACTTCCCGACTCTTTTTTGTTTTCAACCCAATTATGATATTGAAATTTAGTGTTAGTGCTCACTGGGCTCCCATGTTGTTTCCTGTCCCCTATATGGTGTCCTTACGCTTCCTTCCAGCTATTAGTGCTTTTTTTGGTGAAAAAAGGAGGATAATACTGAGGATAAAACTGACATATTAAAAAAAATAAAAAATTATAAATTCTAGGGTTTTTTTGTTTTGTTTTGGTTTGAAAAGCCTCAAAGCTCATTTCAAATGAAAGATGTCAAAATGTTTGTAATATACTGTTAAATCCGTTGGTAACTACAAAAAGGGTATCATTAATTATAAAACAAAAGTATCAAGATATTGCCTTTTTAAAATTAGATAAGTCGCAATCGAACAGTTCAAGATGAACAATACCTGTTATTAGTAAGCATTATCTAAACATTATAAAGAACTTAAAGCTCCCCTAAGGAGTTTTTTTTTTTAATCTATGAAAGAGACTAAGATTCATATTGATGCCTTTTTATAATGTTTAAACCATAAAGACCATCAGTGGCATTATTGATAATTTTATATAGTATTTCTTAATACTGTGGTTAAAAACCCAAATCAAGCATGTGGAGAACAAGATAAGCAAAGACAACTTTGTCCACAGGAGGCACCAAAATGACAAACCGAAAGATCTTCACAGAAGCTTTAAGTGTTTTGTCGCAATGTGTGACCCCTGTGGACAAAATGGTTCATGTCATCTCTTTATTGGTCCTGTGTTGTACATGTGCAAGTAGTTTGGTGATATTTTGTCACAACTTCCTTACCTTGTCTTCTGACCATCACTCTCTGTGATTTCAAGGAAAATGTAAAGAAAAATCGTCTCAGCGATAAATCGTAGTTCAGCGCTGACAGGAATTATGATATAAGAAAAAAGGTCATTTCTATTGTAATGGTCTGGTTTGTTTATATCGTCAGCTCTAAAATATTTTTTATGTTACTGCTTAAAAAAAAACTCAACTCAGGATTTTTGAGGTGTGATACTTAATGACATAACCACCGCCAGTATTGATCATAAAACTTGAACAGTTTGATTGGTGTCCACCATGAACCTGAAGCTACCTTTGCCTCCAACTTCCTACCTCTGCTTCCTCTGCTACCACATGGTCACTAAATCACAGAGACAGCAACATAACAGCAGCTTACCTCCGTGTTAGCCCGCGGCACCAAGCGCCTTCTCCCCCTCCTCACATCTTCTCTTTGTAGCCCCTGCCAAACACTGTCACTCCAAATCTCCAACTAACCTGCCTCCTTATGGCGACCATCCGCAGAAGGCGGCCACGGTGGCATGGCAGAGCCACACGGCACCATCTGCTGTAGCGGGCACGTGGAGGTGGAGGAGGTAGAGGAGGAGGAAGAGGAATGGGGCAAAGCTTTATCTATCCTCCTACCTCCTTCAACCAAATCCCTCACTCCCCCCCACCAACCTCCACTCCCCACCTCTATCTATCCCCCCCAAAAACCTCCTGATAATTTCAAGGAATCAAGGGTCCCTCTGCGCTTGGATTTATGAACTCTGGCTGTAGTCATGGCAACTTTGTATTTGAGGAGGGGTGTGAGGGGTGTTTGGGTGGGAAGGGTGGTGGTAAAATGTTTGGTGTGTGTGTGTGTGTGTGAAAGAAGAGGCATTGTTGTATTGGTATTCAGGGTGTCAGCAAACCAGAGTAATTGCCGGGTCTTTATAAAGAGGAAGAGGTAAAAGCTTGTCTGGGGGCTGCAACTCTCTAAATACTCCCAGAACACACACGGCTGCAGGGAATAAACACTCACTCTGTTTATTTTGCCTGTGGACAGAAATTATTTTTATAATTTTTCCTGGCACAACATTGATGGAAGGGTCAATTCAATTTAGCTGAGAGCAAAGTGAGACTTGGCACGGCGTCTATTTTATTTCACTGAAATTTACCCTCACGAATGCCTCCTTTCCCCTAAATGCGCAAAGATAGATGTTAGCTAGCGTTTAACCATCACCCCGCGTTTACACCTCTGTATCATATGGCACATGTAAATCAGGGAAACATAATGTTTGTGATCTGTTTACTGCCTCCCTGACTGTGTATCTGCGGCTCACTCCAGGATGTATATATCTGCTTTCAGCCTCTTATCAGGCGCTCACAGTGTTCCCTGTAAAGCACAGACTCAACCACTATAGAGACGTACTCGCTGTGAAAAGACCGAGAGAGAAAGAGAGACTGATAGAGAGAGAGGAGAAGAGAGAGGGGGGATGGAAAAAAAAAAATCTCCTGACACCTCAGACTCCACTTCACAGCCAGTGAAGGAAGAAAGTGAGCAAGCCGCTAAGCCTTCCCTCCCTACTGCCGCCTGCAAGGTGGAGATATTACCGTTCACATTTGGACAGATGCGAGGATCCCACTGTGGTGCGTGTGTATTTGTGAGTGATTATATGTGTGTGTGTGAGGTTAAGGCCTTAAACTGAAACTGAGATTTCTTCATTTGTGAAACACCTTAAACTGTTTGATCTTTTTTTTCCTACACAGTCCTAGTCCACGGTTATTTTATCCTTGACTCAAAAAACTCTTAAATGTCAATTTAAGTATAAATGTAGTCGAGGTAACTGTTTGCATCTACCTCCCAGAGTGTTGCATGCTTGTGGGGAACAATGCATGGATGCTGACTTTTACGTATCCCAAACGGTCAATTTTCGTGAGCCTGTAAACAGTTTTGTTACGGTCATATTTCTAAACGCACGGCAGGATTATGTCTGAGTGTGAGCTTTCGAAAGCTTTACAAGTGAGCTGCTTGAGGGGGACAAAACAAACAAACTACAGAAGACGGAGGCCCTATTGGGTGTAATACTGTGAACTTAGGGAAGAGCGAGACAATAAAAGCATAATCAAACATGACATGATCATATTGCCCCCATAATGTCAACTGCTGATCGCAAACATTCAAGACAGAAGCCAGGCTAAAGAGACAGAAATATTACAGTGTGCACACGCCTGAAGAAAAAAAAAAGGAAAAAACCAAAATAAATACTCCTAAAACAGCTGCAGTCAGCACAAGAACTAACACAAAATGGATAACTAGGAGGAAGTCTGAGTGACTTGTCCAAACCCCAGTCTCATGTCTTATGCACTTTCATGTTGCATTATATTTAATTATAGATCATACCGGGGCAGCCCTTAACAGGGCCGGCTGCCTCACAGGTACAAACAGCTGAATAATTCAGCAGCAGGCGTGTAGGATAGGATGTGGTGTGAGTGCAGCGAGAGAATAAGCTTACTGTTATCCAACTCTCTGCTCCTTCTTGCTTCAGGACAAAATGGAGATTCAAGGAGGTTAAATGGCAGATTTTTTACAAGCGTGTGCAAGGTATAAACCAGACAGGACACATTTAGCAAGTAAAATACCTGTGTTTGGGTCCGCCAGAACAAGCTGGTGTTTCCTGGTCCTTCAACTGTATTATAAAACAAGCTATAAGGCATTAAACCATGTCCAAGTTTCTACACTGCAGGCTGACAGTTGACTGTTTTCATGTTAAACCTATTACTGTTAGCTTTTTATTCTTTCTTTACTGTTATAAGAGAGAAAATAGGCAGTCCAGCAGTTTAGTATTGTGACAAGGTGAGAGAGAGAGAGAGAACACTCAGGCTCCATTAACAGCCCAAAACAGAGAAGTCTTCACTTTGTGTTTCTAAAAAAACACTAGTATGCATGCCAGGCCGCTCATTAATAGTATAACTTTGCATGAAACACAACAGAAAAGAAGATGAGCACCATGTGCCTGGGAATGAGAATAGCATCAACATAGCCTTAAGTACAAACTGGGAACATAATGAGTATGTGTGAATGTACTGTTTTCACAGGATCTATGTATTACCAGTTTTTACACATTTACTGAATGGGGGACTCTGTTTGGAACATGGTTTCAAGAGTTAGCATTTACAGCCACCCAAACAAAGCATTGTGCTATCATTCTTTCAGGCAATTCAGCTATTCGTTATTGATACCTGCAAACTAATACCACACTATTATCTGTTCAACCATCCCTACACATAAATCTGAGCTTGATAGTTATCTGTATGCTATCCTTGACATGCAATTATGTGCGTTTTGCTAACCAAGCAGCTGGCCACTTCCTGCAGTTTAATTAAGGTCCATACTGGAGGTGACCTTTGACTTTGAACTGTACGGCCCCATCTTTGCCGCCCCTACCTCCCTCTCTTGTGAGTTATGGAGGTGCGCAACAATTCTGATCCCTCTGAATGCACCTTTTCCAGCTGCTGCCTCAAGCATGTCTGCACCTTCTGCTGAGGTGTTCATGCCAGGAGCACCTGCCCTCACAACCCAACCACACCTGTTGATGAACTATCGCAGCACCTAAACACACCTGTTAAAGTAAAGGCTCTTATGACAGCTCTAAAAAAAGAGCATCCAGACAGTTTGTTAATTACTCCTGAATAGTATCACTCACAGTTTCTATCCTGATACGAATACACCTCCTCACATGTCACACACCTGCCATAACCTCTCGCCCACTTTGAAGGAGCCTGCTATCATTCGTCCTTTGTTAGCAAAGGAGGTTCATGACATTTCTAATCCACAAGCCGTCTTATTCTGTGTTTTAATCAGCCCTACAGGCAAGGCCACTCAGACATAGTCTAGTAAAAAGAGACTAATCCTGGGCCTCTTCTGCACTTCTGGCTCATTCACTCCAAGCCTCACCAGTGTCATTCCTTCATTCCTTGACCGTCATCTTAGACTTTACCATGTTTGTGTGTATCACCTTTGGTTGCAGAAGTAGTCCAAAGATTGTTGATTCCCTTGTACAAGGGAAACAGCTCCGATCTGGAATGGGAGCGATTTTCGCCGTCCTACCGGGTCCGTTTGTGAGTTGAATTTCTTGGCGGATGACAGACAGCAGGAATCGCAAAAACTCACAGGACCCCGTGGATTCACGTGCAATCGCGCAATAACAAGTTGTCTTTAGCCACATAGGCTAACCATATAAGCAGTAGATCTTGTCTTTCCAGAGGAGGAAATCTACTTCTAGACTTTTAGAATCCGCATCTACTCATTCATGGTGTCATTGGGATGAAATGCTGTCTATAAACCTTGTTCATCCCAGCCTGTTTGCATGTTGTGAAATACAATACCGCCTGAAACACAGAGTGTTTCATTTTGAAAGGAAGCCGGATGTTTTATTTTGTGTCTGTGCCGACTTCCTTTCCAGCACTGGTTAATATGCTCCGGTGTCCGGAAAAAATAGAACTCTTGCGATCAGCTGCAGAGTCCGACGATTTCTAAGGAAAAATACAGCACATCAAAAACTACACATGGAGTTCCCCAAGGCTTCATCCTGGGGCCTCTTCGGTTTATCTTTTACGTGATTAAGTCAACAGAATCAGCTTTGAACAATTTTTAATTGGACTCATCTGTTTAGTCATTTTTAAGATTTTTTGTAGAAACTAGATCTAACAGGAATTTCCTTCTCTTTGTCTTATTATAGGGTAGTAGCTAAATTAGGTACATTATTTTCAGTGTTAGGTGGGTTCCTTTTACAAGCCTATGTTTTTTTTAAAATGTCATGTGTACTTATGTCATCTTTAAATCCACTTTTTAGCCCAGATAAAGATTATATAAAGAAAGTATAATCCATGTGCATGTGTTCACTTAAAATCCCAAAGATTTTTGCTGAATTCAGGGAACTTTTCAGGAGTGTTTTAGTGTATAAAAGCTTTAAGAGATTAGACTTAAATAATCAGCTTCAGCCAACTATTCTTCACTTTATCATCACAAGAATATCAGAAAAAATACTGACTGCATTTGTAAACATGTTGAGAATACGTTTGTTTCTGTTTTAGCCAACTTCTTTTTTTTCTTGGCTTTTTAAGAGTTTGTTTTGATCAATCTAAAATCATCTCAGTTTTGTTTCGTTGATCCTGTTTGTTTCCTTATTTGGTTGCTGTAATGATTCTCTCAGTGCTAAAAGTGAAACACAAATAATCTTTTTACACAGACCCTGTATGTTGCTTGTAGATATTGCTGCACCTCTTCCAAGGCAGATATCAGTAATTTGAAAATATTTTTCGTGCCTGTCCCTTGCATTTGAAAAAAAAAAACTAGGCTGTCGTGATTATTTATTTCTCGGGGGGATGTTTTTCTGGAACTTGTCAGTAAAATTGTAGCCACAAGAGTATCTAAGGGATGCTCCTGTTAAGCCGACACAGCAAATTTAGTCAACACTGTAGCAACACTGTAGAGCTACAATTTTACAGTACAGGCACTATTTGTAAAAGTAGGCTACAGGCACAATTTCTGAATAAAGCGGATGCTTGTAGTAGCATTTTAATGTTTCCAGCTGCTGTCTCTGCTGACTGTGTTAAAAGGCGGCTTTGGATTCACAGCAGGAGTCAGGAGAGGTGGGAATGTGTTCTGCACTCCTCAGTGATTCCGGCTCAAACTTCAGAAAGAGAAGGAAAACTCTGTATTATTCCTTTCCCCGTCTTTCCCAACAAAACAGGCTGTATTGTTTGGGAAAATTCTCCAACTTTGGCCTTTTTAATCTAGGTCAGATATTGACTGTAAAATTTTTACTGGTCTTGAATGTGAAAAAAAAAATCCAAAAACATGCTTTTCTTTTAGTCTATAAATTATTTGAATCCCTTTATTTAAAAAAAAATCCCCTACTTTAGATAACATAATGTATGAAAAATAGAGAGAAAACAAAGTTTTTTTGGTCATGAGCATGAGAAAATGAAGATGGCTTGTAGGACACGTAAGAGGAAGACATGCAGATGGGGGGTTGTGTGGGTGGAGTGACAGAATGAGAAAGAAGGGGGAGAGAGGAGTGGATGCAATGAACAGGAAGCATCCGGAATGAATTCCCAGAGATGGCCACGCATGGCTGGGCTGAACTGGCCTGGATCCGGGGAGGTGCAAGCTGGGTTGGGGGAGGTTGAGAGGCTCCTGCAAGTCCAGCTGGACAGAAAGAGAGAGACAGAAAGACGACAGAGAGAGAGGGAGAGAGAGGCCCCCAGGCGCCGACAGGTGTAGCCCTCCACTCCAGCTGAGGCCTCGCAGCTGACCTGGATCTCTGGATATTTCCCTCAATGTCTCTTTCTCTCTCTTCCCCTGTCAAAACTCATGCTTTAACTCTGAGGGAAACACGCACGACAAGCTACAGTTTGTTACACCATGTTCGCAATCTTTCATTTAACAAGGCAAGGCTCTGAAACAGACTGCATGCAGCACAGCCACAATTCATCACATTACTGCCTGGAGTCAAAGCTGGCATCCTTTGTGAAACACCAGAAAAGTCCCCCTTCATCCATCATGCATCTTATTGAGAATAATTATCATCACTTGACTGATATAAAGATGCAAACAGCAGAGTACAACGACGCCAAGGCAGTTAGCTTTCAACCACAAGAAAGTGTATAAAAGTTTCATGTTTTTTGAGCAAGTTATTCCGCTAAGTATCGAATACAAAGCAGCAGCATTCATCTACAATAAAAGCAAAAAAAAGGGGGTTTCTTACAGTGGTTATGTGTTATCTAATTACTGAAAGCAATAGGAAGGAACGCAACAGTTTCAAAGCTCCTGTGGCTGTCTGTTTTCATTGATTATGGCACCCCCAGTGGACAAAGAGTGTTTTGTTTTTGCCGATTTATCTAGTCTAACATTCTACTCTGTTGAATAGCTGTCACTTCTTACCGGAAATTCGAACCTTCATTCGACCTCTTGCGTAAAAGTTTATAATTAAATTGTAGTGAGCTGTTGAGCTAATAATTATACAGTACACCGCTGCATTAGCAGGAGCCAGCAGAGGGCGCTTTCATCGCCACTACATGCACTCCTCACCCCAGTAGGCTAATGTAGTAATAATGTATAAAAACGAGAGATGTGGACAAGTGAAGCCGCACAGTTTTTGGCTATTTGTTTTTGCTGGGTGGGCAAACTGGTCACTTTGCCTAGCAATGTAACACAAACTGGTTAAAGGATAACTGTGAGACAAGTAAGAATCTAGCCACACTTTCAAACCATAGGGATACAAAACGATAGCAAAAACATAAAATCTTCCCCCAGAGTGGAGTGAGGATCTTTTTTCTTGGTAGTCTGTCTTCATCAACTTTGGCCTTGTTGAAGAAGAATTGCTTAGAACAGAATTTCCCGCAACAAGACTGAGTTCCCTTCCAAAACAACTCTACGAACCCAAAAGAGAGAGAGTCGAAGGACCTGATTTTGTGGGTGTAACAACACCATTTTTAAAGCCTCAGTCCTGATCTGGCTAAACACAAGAAGAAGTCTTGATGATGGGAAAGTTGTGAAAGTTTGTGGAGTGGAAGCATCTAAGGCCCCCTGAAGATATAAAAGTACATAAATTTTCACTTTTCAGTATAAGAGATCTGATGTTAAGTGGCTAACATGCTATTTCCTTCAATCCACGCAGTGATTTCCATGTGAGTTTGTATCACCAAAAAGGATCTCAGTCTAGTTTTTAATACACACCAGTGTTAATTTCTTTAACAAAAACTGTCAAGGTAAATGTTTCTCATCAAGGGGGCTGAGTCCAGATCTCCCACCCCACAGGAAAAAAATAAAATAAATTATATAAATCCTTAATGACCACACACAGAATATTTGACTTGGAGTACAGATTAATCCTCTTTATGCCTTACTAGATCAGCGCATTGCATTGGCAGGAGAGTCAAAACCAAATCATCCAGTTAAGATCAGGAATCTCAGTATGACACAAGTTTAAGTGTTGAGAGTGAAACACTACAGATTGAAACACTAGTACAACCTTGATACCAACTTCTAACAAACTGAATAACTTTGAAGACAGAAAAGATTGTGACTAACAGTAAGGACCAAAATCTTAACTGTCTACAACTGGACTAAAACTATTTGATTTTTCATCAACTGCAACCATTTGGCACAAAAATGACTAAAATGTGAATAAAACTAAGAGACTTTTGAGTCCAATGACGAGGACTTAATCTAAAATAGCTGCCAAAATCAACACTGATGCACACTGAGTCTGATTCAAGGATCTGCTGACACATAAGGAAGAAAAACGAAGTGTCATTATGCAACAGGGGCTGTAATGAACAAAACCATGTCTCTCATAAATTCAGTCACCTCCTTCCAAAAAAAGACGTAAGAGCTTCCTCAGGTTAATGTTTGTCTCTTCTGAAGCTGACAGAATAAACAATGCTGTCATCAACTTTCTTTCCTCAAAGCTGAAGCATTAAATTAAAAGAAAGAAGAAGGAAGAGCTATTTTGATGTTTGGTAATCAGAGAGTACCTTGGAAATCACCCACTAGCTGCTTACCTCTCAAAAAGAAGAGCTGAATAACATGTCCATTATTCAATCTACGGAAGCAAGTAATTATAGTAGTAAAAAGTGGTTAAATTAAACTTCTCATTTAGATTGATGGTGAAAGAGTCGAATGTTGTGTGGAGCAGAGGATGGCCTCATTGTCGCAGTTCTGTGCAATATTATAATATCATTACATGAAGAACAAGGAATTATCCCTCCAGTCTCAAAAACATCTTTTTACCAATTAGTGTTTCTATCATCCTCCTAACCTTTTTTGTCATGTTCTGTTATTTGAAACATCAACCCGATTAAAAGTAGCCCGGCATTAATTTAATTTGCCTCGCCGGCTCTTTACGTGAGGCGACTCTTAACATGATGAGTAAATGAGTATTCCAATATGACAAGTTAAAATGATAAGGTCAGGGCTGCTGCGTAGAGAGAGCCCATTTTCTGTCATTCAACAAAGGCCTAGATTACACTCATGTTAAATAAACAATGAATTAGAGCAAGTGAGCAGGAACAGATTGATTTGCTGTTAGCAGCACGGCAATTAATCTTACACCGCAAATGAGGATGAGTAAAAAAAAAACAAAAAAAAACACTGAGGATGAAAAATACAATGAGCACCGTTGTGGAGGCAGCGTTGTTTCATGTCATTGTCAAATAAAGTGAGTGTTATGTACTGTTCTTATCACAGGCCTTGCCTAACGGGGTTTTCATACTTTGTTTTCTTAAACTGTGTTTCCCCTTGTAAGAATTTTGAGGAAAGTACAAATCAGATCGCTTCATTTATCTCCTGTGCAGGTGTTTTTTTTTTGTGAGACTTCAAACACATAAACAAAGGAGATGAGTCAATTTGCAGAATGTCATTCAATCTGAGATGTTTTTTCAAAGAGGGCTCCTTATTTTAGGAAAGACTTTTGAGTAAAAACAAGATGTTACAGTTAATTAGTTTTTCACACTTGTAGATCTGCACTTGATTGGAGTTTGTGAAAGTTTGGTTTTGAGTTATACCACGTATGATTTTGTTTCTCACAAGGTAACATAACTGTATGCACTTGCGGAAACTTCTGGCACTAATGCTGCATTCGAGTTAGAAGTCCGTGCTGGGAATGACGTCTCACCCAAGTTACCAGCGTTTCAGTTACCAAGTCGGAAAAAAGCAAAATCGGCAAGTTATGAAAGTTATTTAAGCACTTGCCTTGTGCTGATATTCGGACAAAGCAAACGCTAAAATAACTTTCGTAGATGTAGCCATCTTGTTTCTGCTTCCGAAACGCTGGTAACTTGGGTGAGACGTCATTCCCAGCTCAGACTTCTGACTTCCGAAGTAACTCAAACGCAGCATTAGCCGGACTTTTATTAGTGCCAGTTTTTGTCAAAGTTATAGTGTTTGGCTATTTGAACATAATTGTGTTTGCTCCTGAAACAAACCACACACTCTTTTATGAACAAACGCATGCATGTACACTCATGTGGATATTATCAGCCGTGCTCAGCTGAGGCTCCAGGCCTGTCCGGTCCCCACGGCGCAACAGTGACCAGGGGAGGAAGAGCTTATCTCGGCCCCCGGCCCCTCCCTCAGCCCCTTGCGTTGGCTCCATGAGCTGGGAGGCAGATGCCACACGAGCCCCCAGTGTGGCGTATGTCTGTGGCCAAAGCGTATAGCGTTCAATGCTTAAGGGACAGGCTTTTGAACCAGACAGTCCATCCCGTCCGTGTGTTTGTGTGGAAATGTGTGTGTGTTTGCAGGGCACACAGCAGATGGAGGTAAAGGCTTTTAGTATGACCAACTCCCTCTGGCCCACCTGGACCAGATCAGAGCATTTGGTGCTCAAACACACACACACACACATGCACGCACGCACACATTTTCACACGTGGACTTAAACCGGCTGTACTCCCTGGATGATAATAAATGGGGCTGAATTAAAACCAGGTGTAGATTTGTTCCAGGAATATTTGCTTCCTTTAAATTCATGCAGACGTGATCAGTGGGTGTTTAATGATGTGGTGATTGAGATGAGTGTAATGAAGATGATCACTGCAGAGATAAATCACATGATGCACTATGAGAAAGTGAGGGTATTTTTCTCCCCCCTCAACCTAATTCCTCTGTTTTTTTAACTAATTTCAGCTGATAGCAATTCCTTTGTGAGCAGCTGAGCAAATCAACTACCTCTTCACATCCGGCATGTTCTCACACTCACACTGCACTATGTTCTCCATTCATAACAAACTATCTCCTCATTGAAATGGTGAGTCTTTCTTGGGAAGACAAAGGAGAGAACAGGTGTTTTTGGAACACTCAAGCGGAAAAATCTCCAAATGAATTTTAAAGAGATGGGGTTAACGGCTTCGAAAAGCTCCTTTCGTCTCAGCGAATTATGCTAAGTGTTCACAAAACATTGGTCTAAATATAGGGGCTGGAATGCGCTGCAGATTAGCTCGCACAGTGATGGGTCTATAAGACGATGGCACAGAGCTGTCTTCCTTCTCTGAGTGGCACAGCTTTGAACCCCACTGCTCAAATTTTTCTCCACAGTGGATACAAATCTGCGAGCGTATGTGTGTGTGAGCGTGCGCACCTATTAGCCCGACTGTGTATCATCAAAACTCAAACCAAAGGTGAATGGATTTTCCATGTTTGAAGCAAATCCTATGTGTTTGCTCGAAACCGCTGACGTCTGAGGCAGGGCACTGCGGTAGAATGAAAATGACGCCAGTAGAGTTCATTTCAGAGCCAGAGCACCTTCCTCTCGGCTGTTTGAAAGCATCAAAGAAAGTCTGACATTTTGGCTCTCCAGGCTAACTATATCGTCGAGGTTGCAACCCCCCGAAAAACAGAACGGTTAAACTTGCTCGAGCCCTGTTTCAGCGAAGACACCCATGGTTTAATACTGGAGTCATTCCTTTGATGTACATTCACACATGCGCATGTCTGCCTCTCGCACAGGCACAATACATTTGCTGAGATAAAGTGACTGCAGTGTATGACCCATTTTGCAGAGGCAGGGTTTTACTTTCATAACGATGGGGTGTGAGCGAGTGTGTGTGTGCGTATGAATGCATAACCAGAATCTTACACCAAGATGATGCAGCACGACAGGCTTTTAAATCTTAAAAAGGAAGTGCTAGGCTGGTTTCTGGTAAAAGTGCGACTGTCACAAGTCCACTCATAATGCCGTTAACTGTATTCCCTCAGGGCGACAAGCGAAGCGGCACCGAAAGTACTCACAAGTGGCGAGAAAAGGGGAAGCTTTGTCTTCAGTCAAAGAAATTCAAAAATCTAGTTCAGGGGATGTGTTGTGAAATATATTTCATGTTCTTTAAGTGTGGTGACAAGCTTCGAAAAACCCCTTGAACATGCTCCTCAAGCAGTTAATAATCATTGTTTCACGGTGTTGGAGGAGCGAGGCGAAGATAATGTTTTGTGTCGAGATAACGCGTCGCCTTATTCCTGCCGCCTCGCGTTAACGCACGAGACAAATGGAATGGGCGCATCGCCTTGGAGCCATCCAAATGAGGGTGTCTGCCGTGAAGTGAAGTGAAGTGAAGGAGGAGGAGGTGGAAGACGAGGGAAGAGAAAGAGGAGGGGGGCAAGTGCCACAAAAATTCGGGGAGCGGCTGCTCGACCCTTGCGGCGCATCACGGCAGCAGTCAAGTGAATGTGAAAACAAGAGAAAGCTTTGCGGAATATTGATTTAATGCCGCAGCCAGTGCAGGGGGAAGATGCGCGCTCCAGATTACGTGCGCTCTATTTCCCACCCATACAGAACCTTGAGTTCATCTGCCTCAACACTCCAGAGGACCAGAGTCGAAGAGAGGATGTTCTTTTATGTGCCGTTACCCTCTGTGAAGTTAACCAACATGATGATACAGAGGAGGGAAGAATAGCATAAATATGTAAAACATATCATGGCCCCTACATTTCTATACATGTAAAGGAGAATATCAGAGGGTTTCCTCGCCCACCACATTACTGTTAGCATGTTACTTCTTCCTAATTAGCTCCCTGTCTCTTAAATAATGGATCAGCTTTAGAGGTTGTCAGGATCGAAACATGATTGAAAGGTTGGTTTTTAGCTCCAGTGACCGGATAGTAGAAGTGTTTCTGGTGTTTTCGCCGTTGATATCTTTCTGTTTTTATTCTTAATGGTCAAACGATTTCTTTATGTTTGTCAAATCTGAGCCATGATTACTGTTTTCTCGAGTTTCTTCTTCATTGATCCATAAAGCACAATAAGCCAGACCTCCATTGTAAAAAAGTATGACTAGAATTGGATGATTTCTTCTTATTATTGTGTACATCACTGCAGTTTATGCTTCTTATATCAAACGTTTACCCTTCAAGTCATATTGATCAAACTATAGTTCAAAGTAAAAGCAAAACTATAATCTAAAAAGTTGTATTTATTAACTTTTTGTTGTGATACTGGAAAAAGTTCCACTATTTGGTCCAAAATGGCCACATCTTCAAGTTCAGAGGCTATCTAAAGTTGATGTACAGACTCACCAGACATTTTCACTCCTTCCTCTTTTTTTCACAGAGAGGAAGCTGAATGAGTGTTCGTATCTCCTCGCTGGTTTCCGTGTAACTTTGTGAATCCATGACAGAATAAAAGAGAAGATCTTTAGGACAATTTGTTACTTGCAGCCCCCTCATCAAAACCCCCCTTTTTAGCTGCTGAAAATTATGAACAGTGTGCCGCACTCACATTCTTGCGCACAGCCAAGTGAGGAGGCGCCTCCGCTCCCGTCCTGGGCCAATGGCGCACAGAGCAGCATTATCATACTGATCCCCGGCTGGCCAATGGCGCGCGTCTCCCCGGCTCACATGACGCCTTTCTGTGCGCTCCCTCTCCTTTCAGCGCTCAATCCCGGCGAGTGCAGGCATCACTGAAGACCTGACACCGGCAGAATCGGACGTCCACCGTCTCCGGCAGAACAAACCAGGTGTTATCTCGTTTCCAAACTTTTATCTCCATCAAGATGAAGCCGCGCGTCCTGTCGATGAGAAGGCCTCTGCTTCGCCGGAGGAACAGACTTTTTTCCCCCCGTCTACAAACGAGCAGAGAGACGCAGGGGCGAGACAATAACGCCCAGAAGTTATGAAAATGAATCGTAAGTTGGCGATGTTTGATATTTTTCGCTTTTAATCTCTTCTCTTTCACCAGTTTTCCTTCAGGCAATAGTTCTGACGGCTACATCGTCTTTTTGCGGACGACTTTTCAATGTATGACTGCATGTGTCATTTTTGCGCCGTACGCTTTCTGTCATTTCTCTTTAAATTTTACGCATATATTATCCGTATTATTGTTACCAAACGCTTTCCACGCTTTGATCGCTACACCTTCAATGCTTGGCTGATCCCTGAGTGGATTTTGTGCTGTCGACATTCTTTGTGTGGGTCGGTAAATGCCCTCGTTGTGGATGTGTGGCTGTGTAAGCGCAGCGCCATAGCATGAAATATAGATAAAAAGCACACGGTAAACCCGCTGACCCCAGCCAGTCAGGCTGTGCAACCGGTCCACACGGCTCAATGAGGACAATTAGGGGGGGCAAGGGAGAGAGAGAGAGAGAGAGAGAAAGAGAGTGAGAGAGAGAGAAAATGGAGTACTTGAAGCGCACTAAAGCAGGGCTGCACTTCACTTCAACCCGGCAGGCAGGATAAGGGTGGATCTTCAATAACCTTATGTGACATTTCCAATGCAGGATGTGACTAAAAATTAAGAAGAGAAGGAAAATGTTGCTGAAGTTTGGCCCCCGGGTCAGGCTTGGAAAGAGAGGACATAGTTAGACAGGAATTCTTCTTGTGCAGAAATGTTGTTCCACCAAATTATTTACGTTAAATTCCAGAGAACTTGACACACACACACTTTGAGGTCATGTCAATCACTGATCCCTTTTATTGATTGGAAATTTAGGGAGAAGGGAGGGTTGAAGTTTTATGTACATAAGAGAGTCAAAGTTGAAAATGTATGCCCTCTGATTTTCCATGATTTCTGCACAATCAGAGGGAAAGACAGAGCGGGTGAGGGTGGAGGAGTGGTGATGGTGGTGGGGGGAGAGACCGGGGCCATTTGATGTTTTGAAAGGCTTCAGATGGCTTTAATTAGGACCTATAAAATCTGTCTGCCCCGTTCTCTGAGGCGGTGCTCTGGAGAAGCAAGAAGGGAGGGAAGCTGACAAGAAAAAAACAAAACAAAAAAAAATACAAAAGAAAAAGCAAACCAATACAGAAAGTCACTTCAGCAAAGGATTGTCTAATCAAAATTTTATAAGCCTCCTTTTTTCTCTCCCTCGCACACTCCCCTCCTTGATGCTGGTGGTATGTAGGCAGCCCTCCTATTCCCTCTTTGTCTGGCTGCTGTGTTATCTACACCCCCCCCATCCTCCCACCCCCCCTCAACCTAACTACCGCCTACAGTCGCCCGAGCCCAGACACCTGAACGCTAGACATAATGATCAAGAGAAGTTCCTGTCTGTCTGGGGCACAGCCAGTTGTTGAAGCTTTTCTTCTTCTACTCAGTTTTTTTTGTACCCGTGCTGACCTGGCAGGCCCTCCCTTCGCCCGTGACTCTTGCTATGATGTTAGCGTGTGTCCGTGTGTGTAACTGGGTCGCAAGTTCTCTGCAACTGCTTCTGTTTCTTTGCCGCCGTATTTCCTATATGGATCTTTAATGGAGTGTAGGTGACTCACACAGCTGCATTACACACACACTCATGAGGAAACATCAAAGACTTCTTATGCTCTTGTGTGCGTGTGTGTGTGTGTGTGTGTGGGTTTAAAGTGTGTGTCTCAGAGTGTGTGTGTGTGTGTGTGTGTGTGAGAGTGAGATTTCAGCTGTTCTGGCGAAGCATCTGCAAGATTATAGGTATGGGGTTTTGCCCTGTAGTTATTATATTTTTCATGTTTGTTCAAAAAGCTGGTTTCTCCGCTGTGCTAGTTAACTATCATGAAGCGTTGTGTTGAGTGAACTGAATCTTTTTTCCACTTCTAGGAGGCTTTAAAGCTGTTTTTATTTCTGCGTTATGATGTAAGACCTGCTTTTTCTTGGAGTTCAAAAGAATTTTAATCCAAAAACCAATAATTTGCCAATTAAAACAAACAAGTGTTGAATCTTTTGAGTCCTGAGCATAACCATAAAATATAATTCCAGCTTGAAGATGGCTTTTGTCTCCTACTGGAGGTTTTGATTGAGTCTGTCGCTTCTCTAATCTTGAGGTGGGCGTCTTTGAGTCGGCCTAATGCTGAAGTAGCGTCAGAAGTTAAGAAAAAGGAATAAAAAGGAGTAATTTTGAAGCCAGAGTTGGTAAAACGGCACAATATGTGCCTTCTCTGACAGACAAATTCATCTCCTGGAGTGTCTTCCCTTTGAGGAGTGCGTGTCTTTTGTTTGCTTGATGTGTGTTGGTGAGGGATTACATCATTTTGCTGCTGCTGGGTTAGCTAGATAATAAACTAGCTTGCTTGCCGGAAAATAGCTGGTTGGAGTGAAGGCTTTGTTCATGCGTTTGGTTGACAACACGGTGGAAATCAGTACCGCTACAGTGGTGTATGTTTGTTTTTCTGTCGCTAATCCAATGAGACGAATCATTTTGATTTTGTATTCTGGGTTGTTTTCGTCAGTGATGTCCATTTTTGATAAACTTGTTTGTTTGGAGATTATCCCCTAACAGCTGGAATAGGCTCCATCTGAACCTTTAACCCTGTAATCTGCTCAGATACCATGTTATGGAGTTCAAGTGTTGGTAAAATTTGCACAAGGCTTCAACCAAAATCCTGTCTCTTGTTTGTGTGTGTTTTCTGGGAGCCCATTCTGTGTATCATAGCATCAAGGAGATTGAGGATGTCTCTTCCTCTGCCACCACCCTTTGAAGAGGGAAGTAATAAAAAGCTCAATGGGTGCAACAAGCTGTTCTGAGGCTTTCTACCTGGAGATGAATAGGAGGCCCCTCCATAACGAAGGGGGAGAAGAGGACATTTTATTGGAGGCTGAGGATGTGGGGGATGCACCGTTGCTTATAGACACTTGGTGTGAAAAAGTCTAGTTGTACCAGTTTACAGGAAAGTGCTGTCTACTGAGTTTTATGTGGGTATAATTATTATTTGGGCAACCAAAAGGCATAATTTTCTAAACCGCTAATCTGTCAACATGTTTGAGTAAAAATGATTAAAATCTGTTCAGCTTTAAGTAGGTCAAAAGGGTGTTTTGTAAACATTAACAAATTGTCCTGTTAAATCCAGCTTGAAGTAAAATACTGTCTTCATAGTGAGATAATACAACAGCCATGATAATGACATTGGGAAATCACAAAGCCACAGATTAGGATTTTCAGTAACCAGATTTATGCGTGAAGGAGTGAAGTCATGGTCAGGAATGTAAATGGCGGAGTCATTCAATTACTGCCATGCCCTTTCCTGGGAAAAGTCCCCAGCCGTGAAGAGGTTAATTGTTTTTGAATCTCCATCCAAGGGGAGAAAATGGGCGAACGGGAGGGATAATTGAGCCGCCGATAGTTGAGTGGATTATGGATTACTGCGCCTTTCCAAAGGAGAAAAGAAAAAGGAGGTGAACGAGAGATGATGCAGAGGAGGAGAAAAAGGGAAAGGAGAGAGTGCGTGAAAGGACCTGTGTTGTGGATGTAGCCGCAGGGGTCGTCTGGTCTTCTCAAGGAAGAGAGGGAGATTTTCAATCCTGTTTAGCCCCGCGAGGTGACCTTTGACCCCTCGCATGCCCCTCCCTGCTCCAGGTGCAAGCCCTCACTGCTAGCAGCTCACACACAGACACGCAAGCTACAGGCTAATTTTTCACACGCTCTGCGAGGCACTGGGGGGAAACGTCGTACGAAAATGTGGATCCTTTTTGACATTTTAACCCCCCTGCTTCTTTTTCATTCTGCTGCGGGAGGTTAAAGATCCAAGCCGGCCTGTTGGAGTAAGAGGGTGGGGGGTGCTGTGATAGCACAAGGCCTCTTTTCTTTTTTTTCCCCCTCTCTGTTATATTTCTCCCCAAGAAAATGGATGAGTGTCTTTAAACTGGGGGAAAAAAGGATGATCTGACATGGTGCAATAATCACAGGAGTGTTAATCAGAGGGATGTCATGTATAATTACTACAGTGTTTGATAACGCAACGACAAAACCACCTCAGGCCATGAGCGAAAGTTTCCCAATGCTATTAATGGGCGTTAATAAAATTCAAGAAACCCCGGATGGAACGAGCCCTTCTGCATGGCCCGCTGGTTAAAGCACTGTAAGGTTAATGAACCAATTTACATACTTTCTGCTGCCATCTGGGAGGAGTGACAAGGCAGATGCTGCCTATTCTGCACTGTTGTGTTGTGCTGTTCAGCACGGAGGAATGTGTCAGGTCCACGGAGGTCTGAGCACATTTTTACATAAAGCCTGTGGTCAGAAACAATCATGGATGAGCTGTAAATCAATGCTGCTGAAAGGTCTAGACTGAGCATCCACAAGACTGCCTTTGTGTGGTATTTAACCTGATCCAGTCCAATCCAAATGGTGAAACCATGAGACCTTCTCCTTAGGTGAACACGAGAAGTGGTTGGTATCAAATATGGCCTCCAAGCTTAAGCTATTGTTCTCGACAAGATGCGATGTTTAAGCGTGGATTATACTCTGACCCCTCCCCGTTAGAAGAAGAAATGTGGGTAGAAGGGAGTCATCAGCCCCTAAGGTGATGAGAAACTCGACAGGGGCGATCAGCAAGAATCATGATCTCTGGGACTTGGAGGGGGAAAAAAGGATTAGCGTCCGTCCACCTCTCTGCCATCCTCATTGGGGTGATCACGTTACAAATAGAGCATCCTCGTAGTGCTCCCTTCGCGGAGGAACACAATGAGGTCTGTCGGCGATCAATAAAGCAGTGTGAAAGCGGGGGGATATGCTCAGAAAAATCAAAGGCGCTGGCTGGCATGGCCATCATCTGCTGGAATCAGATAAGGGGAGCGGGGCCTCGAAGGGAAGGTTCCTCAGCCCCAGGGCTGCTCGTCTTGACAGATTCCCCTCCTACTGGCACACATGCAGACTGATTTCATCTAAAAAACCAAAACATTTCTGCATCTATCCGATCTTTCTGAAAATGTAAGAACAGCTGAAGGGCTGGATGGGTAAAATGGAGAGTAATATATAATCCCCGCAGCGTGTTTGGGGTGAAAATACGCAGCTATTTCTCTAACCCCTCTGTTGTCCTCCATGGGTGATGGCTTTTACCTCATGCTTCACTTACACGATTTAAAGAAAATAAAATCACCCCGGTTTTTGGTTTGACAATGTGTCAGAGCTGGTGCGAGTGTTTGTCTCAGATTAGCTCTTTGTGCCGCTAGGAAAGAGAGAAAATGGGGTGGAGGGGGGTCAGGGATGGGAGAACAATACTGCTGCGATCCCAGTTGAAAGAAATCATTTGCACAATTTTATGAAAGCTGTATTTGTCCGGTCGGATGGTTCTATCAAAGCCTAACAGCCACGGTGGAGCGTGATTTAAATGACGGGCGAGCTACAAAGCCGGCAGGATGTCGGGTTAGAGTCATTTCTCAGCTGAACGCTCTCCAGGTAAAGGCAGATAATGCGCTCTCAAGTTTTTTCTTTCTCTTTCTTAAAGAAGTCTAATTTCTACAGATGGCTCTGAGCTGACACCAGCGCTGCCAAAGCTGCTGTTCTCAGAGCTAAGCTTGTACAACATTTATGTGGTGAAGATGAAAAGACATCATCCCTGAAAACCTAGCTTAGGAGAGCACAGATTTTCTTCAAAGTATTATCAGTTTTTTTTCTAATTTCCTCCTGTCTTCCCGTCTCCTCTAAGACCCTCCATATTTCTGACTATTAACACTTTAAATACCGGGGAGCTGCTTGCAAAGGTCGAGAGTTCAGGTAAGTTGAAAAGCAAAACTATGACGACTTGAATGCGTTTTCTTAGCCTGGAACCTGCTGTTAACTCGCAGTGCAGATAAAAGAAGAAGATTTGCCTCTACCCCTTTCTGTTGTTGTCTTCACTCTCAGAACCCCCTCCAGTACTTCCTGGTGACTCACTTCTTTCCGAGCCATTTATGCTTGAAAACTTCCTGAAGATGAACCAAACATATTCTGGGTTTTTATCGTCGATGTGGGACCATTGGGCATAATGAAGTTCTGTTTCCCAGCATGAGTTCGGGAGGCTCATGATTACAAATGCTCTTCTCATTGTCTCCCATCATCTCCTGCCTAATTGAAGACAATATAACGAGACAATGGGGTCTCGCTCATCACTCTGCATCAATGGCATGCTCTTTGGAACGTGCCAGTCTGTTAAATGTGGGGAGGGGTTGTGTGTGTGTCTGTGTGGATACTTGAATGCACTCGAGCTTGTTTAATTTGGACCAAGAAGATGGACAATTAAACTACAGCTCCCGGGGGGCCTGTTCATTTTTTGGTCAGCTTCGCCACTTCTAGGCCGCCCGCCCATGTAAACGCTCCTGGATGTGTCTGGGTCATGTGTAAGGGGGCTAGAGTGAGGAGGCGGGAAGGGAATTGGGGTGGGGGTTTGTCAATGTCGGGGTTGTCTCAGATGATTAGGACAGCCAAGTGGGGAGAGTCCCTCAGTGCCTGGCCCCCTTCACCTCCCTAATATGCTCTGAATAAGTCCCCCTCTGCTGTGCGTTTGTTGTGGGCTTCAGCGGGAGGTGGGGGGGATTATGTCTGGCCATGGTTTAGGAGTGTTTGTCATCTGCCCCCTCGAGGCCTGCACCGGCTCCTTTGTCTGAGCGTGAGGCGTTGGTACAATGTCAAATCACACAATGTGCCCCTGCAACTGGGGCCATCTCGGGTGAGAAACTGACACAGGATTTCATGTCCTGATTTTTCTTTTTCAGATACTTAGTTTGAGGGGTAAGAACAAATACTTACAAAAAACATACTTTTATTTCGTAATGTATTATTCTTAATCCAGTCAATACTCATTAACAGCCAGCACATCATCATTGTTTCTGAATCTATCCATACAGATACATTTAGCATTTGTTGCATCTGTGTACATGACAAAAATGAGAATTATTATCAGTTAAAAGCAGTTTTTAAATGGAAAAAGTGGAATTAAAAACAAGTGCTGACATTCATCATTCATGGGGAGAAAAAGTTAACAGCAGAAGAGGAAGCAATGCTCATTTCTCTTCAGAGAAAATAATTAACCAGAATGCTTTGCAGCCACAGCTTGCATCTCAGCTAATCTACGATTGCAAGTGTGAGAAATCCATCAAACTCTTTAACAGCTTTTTTCTCCTAATTTGAACAATGAGTCATGATGGCATTGTTTGTTCCCCAGTTTTACTACGCTTTCACTAATGTTCTCTTCGGGGTGTGTGAAGGATGTCGAAAAGCTTCTTGAAACATAAGGACGCCATTAAAAGAAGTATACAACATTATTTGCAACACTTGACAGCTGAATAACGCTTGAAATTCATTAAACAAGATCAGTGAAGAATTATCCTGAATCAAGGGTTTGTACCCACTTCATGTATATGCGACTCCATTCCCGGTCCCTGCAAAGTGTGTAATTCAGTTTCATGTTCTCAAAGGTGTTTCTGTGGCTCCACACAGTGCATCTCTGTATGAAATTTGGAAGAAAGAATCATTCATCTCCACACAATTGCTATCAAAGAGGGCACAGAACCCAGGCCAAATATCACAAGTTACCCTGAGAATAACACGAATGTCCTCTCTGCATACTGAGAAGGCGAAACCTCTGAATGACTGATAACAGCTCTGGAGGATTTAGACGCTGTGGGAGAAGCAGCTTCTGTAGCTTTGCATTCAAGTCACTTGGCCATTTGGAGCACCAGGAAATGACACACATTCCTCCTTCCCAGTAACAAAATAAACCCAAAATCTAGCTTCCTACTATTTCAGCACAATTAAGTCGACAATTTGAGTGATCCACGCTATAAATTGTCATTTTTGATTATATGGTGTCTGCACTTTTCTGCTCTTCTGGGATCGCTTTATCAAATTCAGGCTTGTGAGTAAAAGCATGCTGGTTTTTCTCCAAAATAGTACAATGCTCTGCTAGACATTTGGTATTCAACATTATGTTGTTTTTCAGAGTCTGAAAAGTAGACAGTCAGACAGGCAGATTTCAGATATAGGCATACGATCCATATGACAGTTGACCCATAAAATACAACATCTGCCCTTCCATGTTAGCTTGTGGAAAAACAAAATATGGTAGCCTAATAAACAAATAAAAGAAAGCGAAGAGATTAAGTATCAAAATTAAATAAAACATGCAGAAATTAGGATTGAACCTGTGCAAATATTAAACTATACCTATCCTATATTTGAATTAAACCTCTATAGAAGAATTTACATGTGGTCATGAAACACTGATTTTGATAGTCATGCCTCTTTATGACCAACAAAAGCAAACATCAGAGTAAGATCCACCTTTTCTTGATATCTTAATATCAAGGTAGTTGTCAGGAAATCAGGAAATATCCCCTACACATCTACAGAACAATATCAATAAAGATAAAAATCACTGCTTCGTCCACTAGGGGGCACCAAAATCAACACAGACCAAAATTTCCTCATAGTAGCTTTAACTTTTGGTGTTATAATTCATTTTGCTTGACTGCAAAACACCTGTTTGCTTTCGGTTTCTCTCATTTCACACCTGCTACTGACTCATTTTCGTATCACTTATTGACTCATCTCAGACTAATTACTTTTCCAGTTGCTAATAATGCACACACGCCATTGGCCTGTGTGTTTTGGAGATGAATAAGTACGCTACACGTGAGGTTTGATGACTCCCACAAAGAAGTTTTCAATTCCAAAATCCTCCGCACACCCTTCTCTGAGCGGCGATCGTGATATTTCGCATACAGCTGTGCTCAGAGTGTCGCACATCGTCGGAAATATTTCAAACAATGAAAATAATTGAAGTGCTCTTGAACCGCATATCCTGCTTTTATTTCATTTTTAAGTATTTCTCACTTATTTGAACGTGCCTGAAGGTTTATTAAAACCATTTTCATGAAGTTTTGTGGATAATCCCTTCGAGGTTTTTCACAGCTGTGGTTTTAGGAGTGAAGATAGACACATCGGTGGACGTTAATGGTTGTTAGGGTGAGGGTGTGAGTAATTACAGTTGTGTGTGTGTGTGTGTGTGTGTGTGTGTGTGTGTGTGTGTGTGTGTGTGTAATTGAGTTTTCCAGCAGTCTCGGAGAGGGTCTCATCTGACCAGCGGAAATGTGTTCTGTGGTGTGCTGCTATTTTTAGACCCGTGTTATATTGTAGATGAGGGAAAAGGGTTGGTTTATCAAAGCCTCAGAAAGATTGTTGCGCATATTAATCACTTCTAAAATTAGTCCCGCCACCTCGGACAACCCGGAGGAAAGTTGATAAAACTCTGAAAACTGATTGAATTTTGGTTGCAGCAGGAAAAAAATAATCAAAAACTCTTCAGTCACATCTTACAGACACACAAAAGAGGTCAGAAAAGGTTGGGGTTAAATCTCAGACAAATCTATCAGACTATGCAAATCATCCTTCAGAGAGAGTCTGACTTTTTTCTGTTACCAAAAAGGAAAATCACGCGGGGATGATCTCTATGAGGGCAGGAAGCCTTGAAGGTTTGCATCATGTCTGCCACGTTCTCCCCGAGGGTATTCTTCTAGCGTCCTAACATGCAAAGACACCCACACACACACACACACACACACACACACACACACACACACACACTAATGCGAGCTACCGTTTTTTCCTCACAGCCCTGCAGGAGTCTGTCTTCATCTGTCCTATTGATTGATGAAGCAGGCACAGCGGGGCGTCCGAGGGAGGCAGAAGTCTAAAGCAAGACTGTGAGCTGCATCACAGTCGTACACTCACACACATACACACACACACACACACACACACACAATCACTGTCTCTGTCATGTTCTCCCTGTCTGTCACAGCAGCACTCTGCAATGACACATGAGTGTACACACACGCATACTGAGAGACATGACACACACAGCAGTGTTGGGGTGACAGGCTTCACATCATGGCTCACAAACACACCACATCACACACGCACAAATAATGAATTAGCGTGGTCCGGCTGCGCCTGAGCCGGACAGGCGTTTTCTATAAACATAATGTTTGTAAATTAGTCGGGGTTAATGATCCGATTCCGTCTGAGCTGCCGTGTGTGTGTGTCTGTGTGTGTGCGTGTGTGTTTTTGGCTAAGGGGTAAAGGCGCTGCTCTACCGTGCTGTCTCCCTCACTTCCAAATGCCCCAGGCGCCATTACAAGAGCAGTATTTATGCTATTAGAGAACTGGCTTTGCCACGCTAGCTGTGCTACCAGAAAGCTAAAATTATGTCTCGACTAACCTCGCTGGGCAGGTCCGGTATTTTCTTTGCAGAATTGAGAAATTACAAGTTGTGTACTTTAGGGCTATTTTTGCGAGACTTCTGTTGGAATATTACGCACGTTATTTCTGAGGCACGTAAACGTGAAAGCCAGAGAATTAAGGTTTTGTGTGTGCGTTCATTGAAAGCAGCAAAAAAAAAAAAAAAATCCAGACTCTGATTTTTTCTCTCCATCTTACTCCAATGTTTAAAATTAACTTCCTTACCCAAACCAGAAATAGTGGTCTGCAAACAACTTTACCTTCACCTCCCAGTCAAGTGGAGTCGATGGGTTCAGTGAGGGTGTAGCCCCTCCAAGCCCCACCCGCCTCCTCTCATAAAACGGGCTGAGAAACTTCTCTCACGTGGTGCTGAATGGACAGAAAAGCAGAGGAATGAAAGAGAGAATGACTGAAAAGTAACTGTAAGGCCTCGTCTCGCTCTTCCAAAAGTGCCCCCCCCCCCCTTTAGTGTATTTTTTCCCCTACACATACCCCCCTCAACACCACCCTCCATCCTCAGTCCCCTCCCTTCCTCCTCTTCTCTCTTCTCCCCCGGCGTTCCTGTTGAGGCATGCCTCCATCCCCGCCAACCAGTATCATCCGGGGCAGGGCGACGGGGGCAAGAAGAGATGAAGGGAGGGGGTGGGGGCAAACAAAGGAGCACTGTTGCTGCCTCGCTGAGGGTTTTTTGAGGGAGGGTCGGGGTGCAGACGGAGCGAGAGTGTGACTGAGGAGGTTTTATCATTAAGAATAGAGATTAAAATGAATGGGAGGGGAGCGGGGGTGTCTGTTCTGTTCACAGTAATAAAGAGGACAAGCAGTGCCAGTCTTTTTTTTTTTTCACACACACACAAACACACAGTTTGCACTCAGTTGGTGCGAGTGTGAAAAATAGAGGCGCGATCGGGGGGGTTATTTCATTGTTTTGTGGCCATTGTACAATATTTGCTTAACCCTCATGCTTTATCAGTGCAGCTGTACAATACAAATGAGATGGGTGGAAAGTGTGTGTTTGTGTGTGCGCGCCATGGCGGCTGTCACAGCTGTTAGTAATTTCATCAGTGTACTGTAGGACACCCCCTTCGTAGACACGTACACACACACACACACACACACACACATAAATGCTGTCAATTTACGAAGCAGTAAAGCCATGATGAACTCATTCTTCCAGCAGCGTAATTACACATCAACTTAGGATAGCCAAACAGGAATTGAACAATAAAGTGGACACATTTACCCGCCAACATAGGTATTTCAAACTGTAAATGGCTACATTAGAGCTATATGGGAGTGTAATAATCTTCCATTTGCTGCTGGATGCCAGTCAGTGCTCGCCACCCCCCTCACTTGAGCCTCCTGCTGCCTTACTTAAAGCTACTGTAGCATAAATGCACCAGTTGGCACACTTTTGAAATATCCCAGTTTTGCTCCATTTTCCAGTAAAAGTGTCAGTCTAAACTTTGAATCAGGCTTCCATGCGGGAATATGCTTCTTTAGGTCATAGACCGCATTGAGTCGTAATCTCTGCCGCTATCTTGTTCACACATTCCTTCCACATGCCGAGTAAAAACCTGTTTTGAAAGATAACTGAATTTTAGGGGCAATAACTGGAATCCCACATGCCCCCAGACTCTATGAATGGAGTGTTTTATTTCTTTATTTTTCTTTATGTGTGTGGTGCCTGTAGAGATAACACCATTCCTCTCAAACAGTTGGGTAATGGTTTGTTTCCCCTCGCTGTCTTTTTCCATTTCAGGTCATGAAAGGAGTCTGCAAGAGAAGGAGGAGAAGAAGAAGAAACAGAGTGAGCATTAGCAGCATTAGCCTTCAGTGCAGAAGGGAGGAAGGAAAGGAAGCAATGAAGAAAAGACAGGAGTGATGAAAGAGAGGTAAGAGAGCTCTGTTTGCCCCGGGGTTGAACATTGTCTTGTGTCTGTCTCTCCTCTGTTGCCCTTCACCTTGAATGCCTGACTCAGCTGTGAGCCTGGGTGGGTTTGGTGTTTGCATGCACGCATGTGAGTGTGTTTTTTGTTACGTTTGAATGTGACTTTGTTTGATTTTGTGTGAGTGTGTTTGTTCCTGGCATCGAGCCGCAAGCCGCCAGGTGAGGAACAACCATCCTGCCTGAATCACCTGATTCAACCCTAACTTCTTTATCGTCTTTTTCTCTTTGTTTTTTGTCTTTTTTCTTTCACTCCCATTTTAAGTGGGTAAACTTTTTAGTTTCATGGTAAGGTTGCCTGAAAATAAAAATTTTGACTGAATATCTACCATTTTAGATTGCATATGTTGTTTTAGGGCCGTCAAACTGCAAATATTTGTTCTTGTGAATAATCACTAATCATATTTTCAATTGCAAATTTGCATTCAAGACAGTTTTTTTTTTAAGTTCACACAAACAATTTGATTCTATCCATTTTAGCTTTACTAGCATTTCTTATGCCGCATACTGAGCTGCTCCTGTCTGCTTTGCTCATACATGGTGGCTAAAACTAAAAGTACCTCAATGTTAATTCCATTTGACGTTAAGTGAATAAATGTGACTTTCAAAATCTCAGCGTCCTCTACGACAACAGCAGGAAGCAGGAAGACTATGCGGCAGCGTAACTACAGTGTGCTTAAAGCATCAAAATAGCATTCGATTACAAAAATGCTTACACATGAATGACCTAAATCGCATTGTAGGTAATACAGTAATGCAGACAGCCTAAGTTGTTTTGTAAAGAAGTGGTTAAACTGGCCAAAAATCATCCTTAAACATTCTTACATATGGAAATAGCATTGTCCAAACCAAACCCTGATCGTAACTGTACTCATCCGCATACATACTTCTCCTTAATCCTCTTCCTGTTTACATATCAGTACCCAAAAACTTTCCCCTCTTGAGGCTGAAGTATTTTCTCCTCATCCATTTATATAGTTAAAATTCAGAGTGTCAGGGATACAGGGAGCCAGAAATAAAACTATTACCTTGGAAAAGCGCATCGCCAAAAGGCAAAACACAGGAGTTAAAACTGGGAAAAACGCCACCGTATTGTCTCGGCCGTGTTTCCCTAAGTAAGCGGTTCCTCATAGATTCGCTCTCTCTCTCTTTCTCTGTGTGAGCCCGAGAACAGCACTAAATCATTTTCCACCGCGAAGGCACAGCAAGAATGGCTGTCACCATACTCAGAAACAGGGGACGGTTTCAGAGGAGACACAAGGAGAGGAAAAGAAAATGTTGTTTTTCTCAGTTCTCTTCAGACTCCCTTCTTATGAGACTCTGTTCAACCTCAACCTCCCACCCAGAAGTTAATAGCAATGGCTTTTTTTTCTTCGTTTTCCCCCAAAGCCGTTTTTAAATCTAATCCAGAGAGTTTTACATACACTTCATATACATATACTTTTACTTTATCATTATTTTATCATGGGCTCTTAAACATGCAAGTGTAGCTTAGTTTCTTTTTAGCTTGGGTGAATAAATCTGTAACTCTCCTCCTTTTCCAACACTATTTTTCCTCTCCCCCAGTAACACTCACAGTATGACCTCTACCTCACATTAACTTAGTAGGAGACAGCCCAAATTCAATTCAGCTCATTTCAGTTCACCTCAACTCACTTCATAACAACCCAGTCGAACTCAATTCTCCTTCAAACCCTCCCTCATGTCTCGCACTCTTGCTCATTTATTTTCAGTCTGACTGAACTGTGCAATCCTCGGTATCTTCTTACATTTTAAATCTCTGCAGTTCTCTCTTTCGAGTTCAAGAAGGTACTCAATCTTTGGTCGCACGTCCGAGTCTTTTTCCATAACAAAAAAAAAAAAAAAACAGGAGATGATGAAAATGACCAACACTTGGAGGACTGTTTGGTTGTAGAGGATTGGGAAACTATTCCCAGCATTGATAAATCTATTTTTGGAGTATTGCGCATTTCAGATCTCGGTTTAAATCACTGTGACTGGACAAGAAAATGTTGTTTTTGTGAAAGAAACGGTTCCGAACTCCTTTGAAGAAAAATTTCCTTCTTATCTTTCATCATTCTGAAATGGATGTGCTATATATCAAACCAAGTGGGATTACTGGAGTCACATGTTGTTGTACAACCACACACACAACCCCCATTGTTTTGGGCCTTGTTCAAATGATGCAAGCGTAGTCTGGGGAAGAAAGAAAGGAAAAAGGTGGAGGATGTTGTAAGCAAGTATCCAGGCATGCGACTGCTCTGTCTTCTTCTCCCTCCTCCGTTTTTTCTTTTCCTCCCTTCTCGAGTGTGTCTGTCCTCGGCTCCAGAGGAAGACTCTCTTTCAGGAGCAGCCAAGTCTGCCTAAGCTGGACTTAAAAAGCTGCGAGAAGTGGTTCTCGTTTTTGGTGTCCGTTTGTGTATGGGGAGGCGGGGTTGAAGGCTGAAGCCACAGTGTGTCACACGGTTTCATATTTCAAGAAGCACGTATGAGAAAATGACAGGCAAATGAGTCACTCCGTCAAGTCACATTGATTCACTGCAAGACTCAGGGACAAGGCGAGTAATTGTCAGTTTCACGCTCACGCTAAATAACAGGCGACTGATGGACGATGGGTTACAATGATGGGGTAAAATCAGCAGGGGAACTGGTATAAAAAGCCTGATGGACAAGTGTCGAAAATGGCAACACTTGTGTCCGCACAAAGGGAAACAGAGAACAATTGAGTGCTGCTCGTTCCTCCAATCAACCGGCGGAGAGCTGCAGATCAGAATGAGAGCCTTTATTGAGTTTGAAGACTCAGCGAGGGATTCATAAGCATGAGGGGGCAGCGATAGAGAAATTAAAACAGATAAAGGAGGATATCAAAGAGTGTGGGAACCAACAAAAAAAAGGAAAAAGTCTATAATGTTGGCGAATATTTCAAAGTGAGAATTATCTGCAGATAGAGGGAACCGGGAAGGAGCGAGACAGTGTAGTAGAAGAAGAAGAAAAAGGGGGTGAGGGCCAATGAAGCGATGCCTCTAATGTCTTTATAAGGTCATAAAATTCTGCACTTCCTGGCCTCTCTCTAATTGCTGCGAGGGGAAGAGACAGGATGAAGGAGGAAGGGGGGGCTCAACTCTACCTGCCTACAAAATGAGGCCTCTAAATCCTTGCTGCTTGGCCTAGGGGGCTTTCTTTTGGATTGCTTTGCCAGCAACATGGATGCAAAGAGAGCGTGACTTGAAAAAAAGTCTACATTGAGGTTTTCTTTATCGCTCTTTTGAATGAGATTAAAGTTTAGAAGGAGAGATAAATGCAAAGACAGATAAGAGGCAGTAGGAAGGCAAGTAGATAGGGAAAGGCTCTGTGATTTAATGATCCCTTCAAAGTTCCCTTTGCATGGAAATAAAGGTGAATGCACAATGACAGAGTTAAAGGGAAAGAGGACTTGAGGCTATTCCTCACAATAACTACTTGAAAATAAAGCTTTGGGAAGAACACACAGAGGGAAAAAAAAGCAGAGGGTGAGAGGATTTTATTGACTCAACAGGAATCAAGCGTAGAAATGGCTACGCTTCCCCAAGGAGCCGTATGCTGAACTCTCGAAAATGTGAAAAGTAACGCTTGCCATCACTGGAAAAGAAAACATTTTCATTTCATAAACTGCTTGTCTAAGAGAGCCTGCTCCTGACTCTAACCCCTCGAGTCAGCACAGTAGAGCCTTCAGAGGCAGATACGCCGATGTGAGCTAAGAGAGCACAAATTTACTCGGCTTTACTGCCCCTAAAACATGCGCACATGGACATGAATGGAGGAGCAGCTAATACCAGTCTATGGATCGAAGAGTCTTTTTGTCTTTTTATATTTAAGTGAGTATTTTTTTTCCAATTCTAGACATTTAAACTAGAGCACAAACACCAAAAGTCAAATTAAACACCAAACTTTGAACAATCTGAGTCACAATTTCCAACATTGTTGCTGTTGTGTCATTGAGTAATAACTGTACTCTTTAATGTTGTTCTGCACCAGTGTGCCCACGCATCTCCATTGAAAGTGAATGTCAAATTTAGGCATCATGATTTTGTATCCTGGTGTTTATTTTTATCTTTGTCCCTGACTTGTGCTGACTTCATGAGCTGTGCGCCCAACTTTTAGCTTATTTTGATGCTGAACGTTGGGGACGGAGGGGAGAGGAGGAGGGGGTGCATTGTTACTCAACTTGCGGCACTGTAGGAGCTGTATAACAGTAGCTGGGTTTGGTTTTATCAGCAGCTGAGAGAATGAAAGGAGTCAAAGGCAGCCCCCTAAGCTTTCCATAATTCGTCCCGCGAGGAGACAAAGGCCCGCATTCACTGCTGGGTGTCGATAAGACCTATCATTAGTCTGCCATTGGAGGTATTACAAACACACACCAATACACACACCAACACACACAGATACGCAGAATGCAGAGAGGTACTTATTCCTGCACCCATTCTCTATCACTCTCTCTTTTTCCACATACACACGAGTAAATATTCATATGCGTGCCAGAGGATGGAGAGAGGCAGCCAAGCTCGACTGAATCGAATAAAGACAGGGGAGTGGACCCCTGCTGTTTTCCCATCACAGCAAAATTCACTCAGTTTCACATGTTACACACTCTGCCATACCTGGTTTTCATGTATGTTTTGACAAAATAAAAAGTATCTCGTGTCACAAAGGATGCACAGAACCCTGACATTGATGTTTTCACGCACCTATCCGAGCAATCTATATATTAAAGTCTTTACCTCACGAGAAAAAAAGCGACATTTATTGAAAGAACTTTGAGGTTTTCTGCCTGTGTCATTCTTGCACTGCATATGTTTCACTTGGCGGCACAAAATTGGCATCACAGGCTGTTTTCTGTGCTGCAAAAACGGCACGATTTAGTGTCATGTTCTGCAAAATATTCCAGCAGTTCAGCATCCGAGCAGACCGTGTAAAGACCAAAGGAGGTTGGCAGCCGTCTCAATGATAGAAGTCCTTGTTTACAGAAATAATCTGAGTTAATGTAGTATTGACTTATTGATTATAAAATGCTACATGTAGCACATTTACTTAACAAGACAGGAGTGAAATTAGGTTGCAAGAGAGATAAGAGGAGGTGTCCTATTAGATTCTTGCTGTGTGTGCGTGGGTGTGTATTTGCACTCAGGGTGCGTGCACACCGCTGTCTGGGTCCTAAGTAGATGATGGACCGTAGCTCGTATTCCCATTCCCTCTCATTAGCTCTGCCCCCCCGAGAATATATGAGGTTACTTACCTTCCCGTGCACCCGAGTTCCCGGCCAAACGCCAAGCGTTAGCTGAGGGTCATTAGCCACGCTGCTTGGAACAAATGGCCTCCGATAGCATCTCAGCTAAAATACAACAAGAGCAGATTAACCCCTTGATCTTTGGAGGATAGCACAGTGAGAACATGAGGAAGGAAGAAAACAGAAAAGAAACGATGACAGTTTTTTTTTCATTCTGGCATGTTCTGCTTTAAATGAGCCTTTCCCTGCATGTTAGACTTTAAGAGTCCTCCTTTTTTCGGCGCTCTCATTGCGGCTCAACATCACAGTTGTTTGCCTGAAAACAAAAACTGCAGAGAGAAAAGTGGGCAGAGGATCAAAGCCCAAGGAGGATTTGTCTGGCAGATAGTCGCTGGGGTCCTGCCTGTTTAGACTCCCTCCTCCTCTCTTTCTATCCGCGTCTCTCTATCTGCACACCACTAGGTTACCCCCTCACAACACTGCCAGCTTGAAAATTGTAGATCATGAAAAGAAGAGTGCAGTCACAACAACCTCCTCCACGAAGCAGACGCCTCCTTATTACAACCTGCAGGTGTGTGTGTGTGTGTGTGTGTGTGTGTGAACACACACTATTTGTCTAGTTTTTTTCCCCTCTCTTTTCATCTAGCTTTGTGAAGATTTTGATATTATTGGTATTTAATCCCCCTCTTTTGATATGGTAAACAATTTGCCTCTTGATTTTTACATCCTGCAGGTTTTATTATCAAAAGACGAACTCTGGCTGGAAGTTAGAAAGCCTAAGATCTTTAGAAGTCGACAGGAGAAGATAATCCAACAGTAAAGAATATAAAATCAGATTGCCTTTGTAACCTCAGCGAACATAACTCCTGAAAGGGTTTATTTCCATTTAGGGCCAATGTGTTCACTGAAAAGTTCTTTCCATAAGACCTCGGTGAGGTTTGTGGCCTGTTGGTGAAGGGGGGATTGCTCAGATGTCTGTTTTGGGCAAAAAGACACGCCCAGAGGATGGATATAATTAAAACTAGTGACTTCTTTTTTTTTTTTTTTTTTTTCTTGAACAAGAAGAGTGTTTGGGTAACTGCTCTGGGTGGTCTAGCTCTACATGTCTGTACTAGTTTTATTACAAACAGGCACAATATGGTAAGAACACGGACGTATCCCGACAAAGCACAAACATCAGTGTGTATAGGCCTGCTGCTGTTCAGACAAAAGGTAGAGAAATGAAAACAACAGTACAGCTTGTTTTCCTGAGAAGCTGCTCCTATTTGTTGTTTTGATGTGGAGAAGATTTAAAAAAAAGACAAGAATAGATCAAAGTGAAGTGGCAGACATACAGATGATGGCTTTTCTTTACAAAGAACAACCTCAACGCAAGTCAATGCAAAACGCATTTCATTAAAAAAAATCAAACTGGTACAAAAGTCCCGCAGATTAACTTGCAAAAATACATTGATTTACGTTTGTGTTTCCATCTTAGACTGTCATCAGTCGAACAACAAAACTCTCCCACACACCTGTCGTCTGAATAGATGTACAAAACTCGTTTTACTACTTTACTACTGAAAATGAGCTGGAAACATCAGGCCACATACCCATAAGCTCTCATTTTAACATTTTACAGTTCCTCACAGGAGCTTTTAACTCTACAGGAGGAAACAAAAGTGTTTTCTCTACTTTCTTTACATTTCTTTTTGGGTGTGTGTGTATTTTACATTCATTTTGAGGTCAAGACAGTACATACAAAAAACAAAAGCCCAGTTTCTCAAGTTTTCCTCCAGTAGCAGACATTTCTCCCTCTATTGCCCCAATGAACACTCTTATTGAGCTTTGATGCAAGAGTGAGGGGGCTGTCTGTGCTTATCCGCAGCCCCCTGAAAAAGGACTTGCTCAAAGGCACAAAGGAAGTGAACTGGTATGGCTCCTCCTTCAGATACCAGAACTGACCCATTGAGCAGTAGACGGCTATTAGACCTAATTTCAGATTCTGTATATTTTTAGACAGAATTAAGACGTTGCACTTACACTCATTATTTGATAACTATTTATTTCAAAAAGCAACTGTGAGCTGCATAACTGATCTACATAAAATAATTATGATAGCCGTTGAGCAATATACAATGTAGTATAGATATAGCCCAGATTTAGACTTGGTCTAAACTTGGTCTTAATTTAGACATCTAAAAAACGTTCATATTTAGACCTGTGGTAGCCTGATTTTAGACCAGTCGTCTAGGCTACATTTAGACATCTATTAGACAAAAAATGCTCAGTGGGGAGCTACTGCTGTGCCCAAACTACTACTACCCGTTTCAACCTGGGGTTGACAAATGGAGGTCGAACTCTTAACATTTCAGTATTTCTTTTTCATGCTTTTTTTTTTTAGTTTTGAGTCAAGTACACTTCCACAAGTACAGCATTTGACTCCGTATTCATGACTTTAAGCTGGGTTTATCTGTTTGGCCTTCTTATCAGAGAGAAAAGCCACCTGGCTCAGAAAAAAGGTGCCAGCACTTTGTTATTGTGCCGTATGGTTGTGTCTGAATATGAGTTTGTAGGGTTTAGTTCCTTCTTGGCACAATATTCAAGTTAAACACATCAAACTGCCACACACACTGTCTTTTACTAGAATTAAATTGCAATTTATACAAGACTTCCTCATCTGTGTGAACAAAGGGTAAAAAAAAAGTCACATCAATCCCACAACAAGGCCTTTCCAAGCTCTCAATCCTGATTAACAGCATCTTCTCGTTAACACATAAACACCCTGTACCATCAAACGCAAAAACGTTTGTTAATTTGCAACCTTTTTTTTTTTTTTTCCGTTCGCGTGAATCGGCTCATTTAGCCAGCAGAGAGAACACAGATTTTATTGTTGTGTTCTGTTTGGAGGGGGGCTAAACACGTGGGTGGTCCTGGGTTTCTTTCTCATTCTTTTTGATGTACTGAGCAGCACATGGATCTGTTAATGAGAGTGTAAATTGGTGACTTCGTGCCGGGACCTTAATGACGAAGTTGCCCTCCCTGATCCCGACAAGTCTGCTTACTGGGGCAGAGAGAGAGAGAGGGAGAGAGAGGGAGGGAGGGGTGAGAGGTGGGGGAGAAATAAATAATAGAGGAGGAGGTGGTTAAGAAAACATAGGGATTGCAGAGAGGAACATGCCATAGAAAAGAGCAGTAACAGTAGGATACATTAGCTTTGAAAGACGGAAAGAGTAAATTGCATGTATATTCTGGCAGGCAATTGAAGCGAGGAGGAACTTAAGAAAAAATATGAGGGGGGCAGTTCTTAGGAGGTATAAAAGGTTTAATTTCTCCTTCGGCTGTGGCAAGCAGCTTTCCTGTGCGGCTCGTTTCACTGTATTTAACATCAAAGTGGAGTATGAACAATTGAGGCAATTTTTCATCTGGCCAAGGTCAATCATTGTTCCTTCTCTGTGAATGTAGATCCGGCTGCGAGGAGTTCAGAGGAACCATAATTCACTAGCAAGACTATTTTAAAAAGCCACCTTTCTGCAACCTTTTAGACTGAATTTTTCCTCTTTTTGTGAGAGTTTTCTTTTGAACCAGTTTTTTTACCTCAGTACGTTTAATTCTCGAGGAATTTTTTGGCTAATTTATCACAGGGGTTGTGCCATTTTTGGTTGGGACTCACACTTGAGCTGTTGTCTAGACGGCTTTTAATTATACATGAGATTCAATTTATGATATGAAGGACAAAAACTGCTCGATTTGAGCATTAGAATTGTTTCTTAGCATAATAAACAGCAGATTTTAGATACAGATCTAAAGCTCCATTCATTTATATAATCAAAATGGACCTGATTATTACACACAGCACTTAAACCTCTTGGTATCTTTAAGCAAATTAATCTTGTACCTGCCATGTCTAGTAGCCAGAGTTTTTTGTCAAAGACCAAGTTGTTCTTTAAACTGAGCGGCGAAAAGGACTCTGAGGGACTCCAAACAGCAGGGTGCTGAAAACATCATTAATACAGCCAAAGCGGTTTAAAACCTATTGATGGATATGTCTTCCAAAGGAACTTTAATGTGCTTATTGACCACAAATGAACCCACAGCTTTCAGGGTACACAGTGTGACTCATTATTAGTCACAATGGGAGACGAAACGGTACTCGAATCAAAGAAAAACATCAGGGCACGCTGGGAACAACCATGACTGTGTAATGGAGTGCTGTGATGGGATTTCAAACTACTACAACATCTTCTGACCTTTGCTTGGGTTTTTAAAAGGTTTGAATCTTAACTTTTTTTAGAGCAGAAAAATAATCCGGACCATAAAAAGGAAAAATCACTTTATTCTACATTTAACCGATGAACAATAAGTTATTCTTGATGCAGGAAAGCACCTACGTTTCCTATATTTGAACTTCCAGTTTCAAAAGTGTGGCTCATACTTTGTGGATATTTCATTGAGGAACTATACACTGAATAACTTGGTAAGAAATAGGCTTAATGACAATGTGTCTTTTTTTTCCAATAGTACAACACCATTTGGACTTTTATTTTGAAATATCAACGTGCAGAGCCAGGGACTTTAGAAAAAACTTTGGCACCTCTCTGGGGCTAAAACTGAAAACTCTTTATTTAATTTCTCGTTTCACAGAGAAGAAGTACTTTAAATAAAGGTATGGGTTATGTTCAAAAAGGCTCAAAAACTTTTTATTGACTTTTTATGGAGATGGTCATGGTTCACTTTATTTCCAGGCTGTTATTATATATATATATATATTTTTTTTTTTTACAGATAAACTACCTTTAATAATCCATCCTGTCTCAGCATACACCACTCTTGCTCTCACCATGCTGTGCATACTGTATGTCACACAGTCGACTCTATATAATACATTAAAGTCAGTGCAGTCATTATCCCTCAGCTCCTCATCGTGTTTAGGCACCACATAAAAGCACATAAAGGACATTTGGGTTTATTAGAGGAGACGCACAGTCATTGTGGATCTGATTTACAAATTGCAAAGAGGTTTGTGTTAGTTTGGCTCTTGTTCTTCAGCCGTCTGTTTTTTTTTTCCCATAATCCACTGCAACCTAACTATTCCCCCTAAAGATGAATCATGTGTTAATGCATACACATTGTGGCGCCTTGTTATTATTTCTTAAGACCACCCAGTGTGATTATAACAACTCGGTTGTGGGTGAACTTGTTGTACGTATACAATCATGTGTGAGTACTCGAGAAAAAAAGCAGAACTATTACAGCTAATGCTGTACATCACCCCCCGTGTGTGTGTGAATGTGTGTTTGCGTGTGTGTGTTTTATAACAGGGGTTTATCAAACATCACCTGAATTTATCCTTTCCTTTCTTCTTCTGTTTTTTTCTGCCCAGGTCCAGACATGAAGGAGGCACGTACGCACACTCACGCGCACAGACCGGCACCTAGAGTCTGTCTGCGGTCTACCACCAGACTGACTAACACACGCACACACCACGGCCTGTGACGGTAAGAATCAGAGACCACTGAATCAGGGGGATGATAATGCTGTAAATGTGAGGAGACGAACTCATTATGTTCAGATTTTTTTCTTGTGAGTTTTCAAAATATATGTCGACCACTTTTATTTTGAAATTCACCAAGTTAACTGCTTATAGAGATTTAAATTATTTATTACATAGTAGTCTTGTAAAGTAGGCAAAATGATGAAGTTTTGCTTTTAAATATCTTCTCCAGCATTTTTTATTCAAGGACAAGTTGATATTTGTAGTTTGAAAGTGTGTGTGTGTGTGTGTGTGTGTGTGTGTGTGTGTGTGTGTGTGTGTGTGTGTGTGTGTGTGTGTGTGTGTGTGTGTGTGTGTGTGTGTGTGTGTGTGTGTGTGCGCCCACTTCGTCTTTTTGCTATTTCCGTCCATCCAGAAACCAATCTCCAATAGTCAACTTTTACAGCCGCACCGCAAACCCCCAAAACCCCCTCCTTGCGCCCCTCCCAAGCTTCCCAGCATCCTGCTTCGCCCTCCATCTTAAAAAAAAAAAGGAAAAGAAAAACACGCATGCTGAAATTATAGCATGTGAGGCGGCATTGTGGGATTGTGGGGAGCCCTTCCCTCCCACTCTCTCTCCCTCGCTGCATTCGCCCTCCTCGTCCCCGCTTATCTTTTTCTCATTCAGCTCCTGTTTTGGCTGCCTCCTGTCGAGGTTGATTTTGACTTTCATTAAACTATCAAAAAAGTGCTCTTATTAATTTTTATCTGCAGTTAAAGGGACTCAAGTTCAGACTGAGGCTAACAAGGAATTAAAGTTGTTCTAAATAAGATTGCCCTCTGTGTGTTGATGAAGTTTTTTTGGCCTTGGCAAATTACACTGAAGTGGGCAGTTTATCCTTAAATGCACCTCCTTGAACGATTTTGAATAAAATTTACTATAAACACTTCAAATAATTTATGCATTAATATGTCAAGTAGGTCACATGATAAGGTAACACAAGTGTAAAACAGTATTTATGTATTTTAGAGATGGTGTAAAGGTCTACATTTTACTTTCAGACATTAATAAATGTATCAGAGCTTTGTGACTACTTTGTAAGTAGTTTTAACTTTTATATTTACACTTAAAAGATAAAATCACCTTACATGCCCGGAGGATTTTTTCCCTCAGAGGGGCCTTTCAAAGAGAAAGTCACATTGATGGGAAACCATTTCTAAAAAATCTCTGGTTTCGCTCATCAAGGCTCAAACATGGAAAGCAGTGGCATGTGCGCTAAAATATTCATCTTGACGAGAACAGAGCGAAACTAAAATACTGTATCGTATCAGGGTGGATGTGGGTAAAAAAAAGTGAAAAAAAAAAAAGGAAAGCAGAAATTCAAGGACTTCTGCATATCTGAGAGCGACTCCAACCAGAGAGCTGCCCCACCCTCCTGGTTTCCAGCTCCGCTTTAACTGACGGCACCTCCCTCACAGCCACCATGTTACTAACCAGCTGTAATGATACACTCCATCAGTTTGGCTTTGCCTGCGCGGGGCAAGCTTGGTTAACAGCCGGCCGAGATGCTGCACCCGTGTTTGAGAGAGTATGTGTCTTTCTGTGTGTGTGTGTGTGTGTGTGTGTGTATGGCGGCTATTAAAGCACTTGAGAATCAGAGAGGAAAGGACTCGCGCTGCTAATGGATGTGTCTATTGATGTTCCCATTTAGCAGCACACTGTAAACGATAGGGCAATGATTGTGTTGGAGACGGAAGGAGGTGGAGGAGGAGTTGGAGTGGAGAGCGAGGTTTGGCGGGGCGATGATAATGACAAGGAAGGTTATTATTTGGCACCCTGCGGAGTCCTCTCTCTCTACTTTCTGTGTGTGTGTGTGTGTGTGTGTGTGTGCGCGTCTATGCGAGGAGAGAAGCACTCCTGCTCCATCCCTCTCACTCTTGTCACTCTCTCTGCCTATTGGCTATTATTCTCTCCTCACTCTTTCCACCCCAGTCCGCTCCTCTCTCATGACATTACTCACTGCTTCTAGTTTACATCCAGTGGTGGCCATCTCTCTCTCGCTCCTTCTTATCCACCTTTGTTTCTCTTTTCTCAATGGCTGCTTGTTTTTCCTTTTTTTTTTATTTACAGTGCAGGAATGGTTGATAAACTAGAAGGAAAAAAAAACTGAATAATGCATCAGAGGGGGTAAAATAGTTGCTTGTTATAAAATTTTTAGTATGGCAGGCTGCCCTTGAAATATTGATTCACCCACCAGTAGATTTTTTTCTTTCCCAGCTGTGTGTGTCCATGTGTGTGTGTTAGTGTGTGTGTGTGTGTGCGCGCTGTCAGGTTCAATCAGCGTGTGTGTGATGAATATGAATACAGTCAGCCTGCCTGCAGGTTTGGCAAGAGACCACCTCCAGCTGGACTTCAGACCCCTACTCAAGTGTGTCCGTGTGTATGTTTTGCGAGCGTGGTCGAACATGTCAGCCTGCATCTGTCAATGCTGTGACAACCTGGGGATGAAATGAAGAACAATATAGACCATCTCGTACCATCCAACACCATTTCATGTTATCTATAGATATGGCCTCTTAGTCTTTATGTGTATTTGTGCGATGCTGTGTCTTTATTTCTAGCAGATAACATATTAATCGTAGGAATATTCAGTTGTTAAATTTGTGTTTTGTCAGCGTAGCAAAAGTCAATCTTTCATCCTGTGTGTGTGTCTCTGTGTGTGTTTCTTTAATCGCAGGCCAGCAGATGAAGAGGGAGACGCCATTCCAGCTGTGAGGGAGACGGAGGACTCAACACACACTCAAACGCACACACACAGACACACACGTATACACACAGAGCCAGAGGCGCGTGAGCAGGTGAGCATTAAGTCAGGCAGCTAAACAGATCACGTCGCGGTATGATATCTGCAGACAGGCAGACAGAGGAGGCCGGTCTGTACCTGCAGGCAGAGAGCAACAACTCCAGGCACCCTCGCCAGGAATTTCCTCCCCCTCCTGAGTGAGAGAGAGAGAGAGAGAGAGAGAGAGAGATGCACACACAGAAAGAAAGAGAGAGAGACATAAACTGGTTTTCACTTACGTGTGAAGAAAACCCAACAGTGATTACAAACTCGCAGCCAAATTTTGTTTATAACTTCAGTGTCATAAAATATTATTACTTTGACATGAAGCAGACATCTTTCTTGTGATAATAACCAAGAAAGAGACATTTCTTACAAAATAATGAAAGGCCTTCAGCCCAGTTATTACAGAAAGATTTCAAAAGGGGCTGGGATTTTTTTGGCAGTTCGGGTTTTTCTGCTTTGCGGCTCTGCAGAAGTCTCACAAACATCTTAAAAAAAAAGAGTACTTCTGTATTCTGACAGATCTTGAATAAATTTGTTCAAATAGCTGACTGAAAAGGTGATTTATAGATCATTATTAAGTTAAGTATTTCCTCTAAATTTCTAAACAGTGGCATGTTCATGTAAAATCATTGATGTGTTGTTTTTGATTTAGCTTGGAGCCGGACAGTAATGCAGGAAATTAAATTTTTAAAAGTTTGTTTTTCGAGTTTTTGACTTTTATCATTTTCCAGCCAGTCATAGTCCAACTTTTTTCTGTTTTTCCAAGCTTAAAATTATTTTCATGGAGTGACAGTAATAAACTCCTAGACAAACTGTAAATGAACGGTGTGATGAAAGCGTGGAGGAAAAATAGCGATCAAGCACCAAAGTGATACCAGTCTGTCTTCTCCAACTTTAACCTCGGTCACTGAGAGAAAACCCCCCAACATAAAAGAACGGCACATTCACACGCTACTGTAATATCAACTACAGATGCGTCTTTTGTTATTTTGGCGTAACTCAATCAGCTCCTGTATGATTCGTCTGTCTGGAGTTACATGACTTCTTTGACAGCATCCGCAGCGCTAATTGTGAAACTTTGACAGTATCTGTTACCTAAACTCGTTCTGCCAGTTCGCTTCTGTTAACGGCTTTGACGTTTTTATTTTTTCGACAAGTTTTTTTTATTTTTTTTATAGCTTCCTTTCATTCACAATCTGCTCAGCTTATGACGCCTTTATCTGCAGTGTCCTGTGTCGCTTTCATAGTGATTCCCTTCTGGGAGATGCCCGGTGCAGTTGTGGTTTTCTATTGAACCAACTGTCGGTTACATTGTTGCTCAAGACACACAAAAAAAAAAAAAATGTAAGAAAAGGAGGGAGTGCTGTCAGTTAATGTGCGCAGATTGCACTACAATTTACCACTGCTTAATGTGACGAGTTTACTTCTCTAAGGATTTAAGCTGTCACTCATCACTCAGACGGCCATTTTCCTATTTCCAAAAGTTGTTCGCTTCTGTTTTTTTTTTTTTTTGTTTTTTATTTATATTTAGCCAGAAAACGCCTCCTGAAATTTTACAAGTCACAGCTTCCCCCCACATTCACTTATCTAAAAATGATTCAGTGGTTAAATGTCAGAGCTGTCCCTGCCATTAAGGCCAGCATGTTTGAAGGAAGGACACCCTTACTCGCCCTCACTCTCTCCTCCCCCACTCTGTCTCTTCTTATTCCTCTTAGTCTCTCCCTCCTCCTTCCTCTCACCCACCCACCCACTCACACACACACACATACACACACACAACCCAGGCTGGTTTGAGAGACTGATGTGCAGACCTTGTCATTCAGATTAGGGCCACATTGTCAGCTCAGGGCCCTTCTCTCTCTCTCTCGAGTTGCGTGTCCCGGATCTTTCTTCCAACTGTCACCCTCGTCCCGCGGCCAGAGAAGACCTTATAAAGCAAACATTCCTTCTCATCCACTTCTGTCAATTCCAACGCTGTCACTCAAATCAGTGTTTGGGAGAGCGGACAGAGAGGCCGAGTTAGCGGTGTCGCTTGCAGCAAGGACTGTGCTTTTTGGTCCTAGCTAGGGTGACGCTTCTGCAGATAGCAAACTGTGTTTTTTTTTTTTATAGGGGGTATTTTCAGTCGTGATTATTTTTTGCTTTTGCCTGCAAGTTGACATGCCTTTCAGAAGACCTGAAATACAAGGAAATGACAAAAGGAGAAGCGGCTCCTGTGATCTAAAGCAAAGGAGAAAGGCTTCACAGTCTTTGCTGTCAGGCATCTAGAGAAGTTTTGAGTCTTGAAAATCTTCAAATAACAATTCTGATTCATTTGGCTCAATATAAAAAAAAAAGGCTAACAGAGGTAGTGTGTTATTTTTAAAACAGTTTTCTGCGTTAAAGCAGAATTTGGTGGGATATGAGGATGTGAGATTCCTACCACATCATCTTAGTCACTCTGTGTCCTGCTGTAAAACAGTCCTGGCCACATGTTTATCATCCTACCACATTTTGACTCACTGCCACAGTTTTATTGTCAAGTCGTATCTAATTACTACTGACGCTCCGCACTTCTTTTCCTCCTCATGATGAGCAACAATGATTCAGCAGTGAATAAAATCCGTCTTGCAAGATGGCGGACGATTTTTTTTCACAGGAACAAAGAAAACAACCTCAGTTTTCAGCCACATCATAGTGAAACGACACATGCTATTGATCGGGGTGAGTCAACAGTTTCATACCGGGTGTCTCCCTCATCTTTTACCTTACACGAAGCCCTGGAGGCTTGCTGCTGCATCTCTAGAGAACGCTCGGCTTTGCCTCAATGCAGAAGACTGTATGAGGACTAGCTGCAGCCTGCGCCCAGGTGCTGTGAGTACCAAAACCCACTATGAGTCAGGAGTTTCAAGATGACTTCCCTCTTTTAACTGCTACTTACAGCCGAGTCAAATGTGCTCATATGTACTTGTCTTAAGTGCCGTAATGACACATTTCATTTAAGTTAATACCGCTTTTCTGCTCTTTACAAGAGCGATGGAATTTTTCAACCCTTGTGTTTATTTCTGTGTGTTATTCTTGAGATTTGTGGAAAAGAAGCAGAATCAGATTTTCACGAGTGTAGAAATAGAGTAAGAAGAAGTTAAATTAGAGGATGCATACACTTGTAGTTATCTGATAAGCCCAGATGGGATAGAAGAGTGCATTTTCTTATTTTGTTAAAACTCTGCTTTTCTCTTAATGGTTTAGAGATTATAAAGGGTTTTTTATCTGTTAGAAAAAGTCAGAGTAAGACACCTCTCTCTCCACCATAAAACCTGCTCCCTCTGCATCTCTAAGCAGCCTGTCACCCCCGCTCACCATCAGGCCTCAGCTTGCCCCAGTGAACATTCAACGCTGTCGGTGAGTTTGTGCTAAATTGAAAAAACCATCGACCGTTGATTGTACCCTGTGGCCAGTCTTTGTCGGTCAGAGTCGAAAAAGATCAGAAGGAAAAAGAGATAAAGCACAGGCAAGCACCTGCGACTCCTCAGACAGCTGCATGAAGAGCACACCATCCATCCTCCACAAACAAACAAACAAATTCTTCATCTCTATCCAAACCACAGCAAAGGTCACAATCAACATTCATTGCTGTCGGTGGGTTTAACTGTGTGGAAGAGCTCACTGAACGATGAATGCAACTGTGTCCCAGATTTCATCACGATGTCAAAAAGGATATTGTCACGATATGCTGATGATGGCGTTATGTACTTCTCAGCCTGTCCTGTGCCTTCACCCCCTTCCCACAACAGGAACACACAGGCGGGGTGAAATGACAGACGGGTCAGATTGCATCTTGATCACGCATGCTGGGTGGAGAGTCCCAGCAGCAACAGAAGAAGTAGAAAGATGTAAGAGATGTTTAAAACAAAATGACCTTTAAAGGAATATAAACAGAATATATGGCGTTCTTTGCATCTGGAGTCTGATAAATATTTCATTCTCGAATATCAAATAAGGTATAAAGAGGGGAAAAGGACATTTTTAAATAAGCAGATGTATTTCAAGTGACCTTTTAAGTAAAAAGATGAGTCATCAGAATTCATAGTTATATAAGTGCCGATTCAAAGTCCAACTGAGTCATTTTTATTTCAGTTAACATTAAAATTTTAACTTTTTTAAATCCTTGAGATACAATTGAAACAGTCAGTTTAATTTTTCACACTCATTCATCTTTATATTTCTTTATCTCCAAACTTGAGAGGAAAAATTAGGTTATGGTACTTTACTGTGTATTATTAGTTGTTGTTGTTGCATGACATTTGATGTATTGAAAATTATTAAATAAATCTCCAGTTTTAAGTGATGAGTTTGACTTTTTTTGTACCGCTGTTTTCTCTTTATGGTTGCAAAACATGTAAAAACTAAAAATTTTACAAAGCCCTGTCAAAGGATAACAAGAAAAATATAATTATCTTGAATATTTTAATGTACTTCATAGAAAACAACAGCTAAATTTAATCATGCTAGCAAGTAGCAGACAGTGGGTGTGTGCTACATTGATAGTTTTATGTCATAGGAACCACTGGAAAGAGGATAACATTGAAATAAACAGATTTTTCTCTTAATATATAACTAATGACTACTGTGGTTCAGAAGCACTGAGACTATTGAAACTTGTCACATTTTCTATTTGATGCCTCTTCTACTTTAATATTAACTGCACAGCTGTTTTGACAAGAACTTTTCATCCAGGATTAAAAGTTACATTTTATTTTGTTCTCATAAAACTAAAACATGAGGGTGTAATAAAAATAAAAATGACATGAAATAAGTCCGCTTCTTCATTTAGCCTTTACATTCTGAGAAATGTGTCTCTATGATGTGACACCCTGATAGGTGTCTTGACACCCACAAAAACAGGTTTGCGCCTTTTTGATTTTTGCTTGTGCGACCTTTTTTTTAAATCTGTAAATAACAGAAAACTTCATAAATTGTTTTCTACTTGCAAAGATTCAGTCTGCTAAATCTCTGCTGTTCTGTTTAGTTAGAAAAGTACTCGCACAGTAATTTTAACCAACTGTGTAAAGTGTTGATTTTTCACAGAACTGTTTGACCAGCAGATGTGAAAACAGTGCTGGAGTTACTGGAAACCCCCCTGTCTAGTTTCATTTATGCAACACACAGTTCAACCTTTCACTGTAGTCCTGAAATATATTTCTAAGACATACTCTGTGGTAGGACAAATATATATATATACAGTATTTTTTGCCTTGAGTCAAAATTGTGAAATGGCTGCATGTGTGCATATACTGGAATCAGATGGTCTCGGATCAGGAGGAGGTTCATACTTTAATTTTATAAACCACAATGATACCAGTGAAGAAAGAACCATCAGCTTACCACTGACGCAGTAGATCTGTGGAACTAAATGAGTCATGATAACAGTAATTGAAGACCATTGTTCCTGAATTAGACGTGCGCCATTTAACTAGAGAAGAAGTCAACTCTTCTGCAAAACGAGCCTCACAGCACATTCAAACTTCAGACATGGAAAGCTGATAAATTCGTCCGCTAACTGTGGGATTTTACAAATGTTATAATCAGTTTTTTTACAGATATTAAAAACAAATTAAATGTTAGAAAAACTACACTGAGTTTTCAAATGTCTTTTAAATTAGGGGTGTTAAACACATTACACAGCCCTCTATCAAATGGCTTTTTGTAATATTAATTCCAAATGCTAATGTAATGAGAGAATGAAAACCCGAGATTAAGTAAAGACTCAAGTACATTAATTATGACTTCCTCTGTCCACCAGAGGGGCATCAAATACCAGGGAAAAAAGACTGGAGTCACACAATTCAGATTTGTCTTTTTTTTTTTTTACTACATTTGCATGAAAGTCAAATAAAAGGGCAAGAACAGAAAACACATGTGATCACAGTAAAAAAAGAAAAATCATTGAACAGTCATTAAACATTTTGTTAAATGTTAATGATCATGCACAAAAAAAAAAACATCTTTTAAAGCACAATGATTGTTTTTTATTTTGGGTACAATGATAACCTGAAAATTAAAACCCTGACTTTTTTCCTGATATTTCTGAAAAAACAAAAACCTGTTTAAGGAGTTTTTGTTTTACCTGTTTAACGACCTTACATAGTTTGTATTTGTAATATTAATACTTATAAATCTAAAATACAGTATGCTTCCAGTTGTCTGTATTAATGCTTCTTATGAGACATGAAGAAAATTTGCAGCTTTTAGAATATTAATCATGTGTCACCCTGAGGATGCGGTAAATTGTGCTTAAGCACACTCCCCTGATCATTAATGTAAAGATTTCTGACAAAAAAATGAGATATTTCTGACCTTAAAGCATCTCAATGTCACTGATTTTGCTGGTTAAACAAATGAAGGAGTTTATAACACCAAAAAAAAAAAAAAGCTGTAACTACATTTTTTCTATTTTTTTTGTCAAACATGGAAATAAACTGATCTTGAAGTTATAAGTGAAGACATCCTAATGCTCAAAAAACACACACTCTACATATCCACAGCTATCACTAATAGATGTTCAGTTGTAAACAGCTTCTCTTTAATGCAACAAACAGCTTACTTATTTGAATCCAATCATGTAAACAAATTATTTTCACTTTTACATATGCTAGTTTTTACATTTTAAGACTGGATTGCTGGCTTATCTAGAACAGTAATCACGACTTTTGCTAGTGGTTAAATATTTTACACAGTACAAAAATAGCTAACATGCTGCTCTTGAAATCCCTAACCTTCCAGCAACAAATGGGAAATGTTTCATAACACCAAATTATGTTAAACAGGACAATAGCTTATTTAATCATACTTAAATGCATTTTAAAAAGGGGTTTTTAGATTACTTGACAATGTGTATTTAGTAAAGCAGTGGAGAAGAAATTCGTCATGACTTTTGAAAAACCTGCTGGTAAACAATAACATTGCTGATGTGTATTTTTGCTTGTGTTTGCATTAAATCTGGACTAATAGTACATGATTTGTTGGGTCTGGGTTTAACTGATAAAATGTGTATGTCTGAAAGATGGAGGGGTCAGAGTTTAACAGCTAAAGGATAAAACCTTTGGATAGACTCTTAAGGCTTTAAAGCCCCCCTGACATTTGTGTGCAGCATTTTTCAAGAGAAACTTGCCACACGCAGTTTTACAGTGGTATTCCTTTAAGTGCTTTGGCTGCTGTTCATAAACCCACCAGTAGGGGTCACTACTGTCTTATGTCAGCTGGTCTCAGCTGTCTCTCACCCTCAGCCAGAAAGATCTGCATGGCTCTATAGAGCAGGTGGACACCCAGCTCTCTTTTCCTCTTCCCCTGCCAGTTTGACACGACACCATAAAAATCCCCTCGCTTCTGATTCGTCAGCATCTTCAACCCTTAAACAAGAAACAATGAATGAGGTTACTGACATGTTTTTTTTTTAGAACTAGGAATTATCTGATGATTCTCATAAGAATGGCTAAATATTTTCATAAAATGCAAACAGGAAGTCTCCAGAGGATCATTTCTCACCTCATAGAGATAACTCGTGATAAGTTTTACCCCTTTCTACTTACCGACGGCCTCCACCATGCAGGCCTCTCTTGTGTACGCCTCCACAGGGATGACGTTCTGGAAACAGTGCAGAGAGATGACGCCCTGCTCGGCGTTCCACACCTGAAGGATGTGCTGCACTTTGGGGCACAGTTTCTGTCAAACAGGAATGATTTCACAAAAGTTAACTCCTCATTCAGATCACATTAGTTTCATAGGACAGGTGTGTGTGTTCGGCTTTACCTTGGCGGTCTTGTCTCCTCTGAAGTACTCTAAAGCCTCGTACAAGTGGCTGTACGGGCGAGAGCGTTTTCCTTTGCCCACGTAAAATATAGCGTGGATAAATGTCTGGAAGCACTCGTGTGGTGTCATGGTGTGACTGCGGAATGGGAGGTTCTTTGTCACTCTGGAGGAGTAAAAGTGAGGAGAGGGTTCAACTTTTTCTGTTTATCAAGTCAAATTTAAGAAGTTGCAGGTCAGTGCCACATTGATAATTTCTTAATGAGTCCATTTATTTATATAGATGCCTTTATTATAGGTTAGGTTAAAGTTCTGAATAATACTACAAGATTAAATATAAAAGGAATATAAGCAGGAAAAAGAAACAAACTATGAATTAAAGGGATATTCCAGCGAAAAATTTATTAAGGGTCAAACACACCATAACACCGAGTTAGACACCCCCTTGAGAGATGAATGTTGCCGACCGCTTGCTTCTCTAGTTATACCAACTTTAGTAACGACCGAACAATAGCAGTACACAGCAGTCTGAGGAGCCATAGACAAACCTTAACCAAAACGCCACTCTATAGCCACAAATAATGCTCAGAACAGCACCTAACTTCATCAACAGTACATATAGGGTCCCAGCCACAGCACTAGCCACCAAACATCTTGCTATCATCATGCTATCGTGCAATCGTGACTAAAGTTGGTATAACTAGAGAAGCAAGCGGTCGGCAACATTCATTTCTCGAGGGGGTGTCTAACTCAGTGTTACAGTGAGTTTGACCCTTAATTAATTTTACACCAGAATATCCCTTTAATGTAGGTGAAAGCAAACCTTGGATCGAGGAGCAGGTAGTTAAAACTAGACTTGATGATGCCTTCCCTCCACTTTCTGTTTTGATCTGGTTGGTCAAACTGTTGGCACAGAGCCTGCTCATCAGCCTGGCAACAAGGCAGCTCGAAGGTCCTTAAAGCCCGACACAGTTCAGGACTGTAACCTGAATCTATAGAAAGAACAGAAGCGGACACAGAAAAGAGTCAGTGTTGGTGTAAATCGTGATAAACTCATACCAACATGCTTCAGTTGTTCAGTGGTTATAATTCAATCCACCCACAATAATGAAAGTGGAGCTTCCTCATAAATAATGAGTTTCATTTTCCATTTTCAAGCTTCATTATAGGACTGATTTAACAGTCAAGTGAAGCCACAACTTTATTACTACTTTGAAGCAATATAAATTAAAATATTATGTTGGATAATTATCTTAAAAAAACTTTTAAATTGATCTTCTGGTTCCCAATCTCACCCCCAAAACTCCCACAATCAAAATTGAAGTTCATCATCATCATCATCTTAATCTGCACACACACGAGTCCATAAGAACATGATCTACATCTAAATATATAATACTCACTGTCTACTGGTTATTAAAGTACCTCCATAATACTCCTTGAAAGAGTGCGTACCTGTATGTGTTTGGTCTGAATGCTTTTTGTGATGGGGGGATTGGGAGTTGGACTCCTCCATCAGGCGGCACAGTCTCCTCATGTAGGTGGGCCTGGTTCGGCTGCTGATGGGGCCTGGACTCTCCCCTAGCTCCACCAGCCTTAGCCTCAGCTCCCTATCAGTAATCCCTTTGGTCGCTGCCAAAAGACTTCCACCATCATTCGCCAAATTTTCCTTCTTTGGCACCACCGTCTCTGGCTCCTGGTTCTCCTTCCCTCTGCTCTTCATCATGTCTGTATGCATGGAGCGCCAGTCATAAATGATCGTCTCCTCGCTGCTGCTGCTGGTGGTGCTCATGCTGGAGCTGAGGGAGGTGTTTGCTGTAGGCGGGACGTGGATCTCGATCAACTTGTGGCCCTGTTCTGTATCAGTGTAGAGGTACTCCACTGGTTCATCCAGATCCTGAATGAGCGGTCGCCCCCCGGGGGTGTACGACAAGTTGGCTAGGTGCTGCGGCCTGCGGCAGGTTGACAGCCGACTCATGCTGTACCTTGGAGTGCACCCGGTGCCTGGAGTGCAAGATACGTCAGAGTCTTCCCTGGATCTCCTTGGGGAAAAGTAGCTGGAGCTGGAGGAGGATGACACAGAGTCGGGTTGGGAACTGCAGTCCTCTGTGATCCAGGCGTCATCAGCTTTTGGGCTGTTTCTGTCCTCAGGCTCTTCGTTTGCGTTTTTATTTGTTGTTGCCTCATCTGTACTCGTCAAGTCATCTGTCAGGAAGTCTTCACCTCCTCCAAGATCCTGGCCCTTCATAGCGAGGATGATCTCAGCGAGGTTTCTTTCATAAGCATCTGTTGAAGTGTCCTGGCCTTTCTCCAGTACAAATGTGTCTGATAAAGTCTGCGAGTCCGTGACGCTCTTGGGGAGGATAAGAGTGTCAGCTAGGCTAATGCTAACACTTGAATCAGCTCTAAGGGTGCTTGACTGTGTGTCCTGGGAATTCGCAAGCAAAGGGTCTCCTCCTGTACTACTCCCTGGGTAGGACGGCGTATAACAAGGTGTACAAGGTGTACAAGGTGAACGGTAAAAGTCATTACTGCTCTGAGATCTGGGCGTCTGGCGGCGTGTTCGAACCGGCGTGGGGAGGATTTCTTCAAACAGAGTTGACTCAGAGAGGAGAGTCTCTGGGGTTCTGCTTGTTCTCAGTGAGCAGCGACTCAACCTGGAGCGAGTCCTGCCCGTTACAAAAGGACTTGGAGTGAATGGTAGATCACAGTCTTCCTGCAGCATGACACCACCTTCATTTGTGGCATCTACGACAGGAACACCACACGTTTCAGTTACATCTTTAGTTTGGTGTTCAGACTCTGATGGATCTACTCTCCCCTGAAAACCTGATACATGCCTTGTAGTCTCTGGTTCTGTTTCTGTGTGGGATTCTGTTTGAACAGATGGGTAACTCCCACTTTCACTTTTAACACAACAGTCTGCAGAATTCTGACTCTTTTTGTCGGACTCAGCACCGACAGGAATATCCTCTACCACAGGGGTTAAAGTGTGTCTGGGGTGTAGAGAAGCCTCCAAAGCACTGGTGTAGTGGTCACTCTCACAGCTGCTGTAATGGCTACTCCCACTGCTGCTGCCGACACGATCACAAACAGGCTGTTCTGGTATTTCTACCTGAGCTTCTTTTACATGTTCACCCTCCTGCTCATCATCATCACTTTCTTCCAAAGCACAGTGACTGATGACCGTTTTCTCCATATCCTCCTCAGTGCTCTCACTGCTGTCCCGGCAGAACACATAGACGTGATCTGGGGATGTTACGTCGATACCCTGCTTCTGTAAAACAGTGGCCATGCGCTCTGAATCTAAGAAATCAGAGTATTCAGACAGGTCAAAAGATAAGTCCCTGGTGCACTGGCTGCCACCAACAGCAGGTTGCTGTTTGGGAGATTCAGGGCTGAAAACTGGGAAATATTCATCCACGTCTCTAAAGCTCACACTTTTGCGGCTCACTCGCCTTGTGGGAAATGCTGGAAGAGTGTCTCTTCTGGAGGGGGAGATTCTGTTTTCTCCTGTAGCAGCATGTTCATTTGCTTCTGATGTCAACTCACCATCATAACTAAAAATATCATCCTCCTTTAGGATCGGCATGACGACTGCAGGTCCCGCTGCAGACATGCGAGTGCTGGACAGTATCGAAGGACCTTCAGATACCCAACGTGAGGAGGAATTGTTCCATCCCTTGCTCTGTTGCCTATGAGAGTCCATATCAGAGAGTCTGTTGTATGATATTCCTCTGCAACCCGGCCTCCCGTCAATGTGAGACATGTTGAAAAACGATGAGCGCCTGGTACTGCTTAATGGGGCTTCACCAAAGTCGCTTATCATGGAAGAGTGGGAAGTGAAGCTGTAGTCTGATTCAGGGTAGCTGGACAAGTCCGTTTGGTCTGAATACACAGCTGTGAAGAGCAGAAAACAAACCATGACCACGAGTTTAAAAACATTTCAGAGAAGATCTGGCTGCAACTCCTTTGATCTGGTCATTATCTACTGCCAGACAACTTGGCAGATGATGTACTGTTTCACTGATTACAAACAAAACCACTTTAATGCAGCTCCTCAATTGAAATGACAGAGAACTGTGCATGCAGAGTCTGTGTCTCTGTGACACATGACTTTAAAAAGTACAAGTTGCTGCCAGCATTACAAATACCTGCTTAACTAAGTGGACCACAGAGTGCCCATGGATGTGGACAAAACTGGACAAACTTAATCAGAGAAATTTCAGTAATATTGAGTTCTTCTCTTTATCCCAAAACAAACAAAGTCACCAAATAGACTTTCTTACAGTAGTGAAACTGAGGCAACTCATCATCCTCTGTGTCCACTGAGCTGGTCTGGTAGTCCTTAAGAAGCTGAGCACATTTTCGGTTCTCTTGCTGCTCTGCAAGCTGCCTTGGTGTGTTCCCTTCCTGCAGTACATAAGAAGATAACATGTTGATCAAATATTCAAAGTCACATTCAGTAAATATTTTGTTACTGTGCAAAGGTTGCTTCAATTTTCAACAAATACTCCAACTTAGTATTTATGCAAATTACTCTGTAAATTGTCTATTTGCAAGTGTGCATGTACTTTCAATGACACTCTGATTTTCATTAGTTTCACAGTGTGCAACCTGATTGATGCACCTTTCTGGCAATAATAATGTGATTCTTACATTATCTTTACTGTTTGGGTTCCCTCCATTCATCAAAAGCAGCTTCAGATTTTGATAACAGCCCCACAGTGCAGCAATATGAAGAGGGGTCAGACCCTCTGATGACCTAGAAGGAAAAACAAAAGACACATTTTTTTTCTTCATATACACAATAAATCATTGTCACCATGCTTTTTCCTCTGACAGTCTCATATCTCTCTGGTAGGCTTTTAAGAGACAAAATATCTCAGCAGATTGCCAAAGAAACAGCTACTATGAACTTGCTGCACTAGAAAATTTAATATCAGCAGTAGGGCAGTTGTGTTTAGTCTCTTTGCTAAAGAAATCAGGCAAAGTTAAAAACATGTTTAGTGGCTGGGACCCTATATGTACTGTTGATAAAGTTAGGTGCTGTTCTGAGCATTATTTATGGCTATAGAGTGGCGTTTTGGTTGAGGTTAGTTTGTGGCTCCTCAGACCGCTGTGTATTGCTATTGTGCGGTCGTTACTAAAGCTGGTATAACTAAAGAAGCGAGCAGTCGGCAACATTCATCTCTCGAGGGGGCGTCTAACTCAATGTTATGGCGTGTTTGACCCTAAATTAATTTTATGCCGGAATATCCCTATAAAAGGTTCTAAGGAGTGTTTCGCTTTACCTGACATTAGGGTCTGCTCCATGTTGCAGCAACATTTTTAAGCAGCGTGTGTTCCTCTCCGTCTCTTTTCCAACAGCTAGGTGTATTGCTGCAACTCCTTTACTACCAACCAGGTGAGGGCATGCACCTTCTGACAGGAGTAGCTGCACAGATCTACAAAATTAGGAACATCTGTTACAATCTGGCACACTGTGGTATTTAGGACAACACTGTAGTCTCCTTGTGTTATATCTTTTCATATAGATACACATGCTTATCGTGGAGTCTGTTTGGGAACATGCTCACTTTGAGGGTCTCTCAGAGGTTTAGTGGTGAATAGTTATGCACCAAAAACACCCATCTAACAGAGGATGGATCACACAAGAATACAGGCGGAATTCATTTTCTGAGAAGCACATTTTAATACTACTATCACAGCCAACTTTGAGCAGAGGTACCTAAGCTTGGCTGTATGTACCAAAATCAAAACAAACTGATAGACCCTCACAGGAGCTTTAAACCTGCTTTATTTTAACCTGAGTGTGCTTGCCTAATACAAACTAATCAATATTTATCGATTGTATCCAATTTACTCCCACAATAAGACCTGGGGAATTATCTTTTATCAAAGTAACCTCGACCCTCGGAGCTGCAGCATCATGTCAACATCAGGACATGTCTGGACATGACAAAGAAAATAACATCACCTGGGTTCTCCATCCTTCACGGCTTTGCAAAGTTGACTTTCGAGTCTCCTCGTTTTTCGATCCATCATCAAATGTAATGCTGTTATATATTATCCACAGCAGATAAGCAGCATCCTCTGAGTCAGCCCATCACCGTTCGGATAGACGACAAAACTTTTAATCGTGGCTAACAAGCTAAGCTAAGCTAAGAACGACGAGGAAGTTATAGAAACCTTTACGGAGCCCTCATGGACACAACTACTACTTTATATACAGCAATAAGTCAATTTTTGTAATCCATAGTTTCCAGAGTGTATTTGTTTATCCGTGTTGTATGTTATTATCCAGGGGCAGTACACTATATTTATTAAATTTCCCTCCAAACACACAAGCCACCCTCCTTGAGTGTAAGCAAGCGGAAGTCCCGCCCACAGGCATGTGTGATTGGACTGAGCTTTAGTCCCAACCAATCAGTTTAGACCTTAGTCAAATAAAACTGAGGAGGAGGGAGACAATGGCGTCTTTCCAAACTGTGACAGTGTTTGCGAGTATATCGCTGTTTCATCTGTTCTGGTAAGTCCAACACTCTTACGGTTTGAAACAAATCCAAATTTTTCACAGTGTCATAAAATGTGATACATTTAAAAAATATTTGGACAGAAAATATACACGGGGTCTTATGATATTTGTGTATCTTTAGTGTTCGTACCATACTTTGTTTTAAAATTATTTACCATAACGTAAATGTTTGAAATTCAAGAGTTTAACGCTTGGAGGCTAAAACTGTGGGTTGTTACATCAGGGAACTTTTTGAAGGTATTCATTCTGTCTTCTTAATTAAAGATAGGGGAGAGTGGGGTACGATGAGCCATTTTTTATATTTCTATCACTACATCAAGTCAATCATAGTTTTATCTCTTACTAGTGCATATATTTTAAGATGTCGTGTATCCCTGCAAACCAACAGAATGAATGTAAGCATAACTGTCTTGACAATATTGCATGCCATAAAAAAGTGGTCTCCTATGGTCAACTTACCCCGTGTATGGGGTAAGTTGACCATAGGAGCGGGGTAAGTTGAGCCGTATCCCTACTACCCTCAACTCTCCACCCCAGCCCTGCCTCACCTTCTCTCTCCCTAAATAACAGTCACTTTTTCACATTCATGTGTGACTCAACTCAACTTACCCCAGAACTACTTTTATGACTTTATTAGTCCTCTGAGCTAAAATGGTGGACTTTTATGTTAGGTTTTTGACCTGATGTTGTAGCTCATAGATACCACAATTGATGTAAAACAAACTTAAAATGATCTTTTTTGGTCTGAACACAATTCTTATAAAACTTATGACCGACTAAATTCACTTTCAAGAGTGAAAAATGTTTTTTTTTGGAAATAAATGTCTAACCCCTTCACCCATGTGCTTCTAACATTCACAGACTCCATGAATTGATGCCCATCTCCTAAATATTCTGTCACATGATCAATTTCTTTTACCATTTCCAAGCAACAGGGGGTGGCTCAACTTACCCTTTGGCTCAACTGACCCCACTCTCCCCTACTAATTTTGTCTAAGATTATTAAGAAATCAGTTCTTTATTAAAAACATTTGAAATACAATTTCAACCACATTTTCATATAAATAAAGTGATAAAAGTCACAGCTCTATAATAATAAGGATGCTTTTCACGACAAGAGGAAATTACTTAAAATAGCATGTGATCTCAAAGTTATGCAACTATACAGCCCTTAAATTTCATACAGAAAGTACAACATGATGGGAAAATTATTTTTTAAGCACAAACTCAGACAGCACAAATTTTCCCCAAGGTCAGAACAAGAATCCCTCAGAGGCTGTCACCTCAGACAGAGTAGAGAGAGAGCATCATGAGGCCCAGCAGGAGGAGCAGCAGGCTGGGGTGGATAGATGCAGCATGACTGGGTGGGGGCAGTTTGCAGTCTTCGTATGGCGCTATGCAAGCAGCATAAGCCATGGCATGGGCAATGTAGTTCTGCTCCTTGACCCCGTGAAAGAGGTGGGCCATGGGTCCCTTAGCAAAGATAGCTACATCCTCCATGCTGTGAGTCTCTGAATCCAGAGGGACTGCAGCCTGCTGACGGTATTCATTATCCGCTGAGGAAGAGTGGTACAAAGGAACATTAAATGAGCTCTCCAAAATACAGAGAAATGTACTCTGAACCTGCAGAGGTCTTTTTTTGGCAAATTAATGGAATCCAGTGAAGCTAAACTGCAAGAAACCCCAAACCTGATCAATTTAGACAGTGTTTTCTATGCTCTGTAACTAAGGTTATCATAAAAGAGCTCTTGTTTTGTAATAATGTCAAACAATCAATTATAACACAAATCTTTTTTTTTTTTTTTTGGACAAACAGACTGGCTGGCCAAACTTGTCACTTCCCATCGAGTCAAAAACACTCTTAATGCATTTTACAGCATATTTCCTTTTGTTGCAATGCTTTTGATAGAAGAGCAGTCCCTTCTCCCCCTCTTTTCTTGTGGTTTCAAACATATAATTTGCTTTAATCCACTCCATATATCTTTATCCTCCTTTTTGGCTCTTACATTTTCTTAGTTTTGGTAATTTACATACCACAAAAATACTTTTTCAGTCAGTTAATGTGACACTTAAATACTTAGCTGTTCCCCCCAGCAGGTTCCCTGTTGCACCACAAGATGGAGCTACTTTATCACAAGGTCTGCTCAAAAGTCCTCACTGTAGACTCACATGAAATTGTTTCATTCACGTCAGGACGGGTTCCATTGACAATCTGGTATCCTGGTCCATTCCCGTACACAGCCATAGTGAAGTGCTTATTGTCCTCAGCCACCAAGCGAGACACGCCTGCAAATCACAGGACAACTAAGTTCCTGCAGGTTCATTCAAACACCAAATGCGTATCTCTTTTTATCAAACTCTTTTCAGCCAGCATGAAAAGTCTGTGTGACAGTTACCTAAAACTGGGTTTCCTCTGGCAGAATTTCCTCCAAAAGCAAAGACATGGGAGTGGTCTGCAGTGACCACAGTCAGGGTGTCCAGCTCGCTGGTCAGTTCAGCTGCTCGCCCAATGGCTCGGTCAAACTCAATTGTCTCATAGAGGGCCTTTTTGGCTTTTCCTCCATGGTGAGCATGGTCAATTCTGCCACTTAAAGTCCAGAAAAAAGCGGTTTTCTCATAAGCATCCATGGTTTAATCCCACTTATGGAATTAAACCTAGTTTTATAAGTCTTACTCATTTATCTACAGCCACATAGGTTGTCTTTAAAGAAAAATAATGAGACCAAAACCTACAATTTTGCTGAAGTAACCTTGAATTTTTCACATTGAAACAACATATTCAAGGTGTAAAAGGGACAGTCTGACAATTTATCATAGATTAAGGGTTCTTTACTGTCTGGGTAATGACTCCAATAACAAATAATGACACTTATCTTCCACAAAGAGGAAAAATCCTTTTGGGTTTTTGCTGAGAATCTTAATTGCTTTGTCCACCATCTCAGTCAGCGATGGCTCTGTAGTAGCATTTCGTTCCAGTTCGTAACGGCAGTCTTTGGGCTCAAAGAGACCTTAATGTCAGAAGAGACAGGAAAGTAGTAAGCAAAAACATAATGAATACCAAAGTTTATTTCCCTCTGAATTGTAAAAAGTCAGTTTAAATGAGAAGATAGTTTTACAATTTTTAACTTAGTTCCTGTGTGGCTTCATCTGTTTTTCAAAGGCCAGCTCTCCAGATTATATATTCACTAAATGTTGTTGATCGTGTTGGGAATGTCAGTTTACAAACCATTAAGGAGTCAGAGGGTAATGGTTCCTATGTAGTATGGGTATGGTTTCAGTTCATCTTAATATGGGCAGGAAAGATTAGTTTGAAAATGAGACATAAACTTTATTTTTGCCTTTGCCAAGTTTGTCTTTTTGTACAAGTTTATTATCTGTTAAACTAAACAGTGTGTCTTACCCATCAAGAAGTCTGTTTTTCTGGGATCAACAGCATCCAAGTCAGCTTTGTTCCAAACGTACTTACAATTCTGTTCACAATAAATGCGAAAGAAGGACGAATTTATCCAGTCATACTCACAACAACCCGAATGATACAATACAAATATCTTCAATCTGTAATTACCGTTTTGTTCTGCATCCACTCTGAAACAAGATCTTTTCCATCGTTCCTTTCTCCTTTCATCGTTGCATACTCTGGGTCTTGTTCGCTTTTAGGGAACATGTACTGACGGCCTCCACCAAGAATGACCTAGAACCACAGACATTGAGAAAAGTAGTATCTTATACTCTTTGATTTCTGTATACATGCTGTTCACACCAAAAATCCGAAAGTAGCAAAACTGATTTCTTTTTTATTGTGCCTCTTTTCTCTGCATTTTCAGTTTCCAATCACTGATATGTGAATTTGACAGTATCTTATTAAGGATCTTCTGTCAACCATGATTGAGAAAAAATAAGTGAAACGGCTTACATTTATTTCCGTGTTATAAACCAGCTGATAAGCAATGTCACGACAGCCATTTATGACAGCCTCTGTGCTGAGGTCAGAGTCGGCGTACCAGCCTCGATTGGCTGCGTGAGCGTAGGAGGCAGCAGGAGAGGCATGCTGAACTCGAGTTGTGGTGACAATCCCGACTGATTTTCCTACAACAAACAGAGACATAAACAGATGTTTTCATAGTTTCCATATAGAAGAGGGTAAACATCATCAACACCTCAGCTCATCTAACTCTCACAAACAGCTCAAGCTCCACCTTCTGGACAGACATATTGGTGAATTGACAAATCAGTGCTGCCTCAGTCATCACAGACATACCTGCCAGCTTGGCACGTTTCAGAATTGAATCGACTTCGTTTCCTTTGGAAGCGGCACAGTTGTACCTCGGGGTGGCAGCAGTGACTCCCAGGGTGCCGTAGTTGGCCTTCACACCACATAGGTATGCTGTTGCTGTACCAGCACTGTCTGGCATTTGCTGGTCCACATTGTATGTCTGCAGGTGACAAAAATAAACACCCATCAGCAACAGCATATGCATTTGCTAAGGGTTAAAACACAATTACAAAAATGTTGGGGTACTGCAAAAAATATTAAAAATAGAATTCAGTGGTTTGCCAACCAGTCTCAAAGGGAAATATCAATTTTTGCTTGATAAAGGATTTCAGCTGCTCGACAGTTTAGAGTTTTCTTTGTCATATTTTCTCATATTGTTCTAAATATTTCTAATATGTAGTCCAAACTGCTGGCAGGCCAGTTTAGTACCTCCTCTACTACATAGCCATGCTTTTGTTGTAGGTGGAGAACGTGGTGTGTCTTTGTGCCTCCAAAAATACACACAATCTTATCTGGATGGTGGCATATGTTGCTCCTAAACCTATATATCTTCCTCAGCACTAAAGGCGCCTTCCCGGATGTGTAAATCTGGTATGCCATGTGCACCTATCCATGTCCACGCCACAGGGAATAGTGGCTTTAGAACTGTGCGCAGATAACAAGCCAGGAAATATCTCTTCTCTTTGGATGTCAAATTCTGACTTGCGAGGCCACAGTTTCTCAAACGGGTTCAGACATGGGAAAATTTGGCATTTCTGGATCAAGTTTGTAAACAGTTTTAACCTCCATTTGTGAATGCAGTGACAAACTGTGTTCACAGACACCCATGTAGTGATTCATACTGTAGAGACATGTCTGTTTTAGTGCTTCCTTCAAGCCCCGAGATTATGGCCATCCAGAATTGGTTTTTGGCCATGTCCCTTTTGTAGACGAGTTTCTCCAGATTTCCTTAACCTTTGAACAATCACCTCTGTCCTAACCTTTTCTAACATGTGGCAGGAACCATTTCGAAGTCACGCTTTGCTTTATAAAGCAACAAAATGTTCCCTTTCAATATTTGATTTGTTTTCCTTGCACAGTTTTCAATTAAATGCAGGCTTTAGATTATTTGCAAACCATAAAAAATCTGACAACATTTTACACAGCTTCCCAGCTACTGTAAAATAAGATTATTATCCCGGAAGTTTATGAAGTTTTATGACTGATGTCATGTTTGACACAGAGTGTACTTGTTTCATGATAATGATTAGTTATGCTCAGCAGTCACATACTATGATTTGTTGTGCATCCATTGTAAGAGAACATACAGCAAAACCTAAAAACGCAGTCAGGTTGGGCTGACCTTAGATAGCGCCACATGAGGGAAGGTATCCATAACCAGACTGCTCTCCTCCCCAGATTTCCCAGCCAGCTGTCCTTTGAGGATCCGTGCAGCAGTCACTGTCGGTATCCCCATACCTGTGAGCAGGTGGAAATACACCTGAGTGTTAGGCAACATCTGTCAGGCAGGCACACACAGAGCTGCTATTGTGATCCACAAATCTCATAAGGGTCAGTTGAAAGGCAGATGAATGATATGGAAGTTATTTGCAAAGACAAATGGAAGACAGTTTGAAAAAAACATGCAAACATGTATTCTCTTTTTCTTCTATGCACTCTTCATTATATTTTTTCTGTATTTCTGGTAAATTTCAAGGCACCAAATCATCTCACACTAGAGATGTCCTGACTTTTATTTATTACGCATAATAATGATGTGTATCAAACACATGACAAGTACATCTTTAATATCAGTATTTCATAAATTGCTCCCTCTTTTTTATGTTTTAGAGCAAAACACCACCACCTATGCCACACTCCAGACTAAAACTGATTTAATTTAAAGCAACTATAAACTTTTTTTCTCTGTACTTTGATTAATCATAAGAACTTCCTGACTTTTTAAGAGATGTTTTAGGGAGTCTAGTCGACCCCACGATTTAAACACATTTGTGAGAATCTTAATTTTTTTTTTTTAGGTGAACCCATCTCAGAAAAGTATTGGCCCTGTGTCATCATTAATATCGACAACATTACTGTGACTGTGAAAGTTTTTCCTTGACACTGTTACCAAATGTTGTCAAAGGTGTTATCATGTTGGATTCATATTGGGTACACCATCAGGTATACCTCCTCCTTTCATCTGGTGTTTGGAGATAACTTTAGTTATGATTAGACACCTTGCAAGTAAGATTTGACTAACTGGAAACTGAACAAGTACTTTCCAGAGTCATTTATTGTTATTGATTAATCCCAGACACTGATAAATTCTTTCAAACTGTTTCTATCAGTACACTATCAGTTTGAGTGAACACAAAGATAACCATGAATTCAAGTAGCTTTTGATTTGCTGTTGATCGAGCTGAGTTGTTTAATACAAAGCATGGATCACAGAATAAGGACAATAAATTAGCGATAAGTTTATCTGTTAATGAGGTCAAGAGTCATGGTCAAATGACACTGAACAACTATTAGCTCACCTTTGATCCTAGTTATTGGTATTTTTTCAGTTAACCTTCAAAAAACAGACGTAACAAGAGAAGGTCATCAAACTAATGGAAGAGATTGTCAGGAGTAGAAACTGACGGTGTCAAAAACTAAAACAATGCATCATGGCCTTATATGAACTCTTCACAGAGTTTCACCTTTTTTGGTGCTCAGATCACTTAGAGAAACACGAGGAAATAGTTACAGCCAGAGTAGTCTGTGGTTTAGCCTTAGTTCAGTTTGTCATGCTTGGCTTTCCAAGCAGTAGTAACTCCAAGTGATCACATGTCAACATCCATCTCCCACTACTCGTAGGCCCCTGCTTTTTGGGGTCACTGATGCATAATCTCTTTCCTCCATGGGTAAAGGACACCACATAATGCTTTTGAGGTCCTATGTTGTCCTCACACCTCAACAAGCCAGCCAAAATAACTGAAACCAATACTCAACATTTCTGAGAAACTACCCAAACAGTGGGAAAGCTTTCCTCGCAGACTTACCATCCCCCAGGAACAAGATGAGGTTCTTGGCTTGGTGCAAGTTGCGCTGGACACTCAGAGCGTTGTGGAGAGCCTGCCTCCCTTGGTTGTTCCAGTAGCTAGCTTGAAGTTCATCCTCTGCCAGTAAGACAAATGAAATGTCTAATTAAAGGCACTGTTACAGTTTCAAAAGTCAGCGAACCATCCGGGGGGGGTTATTTCTTCTCCTTTGTTTGCAAAAACAGTTGTATTAACATTGACTCTTCCAAAGATATCCATTTAAAAAGCAGTGAACATCATAAATCTTCATAAAGTTAATGTAATTTCCCTGGAATACTGGTGAAGTCATGTAGGATATCTTCAGAATTTCTGTGGCATTAGAGACTGATTATGTTAACTAGTATTTTTATGTTTAATTGGTTTAATATGAATGAAAATAGTCTCAGTAGTTTTATAGTTCTGATGAAAATTTTTGATTTTAGGTAGTTTAACAGCCTGAAATAAAGATAATCCACCAACAAGATTCACTTTGACATTTCATATTCTTAGGCTCAATTTGTGATAGTTGTGCTCTTTGAGAAAGACCTGTCTTAGTACTGCCCTTGAAGTTGCATAACGTGAACATGTCACCTGAAAGTAAGCATTATTGATTTTCAGCAGATACAACAGAAGCAATACATAACAGATTATCTTACCTGAGTAGGAAAAAGTCCAATCCACCGAAATGAAAAGCAGTAATCCAGTAAGAATAGCCTTATGTTTGCCAGCCATGGTGCTGAATAATTAAAAAAAATTAAATAAAACCCTGAGTACAGGCACCTGTCTGCACAGGAGCGGCTCTTTATAGCAGCAGTGAAGGAGCAAAGGGCACACCAAGCAGCCTTTCAACGTGAGCCACAGGTTATATACAATGCACGCACACACAAGCACACATGCACACACATGCACACATGCACAGGACAAGAAACTCACCTTTACAGGTGTCATAACCCAAGTGTGGGGCTCAGGTGGCATTTCAGGTGATTCAGCATGTAGTTCAGTGATTTGTTAGTTAGGAGTTCTCTTGGTTTTTAGCTAATGTTTGATTATTTTGCAAGAGCTCCAGGTTTGTATGTTTTATCTCAGCTAGGACATAATGAATCCACAAAATATTACATGTTACTTTGGAACAAAGGCCATTTGTGGATTTTCATTTAGTGAAACCAGGAGCAGGTGTTGTCAGTGTTGTATAGCCACCATATAACATTGATGATTGCTGTATTTTATGGTCTAATGCAGAGTATTTATGCCATGTGGGTGTGTTTGAACATGTGGGTAAGGCTGTCCAACTGTGTGAGGTTTTTTTTATCCTTCAGCAAGGTGGTTAAAATACACAGACTAGCCCTGTGGTTCACAGAGATCATCACAAGGTCAGTGTCCAATGTAAATATCAGCATCTGGACCTTTTATGGCTAATTTGTTAAATCAGCAAGACATCTGAGAGGTGAAAACTGGGTGTAAAACGGATTATGTAAGCCAAAGACCAGGATTTCTGCACCACTTCTTAAGTCATATTCAAGGCTTTTAAAGACCTTTTTTAAGACCCAGACAAATAAAAATGAAGGCATCAAAATGTCTCTGGTGAAGAGAAAATTAAATACAAATCCACATTAAAGGGATGTTCTTTTAGCTTAATATTAACAAAGTCAGAGAGTATTTCCTTGAGCCAAGGTACAGGATATCAAAATGTTTAGCTCGTTGTACATTTCAGGACTGTGTGTTCTGCTAGTTGCTGTATCCATAGCTAAAAAAAGTAAACAATGAGCTATTAAATTAAATGAAGGTATAATTTACTTGTTTGAAGAATTTGATCTGGGGGGTATTTTATTAAATTAATAAGGATGAAACAATATTAGAGCAGCTATGAGGATTTTTTTTAGATTGATAAAATAGACTGAATTTCATATTAATGCCTTTTTATGATATCCAAAAGCAAACAAGACCATTGGCAACAACACTTTTGTCAATAGAAACTAATTAGGCATGTAAAGGGCAAGATGAGCAAAGACTCCTTTGTCCACAGGGGGCGCTAAAATCAACACAAACCAAAAGTTTATAAAAGGAGCTTTATATCGTATTGTGAGCCGTCTTAATACATATGAATAAAGCAATGAAAATTAGCTTTAGAAAATGTTTAAAATTAATCCCTAGTGTTCCCCTCCGCTGAAAAATTTTAATGTTGGATTTTATTGTTAGCTACTAATGCTCTAAAGTCCAAGAAACGGTCCTGGGCAGGCACACTGGACAGACACCAAGTTTACTTATCTCAGCCACATCTTAAACTTTAGTGATTCAAATGTCAAAGATTAAACTGACATTGCCATGGTAACTGCTTGTGTCTTTATCAATGCGCAGCTGGAAAGGCTTATGGGAGGAGGAAGCATGGAGGCAGAGAGGATTATGGTGGAATTGATGCAAATAAATGACAGAATGAACACAGTGCCCCTCAGCTGACTCTGCCTGTTAGAGGAATGTAATGCTAGCTCTTTAGGTGTCAGATTACATCTACAGCAAAGGAAAATATGATGGATTTTAAATGTCGGGCAGTCCCTCTGAAACATTTCCTCAAACCTGTATTCATGTCCATTAGGCTCTGGTTAGTCAGCGCCACACAAACGTATTGACACCATGATTACCCAGTTGGCTTTAGCATGATGCTAACTCTTATTGCAAATTCCTTTCTTGTTTGCTGGCGGTCTACATTCATGTCATTTTTTTTTTTCAATAGAAATCAACAAGCCATTAGTCATAAATATTCTAAAAGAATCAGAGAACAGACAATAAACGGTACTTTATCCTCATAATTTCAGAAAAAAAAAACATACAGTATAAAAATACATTTACAATATTTGGTTTTAAAGTACATTCATATACAATTTATATAGACTACATAGAACAAATTTACTATTTCAGATCAATGAGGTCAAGGTATAAATCTGAAAAAATAAAAAGTCTTAAAAATGACTATTTTCCGCTCCTAAAGGAGGTACAGCATCTTGTGGATTTCTTTTAAGGTCTGCTGGTGTTGATGGCAGTTCAGTTGCATGATGGCGTGCAGCTGGCTTCTGTTCGCATCATATAGTCATTTATTCAGCTGCAACCATGAACACGAATAACTGTGTGATATGACTTACATTTAATGCCCTTTGCAGAGATCTGATGGCTTATGGAGTAAACAGACAGCTTGCAGAGAAAATAAGGATGAAAAAAACTATTTAACTAATCAAATAAGTTAGTGCAAGTTCATGTCATGCCTCAATTACAGGTTTGGAACAGTCATTATAAATGCTGCAGGCTCCACTGTGGTGCAGTTGCACCCAATAGTCTTTTAAGAAGGTGTGTGTTTAATCATGTTTGCATATTTTCAAGTGTTCTAACTTGCAGTGTTGGTGTGTTTGTTATTTGGCATTTGAGAGTCACTGCAAACATAGGTAAGACTGCATCCTACTTATAGTGTTTTCAGGGTTTTAAGCATATGAAAGCACACTGCCTGATCAGGATGAACATTGTGTGTGAGTAATGAATGAATAAAAATGGATCCCTGCATTCTGACTTGCCACAGTGAGATTTTGTGCAGTGTGTGCACATTTGGTGTCTGATTTGATTCATGCATATGTTTTTGTTAAAAAGTGTTTCCTGATGTGTGTTTCTTGAGGTCATCTGAAGAGCCAGAGGAAGCCGAGCAGGACAAACATGAGGCTGGAGGGTGCGTTCAAAGACCCATGTGAGGAGTGTGAGTGCGGGTGAGGAGGGCAGTTCCTGTAAGGCTCTAAGCAGGCTGCATAGGCCATGACATGTGCAACATAGTTCTGCTCTTTGACTCCATGGAACAGATGAGCCATTGGGCCTTTGGCGTAGATGGCCACGTCCTCCCCGCCATGTGTCTCAGCATCCAGTGGGACGGCGGCCTGCTGCATGTACTCTTCATCATCTGCAGTGAAATGAGCAGAATCGTAAGTTTTAGATAAATGTTTGCTTGTGTTATCGATTTAATCACAAGTAAACAGAGAGAGAGTATTTAATGGAATGCCCATTACTGGTAAATACAAATTAATGTTAATCCTGGCTTTTACTTAAAGCTCCAGTGGGGAACTTTTGGTGGACAAAACAGTCTTTATATACCTTGTCCTTTACAAGGAGCCATATTCCGCTGACTTTTGAGAGTCAAATTTATGGTTAAATGTGATATTTTAAAGTCAATTTTGAAAAAAAAATTGGGCTGTTTCTTCAGCTGCTTGGCTGACACCTACCCTCTCCCATTTGTTTTAGACACTAAAAATTATAATATAAAAATAGTCAATCTTGTCTCAGATGGTTTTGTTTGCATTTATAAATCATAAGAAGGTATTAATAGGAATTTCAGTCTGTCATAAAATAAAATAAAATAAAATAACTCACAGGAGCTTTAAGAAATTTAAAAGACATTTGTTGAGAATTTTACTTAAAAAAGAGCATCCTGCCCTTTTAACTTAAAATTATTTGTCTCATAACTTTCTCAGAGGTCTTTAGTCTGTACTGGATCACCATTGTCTCCATCTCAAATATCAACAGAGATCATCTTAAGACACTCTGAAAATTACATACACCTTCTGTTTGTTTTAGGGCTTCTGTGTGCCTCATTTAATTGCTTTCGAAAATCGTCTTTAATTAACTCAATCAAACATGATTAAAACATTCCCAAACCTCAAAATGTAATTAAAGCCTCTTTTTCATAAAATTACAGTAGTTACTGCCTGACTTTCTTTCAGTGAAGTCACTGATTACATAACTTTTGTCCACCCCAAAACAAACAGACAAGAGTTGAAAACAAGCAGATTGCAGTCTTCACTGTTACTCCGGATTATGTCTTTGTCGTGATGCGGGCTCATTGTTGCAAAAATCTGTTAAAGGCTTTTATTCTTTTCGGCTCCAGATGGATTCATAAAGTCTTAGAAATGAATACCTTACTTGTAATTGCATGTTTACTTAAGGTGACAGATGAATCGTGCAAAGACACAACCACTGTTTCCAAAAACATTAGGTGACGCCAGTCCACTCAAAAAGGCAAAATTGTGGGTTTGTAAAGGTAAGTCATCGCCGGAGGGAGATATTTCCACCTTTAAGTATATACACTTATGCAATGACTAAAGCGAATGGTGCAGAACAAGAGTGGGAGGAACGGGGAAACTGCTGTTAAGTGCTCCACAAGAAATAGAAATAGCATTTTTAGACGCAGTAACATGAAGACAGTAGACGCAGCACAAAGAATTCCATAAACATCATATTTCATCTTTGCTTTCTAGAGAAAAACACAGGGGTGAGTCAGCCATAACCACATCAGTTCACGCTGTCTGAACACACTTCAGCTCAGACAAGCGCCACATCTGAAAGAAATTAGTTTGTGCTTACAGTAATCCACCATTGTGATGTTCCCTCTGGTTCCATTTACGTGAACGTAACCGGGGCCGTTTGCGTAAAGGATGCTGGTGAAAGGCATTTTGTCATCAGCTTTCTTTGGTGCCAAGCCTGTATGACAAATAATGGGGGAGAGGGTTAGTCATAGATCAATCACAGTGTAGTTTGACAGAAAGTCAAACTTAGCTCACAGACTGACATCAAAGTTTGAAGCCTTAACATTAAATTTACCAAACATAATCCTTCAATATATATAACACTTCAAATGTCAGTCATTTCTACTTTTTTACAAACATCATCATTCACTCCAGTGCTCATAGTTTCTCCTTAGTCTAGTTTATATGAAAACTTTTGCACCTACCAAAGATTGGATTCCCTCTCGGTGTGTTTCCACCAAAGGTAAAGACGTGGGAGTGATCTGCGGTGACCACAGTCAGAGTGTCTGACTCTCTGGTCAGCTGTGCAGCACGCTGAATGGCCCGGTCAAACATCACAGCTTCTGTCAGCGCCAGTTTGGCGATGCCGTCATGGTGGCCGTGATCAATTCTTCCTCGTAACAGAGAGAACCACAAAACGAGAGAGCAATTGGACCAAAACCAAAAACTTAAATTATCTTTAGAACAACACTTTATATTTAGCCAAATATTCTGTAACTCCATTTAGTTAAAAATCTAACTTTCAAGGTTTGCAGGACACGTAAGGTGAAAATTAACACAATTAGCATCATTTTTTATGATGCTACTTGTATATATGGTACTTATCTTCCACAAAAAGAAAGTATCCTTTAGGATTCTTGCTAAGGATTCTTATGGCCTTCTCAGTCATCTCTACTATGGACGGGTCACGCGAGCTGTTCCTGAAAACTTCAAACCTCATGTCCTTTGGCTCAAACAGACCTGGAAATAATAATAACAAAAAAAAAAGTTTTATTTATTTTAAGACACTTTGACACGGCGCTGTACTAAAGTTGAGTCTAAAGTGTTAGAGCAAAAAAGTAGAAGACTGCATACTAATGCCAACTAGATACTAATGCTTCAGGGCTTCCAGTTCTTGTAACACATTCAATCCAACCTGCTTTCAAGATCGTTAAAGCTTTTCGTTTAATATTATTTAATTTTATTTTGTTTTTTACTGTTATTCTGCTTTGTCTATCTAAAAAACATACTTCTTTAACTTCATAACATTTTGGGAAAAGACTTGATTATTGCTATTTGGATGCGTGTTCTGTTATCTGCGACCCCTTGTTTTGAATATGTTAAAACTCCAGACAGTAAAAAAAAAGTTTGAAAGCGATATATGATTCAAGATAGCAACTGTAAGATTGGACAGATGCAGGAGCACATCCTTGTTGCCGGTAATCCTGATAACACCAGTTTACAGAGAATTTACCGTGTATCACCATGACTACTCCACATGGCTGCATAGACAGAAGCTGACCTTACTGGAATCCCACTGTAAGGTAAGTTTCATAACTTTGATAAGAAGTTTATCGGTCTGTTATCTCTGCTTGTGTGTTGGCATGAATCATAATGTATTGCATGTTTTTTTCCAGTCAGGCTGTTGTGTTTTTATGCTGTCATAGCGTTGTATAAACTTAGGTCTGCTTATCTTTTCCACCTGATAACTGTAAGTGCATCCGTACCCACCCATGAGCCGGTCAGTAGTCTTCACATTTATCTCATCAAACTCTTTTCTGTGCCAAACATAGTGGGACTTCTTTTTCTGAAAAAGTAACAACAGACGACATGATCCATAACTCACATACTAACATGAATGTAAAAATTCAACACGGTATTATCGATAATCTTACTGGTTTAGCCTTCAGCCAAACGTCAATGAGGTTCTTCCTGTCCTTGCGGTCCCCCTTGCGAGAGTTAGAGGTAGGGTACTCAGGGTCTGGGGTGCCTTTAGGTGTCATGTACATCCTCCCTCCACCTAAAATTACCTGGCAGGGCAACCGGACAAAATTCCTACGTTAGCAGTCCATAACAATCATTCTTCTGAATGATTTTACAGGCAAGGCGAGATCTAATAATAGAGCTCTGGGGTTTTCACAGAGCTGCTCATTCTCCAACCTAACAGATTATTAACTTCTTTCACCTTCCATTATGATACTAATTATTTAATCATATGATTAGAATTTAAACAAGTTCAACTCTATGGGTCCAAAGGATCCAGATGGGAAATTGAAAAGTATAGCCTACCCATTCAGATGTGGCCTATCAAAAATTGATGTTAACATGCAAAGTATCAATCAGATGTTTTATTATCTATAACTATGTAAATCCATCTTTAACCTTAATCTATATATACATGCATCTTTGACCTAGGGTAGCATCTTCCTTGAAATAAAATTGACCTTTTTCCCCCTTTAGGAGACGGTATCTAAAGCTTTGTCATTGCACAATATCTAAATCACAAAAAAGATAAACTACAAATACCAGAAGTGGGAGAGTTGATGTTTTAGCTAATTGGTTGTAACATAGATTAAACTGCTTCATCAGAGAATAAGAATGTCTACATTGTAAATGTATTTTAGTAAAGGTTGGCACAATCTGCATAAATCATATAAGCTGCTGATGAGCTCCTTGGCTTGATTTCGCTTTAATATTTTGTCATGTACCTTTACCTGTTCACTCACCTCATTTACAGCCATTTTTAAGGTTGTTGCCCTCATTGCACTCAAGAAATAAAATGTGTTATATTCGCATATCTAGTTTAATCCCTGGCAATATACAGTGAGGCAAAAATTGCTCCTTATCTAAACAATTATCATGATTGCAGATAAGCTCTATACTGCACTTTGTTTTACTGCTCAGGGAGCTGTGTAAAAGTTTACTCTGAGCTCCAGTACAGATGATTAAAATCAATCTTTATCTGATAGTGACATATCTTTTTTAAATTTCCAAACTAAATGCTTCTTACGTACATCAATGTCAACATTGGTGACCAGTTGTGTTGCGATGTCGACACAGCCTTGGCGACGTGCGCTTGAAGGCAGATCTGCATCACTGTACCAGCTGCGGCTGACAGAGTGGGCGTAAGCAGCGGCTGGAGAGGCGTGCTGGACACGTGTGGTGGTTACCAGTCCAACAGATTTACCTAAACATTGAAAAGATGACCACATTAAAGGTCTATTTTTTAAAAGCAAGCCTACACAAGGTACTTTTTTTAAAGTATTGGTGCAAAGCAACAAACGAGTGAAAAGAGGTCCTAAAATAAGCACAGAGGTCTTTACTTTATCAAATTTTCTTGGACAAAATGCTGCATAGTCTTTCTTGGCAAGTGTATAGGAAAGTATAGTGGAGAAGGTGGAGAGTGAGAGTGGTTCCACTTATACACTCAGTTTATTGCCTTCTGGAAAAGCTTATTACAAAGGAAATACATTCATTTATGTATGTTTAATATACAGTAAATTTGCATTCCTTTGGCCAGCTCTCTAATTGCCCACAACTCGAATTCCCAACAATTTGCCTTTGAAAAACACAGCTTTTGCCGCCAACTTGAACGTTTAGCTTTGACAACTAGTACCAGTACCTCCAATAAAGGTATCATAAAACTTAATAGCTTCAAATTAAAGACCAAAAAAAAACAACAATTATTTCACTTTAACTACAGTACCCTGTGTTTGTGCGCTGGCACAACAAAGCACTAAAGCTATAGATGTGTAAAGCATCTGTTATACACCTTTAATTATTCCACTAATTGACATGACTGGCCCTACAAAATCAACTATTAACCTAGTTCTTTCTATTTTCACATCATACATTATATACAATGAAAGTGATGACTGTTAAGTGAGAGACAATCTCTTCATTGTTCCAACCATCATGTTGAACCATGACTCTTTTTAGTCGTGCCCATCAGATTATTGTTTTATTCCCTATACTTGATACTTATAGCTCCAGATAAGTTCACTTGATAGCTTTAGATAAAACATAAAGGGAGCTGTCTTTTGAAACAACCGCCAACACACCTTACCTTGTGCTTTAGCGCGCCGTAACACAGAGTAGACCTCGTTCCCAAAGGTTGTGTTACATTCATAGGCCACTGCGTTAGCGCTTAACCCCACCGTCTTAGCGTTCGCCTTCACACCACAGTGGTAGGCTGTAGCTGTGCTAGCGCTGTCAGCTACCTGTTTATCAACACTGTAGGTCTGTGAAGCAAAAACAGAAACACTATTACAGCCTTTAAAGAATTAACTTATTCTAAAAGCATTTTTTTTTTTTTTTCTGTTGGGTTTAAACTCAAAAATTTTAGGGCTGCTCGCTCAGGCTAACGGGACTTATCATCGCCTATGAAGCTAACTCTGGTTTCACAGTCTGTACTCTTGAGCACTTCAGTTGTTCAGGTTAAGGTGGCACGGAGAAGCAAGCCAAAATGTCAAAGCAAAGCTAAAACCTTTGTACTGGGTCCTTAGTTTGCTGTATATCTCACTCTATTCCTTTCTATATCATCTATCTCTCTCACTGTCTTTCTCTGTAGGCATTTTCCCCCTTTCACTCTCTGTATGTCACATTGCGCTGATTAATCAAGCAACAACGGATACTTAACACGCAGTCACATACACAGGGATAAGATGTGCCATGCTCTCTCTCTCTCTCTCTCTCTCTCTCTCTCTCTCTCTCTCTCTCTCTTGTAACGCACACCCTCATTATCTAACTACAGAGCTCATCCTTGGAGTCCATCTTCTGATAACACCATTGATAGTGTGTTTGTGAGCCTGTGGAGGCAAAGCAATTCAGGTCACAGGGGGCAGAAATATACACATAAAAATATATATTAAAAATGATCTTTTTTAAACTTCAACATGAGTCTGTGTAAAACAAATTTAAATTCCTGCTTTGCCGATATAACCACTCCTTTTACACAAACTTTATCCAATATTTCTTGACATTTTCATTTGCTAACCTCAGCTTTGAGTGCAAACATTGTCTTACAGCCTATCCTTTGCTAAATTAAAAATAAATAACTGCTTAACTTCAGGTTCATCAGATACACTGTGATGTTGTCACCTTTGACAAGGCCACGTATGGGAAAGTATCCATGGCCAGCATGGTCTCCTCCCCTGACCTGCCCTCCATCTGACCTCTCAGGATCCGAGCTGCTGATACTGTGGATACACCCATACCTGGAAGACAATGATTGACAGGTGAGGCTCACTGGAATTGTCTGTTAAAATATTAACAGCCTTTGTAGCCTCGATTTTTAACTGCTGAACTGAATGAAACAATAGTGAAACAAAAGCACCTGGCTTTAGAAGACGCTCAGAATCCAGAACCACTGTTTCAGATTTAGATCAATCGTTTGGTCCGATTGGATAAATTCAGAGTTTATTTACCACCAGACAACAGTCACATGATGAGAATATCCTGCAATAACCTTTCCATCCATTTTAAAAAAGCAAATGCAAGCGCTTATAAAATCTTGCTTTGAAAAGCCGCAGTCATTAATGGCATATTTCAGGGACAAACATGATCCCGTAAATCTCAAAGCAAACAACGGTAATATACGTCAGCATCAACCAAATCCACAAATAGAGAAGTCATTCAGGGGTTATTTTTCTTCCTCTGGATGAAATAATGGCATACAGCAACAAAGAGTCTTCTGGGTAAGTAGCCAGTCCATTATATGAAGAACAGATGAAGTAAACAAATGTAGATGTGCTTCGTCACTATTTGTCATATAATACATAAAACATACAAAATAAGTCCTTTGATCCTTTCCATTAGCCCAGTATTGGGTTTCACTCCTGACTTTAGAAACCATACTTTATGAAGCCTTTGCCACTGTGAGGCACTCAACTCTCATCACAGTCATAAACTGAGACCATGCTTTGGGCAGGGCATTTCTGGAGGGATGCTCAAAGAAAGCGGAGCCCCGACCACCCAGAAATGTGACCTAGTATGTCTGATTTAAAGCAGATACTCTGGTAGTTACCAGGGAAAACACTCTTAAATCTCTGTGCCTTTCAACAGCTCCACATACACAAATGACTCCAGTGTTTCACCAGCTGTAAACACACCAGGCAAGTTACAATTAATGCAATTTTTTTGTTGCATAACACACAAAAACAGAAGTTACAATTTCCCAAGAAAAGCAAAGAAGGAGTCCAGAGCCCAAAACATCTGGATATACTATGCGAATTCGCTAAAAAAAAAAAAAAGACTTAAAAATATTGGCAAATGCTTTTTGAAGAGGACAAATGTATAGAGCTCAAGGATATGCTCATTAATTCGTGTTAGCAAAACTGGTGCTTACAAGCTCATAAGCACAAAACACATAATAAATCACCACCCCAAGAAGGTCTCAGTTCCAGTGTTCATACCAGGTCATACAAAACAAGCAGTTGTTCTTGTTCTGATTTGGTCTTCACTAACTTTTGAGATTTTTTTTTTCACAATGTTTGCTCTATCCAAGATATAACGCTAAAAGACACAAAATTGCAACATAAAAACAAGGGGGACTGTAATGTCGGATGGTTACCAGTGTGATCCTTGATTAATTAAAAAATCTGTAGACTCAGGCAAAAAAAAAATAATACTGCAATCAGAAAAAAATGTATTTGATTTAGTTGTGGCTGCTGGCAGAAGATAAGGCGGCACTTCTCCAGCTTTCGTGACTCAGAAAGTTTCGTGTATTTTGATGTTAAGTCCAGCTAAACAATTCTGAATGCTCAAATTGCATTTAATTCGGATCTTTGGCTCATCGGCTCCAATGAATCTAGACTGTTGGTAAACTACCACTAACACACAGTCTGCCTGTCCAAGCCTGTTTGCCCAAATCCATTTTAAGCACAGCAAACACACTGTAACTGAACACACTTGAGCATTGTCTTGCAATGTATAATTAGCTCTATTTGTCATCAGGCTATGAATAGTCATTTTTCCTGCTCAAGCTTCAACCACTGCTGAGTCTGTGTAAATGTGTCCTTAAACACATCCTCGACTGCCAGCGTGACCCACCGTCACCGAGGAACAGAATGATGTTCTTGGCTTGGTGATCCCGAGGGCGGAGTTTCAGCGCAGCATCCAGTGTCGCCCTGGCCTGAGCATCCCAATAGGCCGGTTCCCTCTCCAGATCGTACAGCTCTGCGTGATGGAAACAGATAAGAAAAGGTGAAAGATGAGTTGAAATGGTGCGAATGAACAGAATGTGGAGATTTCACACACCGAGATTTATCTCTGTGTGATTTTTCTTGCTGAAATTTGCTGGTGCATGTTTCGGACCAGAGAATATAAAGCCACAATGCAAGTAAAGCTTCAAGTGTTTCTGCAGGTTCCTTTGAATCATAGTAGACCAGAGGTTATGTGAGGTAAGGGGTTTCACAAACAGTGTCAAAATGACAGAAGACAGCGCGGAGAAGACACTTGAGTTTCTGTCCGTTCATGCCTGCTGAGAGGCTCCCAGTGAAGAGGGAAACATTCCACCGGCCGCATAACCAAAACAACGGAAAAACAAACAGTTCATCCTAGATTTTGCACAAACAGGTATACACAGGTAAAAATATACCAGTCGAAGCTTTTGTGCACCATTAGACTTTCTATTACACCTGAGTTTTCGCTAAATTGTCCAAACACTTACCCTTTCAGCAGGTTGAGGTTACCTGCTTGAGCTGTCCATTTGTCTGACCACAAAGTGCCACTAATATCCTAAATGCAGGCAGCAATAATAGCCCTGTAGTGTCCTCACCTTGAGTTTCCACAGCAGCCAACAGCAAGTGGCCCAGAAGGATGAGCAGGAGCTTGGGGCCAGTGCAGTGTGGCTTCTGCATCCCTAATCCAAGGAGCAACCTATACAGAAGCTGGGGAGGTAGACACAGCCGGCTTTCAAAGCAAGCACACCAAAAACCAAAAGACAGAGGCACAGGCGCGCAGAGCGTGTGTGGCTGCCGAGACCTCCGGCCCTGCCTTTTTAAAGCCCCACTGGGTGTGTAGTGAGGAAGGGCCAACGCCAGCTCATAGGCTTAGAGCCACAAAGGAGGGAAGAGAGAATGTGAGAAAAAGAGGAAGAGCTAGTAGAGAGGGAGAGAGAGAGAGAGAGAGTAGCTGGGACCACACAGGAGAAGCATAGTATCGCGGCCCCTCTACTCACTTTGATTCCTGAAAAAGGCACCACCCCCATTTTATTGTTTTAAAAGGTTGCTTTAATTTCGGTCTTCCTCTTTTCCCTGGCTGCCTCACTCTGAAGTGTGCCTGATAGAAATTCGAATGGGTCTTTGATGTGGTAATTGTATAATGGGGCTTTTGATGCAGCAGTCTCTTTTACAGGGAGAGAAAAAAAGGGTACCCAGTTTGTGTTGGCATCCATCATGATCCAAATCATAACTGTGTCTCTTTCCATTGCTTTCCCCTCATCCCTTGGAAGAAGAATCCAAGTGAGGGAAGGAAATAATGTCCATCCTATTCTTGAAAATATCATGATTGAGTTTTGAAGTGCTCTGCTTTTCATGACAGGAAAATGGTCACATTTCCATTTCCCCTCCACTGAATTTATGCATTTAAAAGACCCCAATATTTTCCTTCCTTTTACCAAGACAACTTGGCTAGTTCTTCTGTGGCAAGTGAAGCGAGGTTAGCATTTTTCTTCCGTGAGGTAGTGGAGACCGCCTGCAGAATAAAAATGTCTCCTTCACAAACACAACAGTTAATGTGTGAAATGAAGTGAGTTGGGGCCAACTTTCTTCCACCCGGGTAGAAGAATCAAATTCCCGGCGGACGGCTCTCGTCTCATGAACCCGCGAGGCTGAATCTCGTTACAACCCAGAGCTCTGGAAGACCTCTTTCTGCCAACCACTCACCCGTTGCCAACAGGGGTGTGCAGTTAGTCACATGTGCCTAATCAAGACTGTAATAAAATCATAGCAGCAATCAGTACAGAGGCCTCACATGATGTGGCCCACACCACATGAACTGGAAATGCCAGTGGCAATGTGCGAGAGCTTGCAGGGGCATGTTTGTCTGTCCATTTGTTATGTGTTTGCGCCTGAGAGAAAGTGGAGCTAATGCTGGGAAAGCCAAATTAGTTTCCTGCACAAGACAAGTGTAAACACCTGGTGGCTGTTTTAGGTCTCAGCACGGATCATCCATCCACCGAAAAGGGCTCAGTAGCTTTTGTTGGCTGATTATACGGCAGGTTTGAATGCTTGTGGGAGTGAAGCGAGGCTCCTGGGAATTTAAAGATGAATGCAAACAAAGCAACACTTTACAACAGTTTGAGAACTCCTACCCCAGAGTGTGACTGTGTACATTTCTGAGAGAATCAAGAGACCAAACACCAACGTGGGTTGTAAATGAAAGCCTTTACATAACAATGACATAGTTTAGCAATCACCTATAAATCATATTTCCATATCAGTCTTCTTTATATTTAAAAACATGATTACATCTTGAAAATTGAACTTGTTACGATCAAACATGAGAAATCCTGCTTTCCTATTAGCATCAAAACATATTTAATCTCCGGTGATCTCTATTAATCATAATGATCCATTGAAGCACACAAAAAAATACTTGTTTCCCTGGCCTCTGATGACTGGTGTTTATGGGATATTTTCAGAATGGCAGATGGTGACTTGTGTACACAATTGACATCATGGAGCAGAGGAAACCATCCAGTGGGGGGGCTGTGCTTCGTCATGTGATGTGCTACCGATGCCCTGCTCAATTGACTGCATAAAAACGCACCTGTTCCTGAATAAAGGTCAGTACAATCATTTGTTTAACTAAAATCAAGACTGGAAGGAAATTGCGTTATTATGCTAAAAGTATGACCCTTGCTTTAAACAGTAAATATTTTACTGAAGATGAAAGATCCAGGAGTTTTTCTGTATTTGCTCAGGCTTTCAAAAAACAAACAAAGTACTTAGACATTTGTAGAAATATGATTATTTATTTATTTATTTTGCTTTTTTTTTTTTTTTTGCCTGAAGAGCTGAAATGAGACGTATATTATGGAGATTGAAGAGCTGTGATGGGTTGGCTGGGAGTCAAACCAGCAACCTCTGTGAAGAGAACTCTTGCTTCCATAAACTCGGTGCACACTTTTAATAGTTTTTAATGGTATATTTAATAGAATAGTTTATGGTGACCATATGTCTTCTTTTACCCAGACATGTCCTCTTTTTTGGGTGCTGTCTGGGCTGTCCAGTCTTGTCCGGCTTTGTCCAGGGAAGTTTATAAAATCCTTCAAATGTCCGTGTTTTAGTACAGAAGTTGTGAGTTTGTGTCACGTAGACTTACTGAGTGAGGGTCACGTAAAAGATACTTGATCCCACCCGAAAAACTCTCAAAATTAACTTTGTGCGACTCTGTGACTCCGCCCCCGCGTAGTTGTGTCCTCTTTTTGGGAAATCAGAATATGGTCACCCTAGAATAGTCCGATTCTCAATGGAAAAGATCCCTTACTCGCCCCACCTGTCAGGAGAGGGAATTCCATTTCTACCAAGTCCCTTCTGCCACATGCTGCTGAATATTTCACACCATACCTTCAACTGCTAAGACAAACCGACACCTCTTGTCTTGAGTTTTTTGAAAACTATCCTAAAGTGTGAATGTGCACCTAAAGCACAAAATGTAAAATAACACTGACCATTTGTGTTAGCTGTTACAGAAAATGTGAGGAAAGACTTGAGGTAAAATAAAAATGTTAACTACATACTACAGTGGAGCGTTCATAATTATGGAAGTGCTTTGAGGTTATGAAAACTTTCCTTTGAGGGGTTTTCCTGAATGGTCGATATGAAAGGAAGCTATAACAGATCTTTTTAAAGTGCATAGAAATATACACTGGTTTTATAGTTACACACCTACCTCTCCAAACACACAAACACTCCTCTCTCCAGCATCTGGATCCTGAGTCATGCTCCCCTAAAAGTAAATTACAAATGTCACACCCCCCTCTGCGCCACTCCTCTCTACTCCTGACTTAGAGGCCCCCCTTTAACCTATAGATCCTGAAAATTACAGTGGATAGCCAGATAGATTACAACTCATTTGGGAAAATGTTTAGGTTCAGGTTGTCAGGATGAGGATGTACACGTGGGTGGCGCCAGACCACACAGCTACGATTTCAAAGAAAGAGCCGAATCCTTTTTCCTGACTTTTATTGGGATGGCTTTTAAAGCAAGATATGACAGAGATAGGAGGGAAGCTGACTGGACCATGAATGCTGGGAAAATTTGTTTTGGATGTTGGAGATGGTATCTTTAAAAAGGAAGGGAGTCAGACATCCAGTTGGGACAGAAAAAGACAGAAGAGACGGACTGACTGCCAGATCTCAAAGAGAATAAAAACAGAGACAGCTCTGGAGGAACAGTTAAACTCAGTCTGCAATGATGCCTGTGATCTATTTTGGCCACTTTACAAATATGACCCCCTTTCCCCCATCCCTCAAACACACACTCACAGAGTGACACCCGTAAGACAGATGAAGAGTATATCCAGATCACTCTTGGTAAGGACCGTAAATGATGTAACTCCTCTTTATGTGAGGGGCTGGAGACTGAGACCCTATCTCAGCAAAGTTGGACGGCCACTCGTAAAAGGTTTTACTGCAGACATGCGACCCAATTGGGGGACAATTAGAAGTGATGTGCCGAGAGACCCGGGACCCAGCTAAAGACGGCCCAGCAGCTATACGGCAGGAGATTGCTACATCAACATCAAACAGTCTGACAGCTTTGAGAAGTGGCCTCTCTTAGATTTTAACTGGACTCGTAAAAAAAAATAAGGCGAATATGTGTACCCTAATTAAAAACATGGTGTTGGTGTGTCTGTGTGTGTGTGAGTTTGTGTTTGTGTGTGCTAGTGGGTGAAATGGTTCACAAGTTAATTATAGTTTAGCTGAAAACCTGAGTATGAGAGTTAATCCGAAAAGTCACTTTTCATCAGGGAAAGAGAGAGAGATTTTGTGCACGTATGTCTGCGCGACACAGAGATGTGTCAGTATATATAAAAGCAAACATGCCTCCCTTGCTCTCTGTGATGTGTTATAATTGTCTACACTCTGTAATGTCTGACTTCAGACCTAAAAGTTATGACATGGAAAAAATAAATTGCTGCAGACTCACAGCCAGCCTCCCTGCTTCTTTTACTGTGTGCATTGAAGACTATATTGCATTTGACATCATGTCATAAAGAAATGCTTTCATGGGTGCATGGTGACCACATCAAATATTTGCTTATGGCTGCTGGTTTGCTACCCTTCACACTTATTTCTTACTGTCTTAGCAACATGACAAACAGAAAAATCAGACTCACCTGCACAGCCACATCCCATGAGGAGAAGTAAGCCTACCGACAGAATCATATTTTTGAAATACATCAGATGCCGTTATAATCCTCTTCTTATTCTTATTCTGCTCTCTTGGATCTTCAGTACCAAGTGATTCCAATATCACACATTTATCTCCCTGTGCAACAAACTGTAGGCAAAGTTTCACACCTCCAAGGTGCCTGAAAGGTAATGAATGCGTGATGGAAAACGAAAAGTTATTCCTTCCACCTCTAACATTTTGAAGCCTTGGTTTGCATTTTTTGTTTGAGACAGAGGCAGAGAAGGAGGGGGGACACACTTATTTGGACTCGCACACATCTGCACCACCAGCTCACCTTTTTACTGATTTGCGTCAGAAACATTCATCAAATCAGAGAGAGGCCCCGTTTCCCTCCCCATGCTGTCCATTTACTTCCTCAACAAGGCAATGTTAGCATTTTTCTCTCCCTCTCTCTCACTTGCTCTCTCCTTCTTTCTGTACTTTGTGGACACATGTCTGTCAGCAGCTCACACAGGTTGAGGCTTTGTAGATTGCTGCAGGAAATGTCTGGATTGGTTTCAGAGGAGCTGAAGTGGGACAAAGGGTTTATGGAATGCAGGGAAATAAACAGAAAATGCTTCACATTACAAATACAAGCATGTGTAAACAAACTGGTATCCTAATGTTGTCTGAAAACCAAGTTTACGCAGAAAACAAGCAAGTCCAGAGAGCTATATTTGTATTCAGAACTGTTGAGTCTGGTCTGATGGGAGAAAACAGGACTTTTAATCATTCACGCAACTGTACCTGCCTGGCATTCCTCGCCTCCTGCTCAACTGAGCTGCTCTGCTTAGCCCAGATCTCCTCCACATCAAAGAGTCCTCATTACAGAAACCACCACACATGCACAAGGAGATTTCAGGAGGTAGAAACAGAAAGCCAGGAGGGAGAAAGGAAGTTGGAAAGACAGGTGAAGTAGAGTAGCCGCACTTACTGCATGCAGACATGTCATTCAAATAAATTGGTCCCATCTTCTTGTTTCTTTACCCGGTCAAAATATTGAACAAAATCAGAAAGAAACTTGAGAACTCGCCTACAACAATGTGCTGAAGGTCTCCAAAAGAGTCTGAAAGGACAACAAGGGCCAAGAAGATGATTGTTTATGACAGAAGTCCGTTTCTTTTCCTTTCTTTACCCTAGAACACTATCGCTAAAATTAGTAACACCATCACTATCGCCGGGTGATTTTTTACCCAAAATAATATACCCAAGAAAAAGTACTTGTGATCAAAATATATAAAAATAGGACAAAACATGACAAATTACAGTAGTTTTCTTTTATTTCTAACTGTGCAATGTCCAAAGGGAGGAAAAAACAGTGCCATGAGGGGACCATATAAGATCACTACTTTGTGATAGTTATTCATAACCCCTGCGCTAAATAAAGATAGCATGCAAATTCCAGGACCAATCTTACTGACCTCATTCCCTACATGCAGCTATAAAATCCATCCAAACCTACTTTACCCTCTATCACTATTGCCAGGTGAAAATCACCCAAACACGTGCCTGTAGGAAAAAGCAGGTTTTGGATCAGGGAAACAAATATGCCTTCAAAGATGTCAAAGGCTATGCTGAAGCTACCCAGAGACTGATACAAATGCAACATTTTCATTTATTTTGACAGAAACACAAGCAGCATATGTCCAGTCGATGGTATTCACTTACCGTTAAATGAAGCTTTTCTGGGAGTTCTTGGTCCACAGCACGGCCCTCAGTATCCAACACATTTCCTTAGCCGTCTATGACCGTTGGCCCCGACGTCATCCACTCTGTCGTACATCTACTCCAAAACATAAGTATGGAGGCGGCATTGAAATTCACCAAAAGACCAGGTACTTTTGATAGCTCTTAAAAATTTTCAAAGAAATTTGCACGGATGGTTTGGAGGACATTCAAACACAATTGCTGCTACCAGGAAGAAAAAAAAAAATTTTCAAAAGGTCAGTGGTCACCGTTGGTGACGTCACTTCAACGTCTTGACCTCATTTGATTTTGTTTTGTAATTTTCATAGATAACCAGAGGAACATCGCTAAAAAAGCCATTTCCGTTTAAATCGATTGATGAATAACACAACAAGTATAATTTAAAATATCTGCATTTTCCTTTTTTTAACTCTTTTTTTTTGTGCTAGTCCCTCCCAACCTCTTGCCAGTAGCTTCAACCGGCCTTAACCCTTTACAGAAATACACTCATGCAAACGCAACACAATAAAGATCATGTTAACATGTTTGGTCAAGTGAAAATCACCCGGTGAGAGTGTTCTAGGGTTAAAATTCCCATAATGCCTCTTTTCTCTCCTCTCATCCCTCATTAGATTCAGCGATTACATGGAGGTGGAGTACACAGCCTCATGGTAGGGTAAGTTCTCGCCCAAACAGGCCTCTTTCTCTGTGGCTATGACTCACCTTCTGTCTAACACCTCCCCTCATACTCTTCTCTCTGTTTTCTTTCTTGGGGGCCATGTGGTAGGGTACGTAGCATCAGTGTTGTCACCATAACAGGCATTAACAAAGCCTTGGGTCTGTTGACCAGGGCTATACTTTGTGGGTGGTGTAGTTGATAATGATGGACCTCGGTAGCAGGCATGGGAGGGGACGCCGGAGCGTACTGTTCAGCCCCTGTGTGGCATCATGGAGAGAGATGCCCATTTGATTAACACAGGGATGTGATAGCTCTCACTGCCCATGTTGCCCCTGTTAAGAATGTGACATGTAGTGGCGACAGAGTAAATCTGTATTGAATTTTAATATGTTGGACTGGTAAGAGTCCCTGAGCTCATTCAGTTTGGATACAGCACTTCAAAAGTGTCCCAGCTGTTACTTAAAGTCAGGGGAAGATAGCTGCAGTGTGAGAATTATGAATTCATTGTGGTGGGACTTCTTCAAGTCTCTGTATTGTTCCACTTCTTTGGGTTTCTGTTTCCCTTCTGACAGGAGAGCAGAGTTCCCCTCCCCTTCATGGCCACCCAGGCGTGATGCTGGAGCTTGTGGGAGGAACATTGTGTCAGGTGGTGAGGTCGAGAGACTCAGCAACTGGCGCTTGAGGTCAGACTTAAGTTTATTTTCCTGGGCAGGCTTGTATCCAAAAACATCCTCTGCAGCATGCTCAGTGTCCACCAGGTGCTGACCAGACACAGCCTCTGAAGAGATGGGCAGTATCATTCCTTTTGCTGGTTTGGCTGTGTTCATTACATTTACAATTAAGGCATTCAGGTCACACACTCATGCAACAATGAGACATGGGGTTGATATTTTCTGGAGGACCACAAAGGACCACCCAAGCAGCGGTATGAACTGAGGAGAATTTTAGACTCCACTGGGTCTTAAGTACAACAATGAGTGTCATCGATGACCTGCATGCTCTGCAAAAACCCTTTCCTCACCTTCTTTTGTCTTTGGCACGGTTTCGCATTCCCACAACAGATGAGTAAGCAATCAAGATACAAAACAAATGTTCAGTGAAGAGTTCTTAACCCTTGCTGATCCTGGAGAAATGTTACCAAGGCAACAAAAATGTTTTATGTATATCTGTCAAACTTGAACACTACCCCCAACACCTATTACACGCCTGACAACTGAGAGCACATAGCTCTTTATATGAACGTCACAAGATACTTTACACTCTTTGCTAAGCCAGAGAGAGCTAAGTCTGAATGAAATTATGTGAAGATGATGATGACCCTGAGTGAATGAGTCCCACAGATTTTGGTATGCTCCTGATTTTTCCCTGTACATCAGCATGAGGTTCATACTTTTGGTTTGAATGAAATGTTTTGACATCTACTAAATGGATTTGCTCTGAGCTTTGATGGCCTACATACATTCATATCCACTGCAATCACTTTCTATTCACTTTTTTTTTTGTTCTATGCACTTTTTGATACTCCACTGACAGATTAAATCTTTAACTACGTCGTTATTTAATTATTAAGCATGTTTTATGTGTTAGCATTTAACCCACGCGCCACAAGCACCTCTGTCGAGTCTCAGTACAGTTTCATGAATCTTTCATGGAGGTTTTGCTTCTTCTCCTCTAAAATATGTTAACTAAAGTAGACAGGATTTGACTCTTCTTGATAAAGTATTGTGTCTTTAAATGGGTGTAGTCCATTTAACTTTAACAAACTGCTGCCCTGATAGTACCTATGTTTGTTGAGGTTACATGCAACTTTGCAACATTAAGGCTGGAAAAAAAAGCAAAAGTTCAAGAATTCACCAGAGTGCTCTGCGCATGGTTGCTATTTGAAGCCACGTCTTTGACTTGTGTTTGTGGCCCGCTGCTATGAATTATGGATCTGAATAATGCATGCAAAATCTGGCAAACAAGGAAATACATTTTAAATCAACTGTGGAGCATCTCAGGGAGATGTTAATTGTTTCAAGCTTTAGTTTTCGATGTTGCTCGTTTACACGTTTGCCAAAACTTTATTGAAGCCATTTTAAGGGAGTAAACTTAATGTTTGAAGGCCATGAGTAATCCTAGTGAGTCAATTTACTGAGCGTCATTGAGGCTTGAAACTTACCTCTAACATCACCCTGCTGTCTCTGCAGTCAGTCTGTTATATCTTATTGTTGAGTAATGAAAGGTTTGTTGTCTCTGAGGCGGAATTTTCTGTTTGACAAGCTCCTGCTGTGCAAGATTGAAACATGGCAAAAGATCGCCTTTATCAGTTTCAGTGTGCTTTCTTAAATAAAATGAAAATCTAGTTTTTCAACTCAATGGCTCACTAGGTGCTGCAGAGAATAAGCTTACATTCACTACATCAACATTTCCGTGTTCATTTCATCTTCTTTAATGATCATAAACTCTGAGATGTATTGTCAAGGATGTTGATGCATTGTTTGTTTTGATTCACTCTGTCCTGAGCAGAAGGACCAGATTTGAGGACATCTCTGAGAGAGGGAGTATTAGGAAATGAAAGGAAACTAGAGACAACAAAGCAGCAGAAGATTACTTTGCTTATCTTTTTCAGGTTGAATTTTATTAGATGTGCAGAAAGTCTGTGAACCAGCCTGTCAGCAGCTGCCAATAAGGGCCCCTATTAAGGTTCAGCCCTTTTTCTTTTACAACCATATCCCCAAGTGCTTCATTTATTCCATTGTAGACACTGATTTTGGTTAAACATAGTCACACTCATGGTTCCTGGAAGAACTCATAAATCAGTTTTAGGGGGGCTTTTATTTATATCATTCCTTTTTTGGTAACCTTTTATCTGAATTTGAACAGAGTGTGACACAAAAACACAGAATGAAAGGAGCATTAGTTAAATCATTGTCAAGTGGAGTGAATGGGTTAGAAAGAAGTGAAAGCACAGATCATGAGCCTAAAGCGTGTAAAAAGACATCTGGAATAACAGTCTCAGATTACTCTGAGTCAAACTGTATAAAGTGACTGTAACCTGATATATACAGTAAATTAGTTGCCCTCATCCCTCAGACTGGTGGTATGCATTTCTTCCACTGAGTTGGTGCAGACTGACCGAAGACTAAATGTTATAAACTGGTGACTGTGTTATTGAGTTTTTCTGTCTGGCTTTGAAACTCCCATTCCTTGAAACTGGAGTGAATGCGTGTCATTTGTTATTTCTGTGTCAGTTGTTGCTCCGTCCTTTCAACACGGAACAACTATGTTACAAAGATTTGTCTTTCAAGATGTCAGTAGGTGTTCTTTGCACCGTCCAGTGGCTAAAAAGTGAATTACAGTGAGAGCAGTGAGAAAATCACCATGCAGTAAACACCTGCAAAGGTTTACTCATCATTTTAATCTCTCACTTGATGTAATAAATCCACACAGAGATAAAGCATGATCTTTTGAACTGTAACTTAACCTTGTTAAATATACGATGCTTCTTAACAAGCTCAGATATGAGAGAACTGAAGTCTATTTAAAAGCTTGGATGAGACTTTATATAAGCTACTGTATAGACTTGGGAGACACATCAATTGCTGTATCTTTTGTCATAAATGAAATGAAAGCATCTGCAGAAGAGGGAAAATAAGCATTATCTAGACACTATTACGATAACAGATTTGTTTTTCTCATCCAAATCAGTAATAAAATTTAAGGACACTATTCCTTTCCAGGTACCACCCTTGGAAATTTTATTACTTCAGAGGAAAACAATTTTTTTTCTGCTTGCTTTGCTTGTGCTTGTGTAACTCCAAGCATGGATTGCAGGTATGCTGCTTATGGCTGTAAATCGTGCTTTTCCCCTCAAAAACACAGTCATGTGTTTTAAAGCATGTGAGGTAACTAAAAGAGCAGTGGAAAAAGTAGGTGAGGTGCAGCAGATCAAAGTCCTCCTGCTGAGCCGAATGTAGCCCTGTGAAGCGGTTTATTGAGAGGCATCATCTAATTATGCAACACTCACGGTTACTTTATCAGTGTTTCTTATATATATAAAAGGAGATATAGTATAAACTCTGGCAGATGGCACAATCAAAAGACCATGAGTGAAATTGTGTGTATGTGTCTGTGTGTTTGTGTGTCTTGCAGTCACAGACATGATGATGAGGACATGTCTGGGGGCCCCGCATCTGTCGACATTTTCCATCTGCTGGTCTGACTCTGGCTGCCTTCAATTAACCCCTAACGAAAACCACAACTGCTTTACTGGGAAAGCAATCAGGCACGGGGCAAATATTGTTTCTGAAAATTCCACCACTTTTTTTTTAAACAGGGTAACTCAATGCATGGAATTACTCAAGATCTGGATCCAGAACACATATTTTAGCATACAATGAGTGATGATGTGTGATGGTCTGGATATCCAGCACACATGGCATGACACATTACGACCCCTTTTGTTTTGTCAGTACATATATGGACAGAGAAAATACTCCAAAAAGGAGCCAAACGGCAGCAGTCATAATTTATCTAAGGATGAACTTAAAAGAAAATGAGACCCTTACCATGCCTGACTGGACTGTCAAGCGATGTTGTGAACAAACATAGAGGAGAAGAACATGTATGTTGAAATAACATACAACAGATACTCTCTAAAAAAGGGAAATACACAGATTCACAGGTCAGTAACGCATCAATATGCTTTTTATAAAACAGACATGATCGTGATTGACATGATCAGGCAGGTGATTATTGTCCCTGTGTTTACTTCTAGATATGTAATATTTTCTCAGATACATTAAGATAAGATAAAATATGATAAGATCAGATAAGATAAGATAAGACATGCTTTATTGTCCGTATGGGATGTTTTTTTGGACCTTGTCCAGCTGCAGGTATAAACAAGAAAGTAACAAAAACTACAAAGCAGAGAACAAGTCCTGGGAACCATATGCACACACATAGCGCATGCGAATTCACAATAGCACAATTTATACAGTGTAATGTATTATCCAAGTAAAGCCTGTGTTGCATAGATATTAAAACATATTGTAACATATTACACTGTCCCTGAGAAAGCCTGTCATAAGTTACACAGGAGTCTAATGAACATTGGTGGGAATGAGTGTAAAAGGTGGAACGAAGGATGTAGAATGAGCTGAGGCACAACAAACATGAGGTTGGGGAAATAGGCATAAGGGAGAGTGGGGTAAGTTGAGCCAAAGGGTAAGTTGAGCCGCCCCCTATTGCTTGGAAATGGTAAAAGAAATTGATGGGCATCAATTCATGGAGTCTGTGAAGGTTAGAAGCACATGGATGAAGGGGTTAGATATTTATTTACAAAAAACATTTTTTACTCTTGAAAGTGAATTTAGTCTGTTATAAGTTTTATTAGAATTGTGTTCAGACCAAATACCCTGTGTTTACCCGATACACGGAGTAAGTTGACCATAGGCTACCACTTTTTTTTTGGCATGCTATATTAACAAGACACTCATTCTGTTGGTTTGCAGGGATGCATAACACCTTGAAATATAGAAGAAGAAGAAGAAACAATGATTTTTTAGCAGAATGAATTTAAGGAAGAGGTTTTACACTGACTTGCATTAAACTGCCCTGGTGTTCATTTTTATATAGCTGCTCAGTGTTTGTTTGTACTACCCAAAAAGCTCCTTGAAATGGTTTATCATTCAGTTGGAAATGCTTGAAACCAGGGCATTGTGTATTGCTTCTCCAGACCAGTGAGCGGCGGTAAAGAGGATCATCTCAGGTTCGCTGTTCACAGAGGGAAGAACAAGAAAAAGAGCGGAACTTTAAGTTTCTAGAACAAATGTTTCAAGTCGACGAAATTTGGAGCGACTCCTCTTGGAAAGATGGTTAAATTTGCGCGCTGACGTTCACAAGTTTCATTCATTAATTGTATTTTTTAAGCTTTATTATTGCAGGTGCCATGGCTGATCCAGGTATTTATCTTATAGGAGTTGAAATGTTTGTCTGTATGATCGTTAACAACAGTAACGATGATGACTGTCGGTTCTGCTTATAAATCTTAAGCCTGTGAGAGATTTACTGATCATACAGATGTAATAACAAACGCTGTGGTTTTACAATCCGAAAACTTTAAAGAAGGCATCTCATGATCGGAATTTTCGCCTTCCTATTAGTTACAAACGTGTGTACATCTGTAATGGTGTAAAATAATGTGAACCTCTCCGAGCATCAACATACTTTTGTGTACGTGCTTATTGTAGCCTCACTTTGTGCAACAGAGAAATACTTCACAAACTATCTCTTTACCCGACTTAAAGCTGTTATAATGAGCCTTAAAGTGTAATTGTTATTTATGACCCTTACTATGTGACATACAGTTACTTTACTGTGTTATTTAATCACTATTGAAACAAAGTGTTGTCTCTATATTTCACAGGACCTAACAAAGACAATATCAGAGCTGGATGCAAGAAATGTGGATATCGTAAGTAAAACTTTAATTCTTTTTTTTTGTTTGAATATTTTTGCACATCGCTGTTGTTGTCTCTTTAATATTAGGGTTCATTTATGGTTAATTTATGGTCACCCTAACATACGTATCTTCAATGCCGTGCTGAGACAGGGCAGCAGCGGCTGACGACCGGTGGAGAGCATCGAATACATGTGACTCCTTATATTTGATGCCGTCCCCCGTTGACAAATGTTTAAGTATGTTGCTGGTGTTTCCACCTTTGCGTGTTATCATTGCTCCACAAACATTACACTTTTGTCGTCTTTCTTGGTAAAATTAAGCCACGCTTTAGCTCGTTTCTGCCTACTTTGCGGACCGTCTGCCATGTTTTTTTCTCGGTATCTGTTCCAGTTTGCATACACTGGCACTCGCGAGACTGTTTTTCAAGGCACCCGGAAGAAAGGAATCATTAAGGGAATCATTAGGATGAAATGTGAATGATGTCGATTTGAAACCGGTTCTCAACAAGAACTGGTTCTCGATTCCCATCCCTAGATGCAACATTGAGCAGTATGATCATAATCATGTTTGACTGATCAGTACCTGATTATCGGACACTGCTTCACACCTCCCATAGAGGCTTACAGTCTTAAAATGTTAGTTCAACAGTGAACAGTTGACTTACCTTGCTGTCACAGTTTAACCCTCTTCTCCTGGGTTTAACTCTCCAGCTGGCCACTTAACCTTCGAGTGTCGAAACTTTGTCCGCGTTGACCCGCAGAAGGACATTGTTCTGGATGTGAGCAGCACCAGCAGTGAAGAGAGTGAGGAGGAGGTAGCAACAACTCAGCGCAACGAGAAGCAGAAGCGAGGGGCCCAGCATCGCAGAGGTAAATATTAGGATCCCTATAAGCAGGTTTAAAAGAGTGCCGACTGATTGATCACGAAGAATGTTAAAAAAAGATGATCAGAGGTGTTTGAATTTGCTCCTCAAATAATTTCTACCTATTTGAAATATTTGATTGTTGCTGATTTTAATCTACAAGCTGCCCTTACTTCAGTTACAAGTGTTGAAACTGTTCTATCTTCATTTCCATAAAGGTGCCAATGATGATGATGGTGACAAAAAGAAGAAGCGCAGGCGAAAGAAAAGCAGAGACAGAATGTCAAGAAAGAGGTAATATTTTCAAATGTTCCTATTGCTTTGGCCACTAAGTACCAACTTTAATACTTGAATTGCAGACATATGAAATGGACACTTAATAAAAGATGTTCTTCCATCTACAGTACTTGTGGAAACCATAATTTCTCTGCAGATCTGAATTTACACAACTTCTCTTAAGCTACGTAGTGAAGCTGTTTAACTCCCCCTAAAAAAGTAGTGTTAAAAAATTTTGTTTGCTTTTAGCAGCACTTCATTTTTCCCTTCTATTTTTACCCCCTAGATCTGCTTCATTGTCAAGTGATGAGGTGACTACAAAGAAGAAAAAGAAACGCAGCAAATCCTCCTCTTCATCGGACGAGGAGGAAGGGAGGAAAAAGAAGAAGAAGGTAAAAGGCCACAAGAAGAAAAGCAAAAAGAACCACAGGGATCACGGGAAGAATCACAAGAAGAAGTCCAAGAAGAAGAAACAGGAGTCATCCTCCTCTTCCTCCTCCAGCTCCAGTGAATCCTCAGACAGTGACTGATACAAACACACTTTGGAGTGTCTGTTTATAACATTTGTTTGACAAAGACACGGTTGATCGTCGATAAGGCACCTCATCTTGCATCCATATGGTAATATGAAACTATTATAAAACCAGGGAACATGTTTTGATAAAGTGTTACTTTTTTCCACCTGCAGTCCTGCTGCCATGTCTGCATTGATACGTTGGTTTTGGTTTTGCTCTTAGACTTAGGTTTACAGTGTACAATTTTCTTAGACCATATGAACTTTTTCTCCATGTTTATTATTTTTTTTTACATATTTTAATTTGTCAATTATAAATTCTGACTTGGGTGACTTGGGTTTTGGTATGAAAACAATAACCCCAAGTGTCTGACAGTATCAGCAGTAATATAATGAAAGGCCATGTAAGCAGCCAAAAAGGGAGGTTGTAGCATTTTTGAGTATGTAGTTACTTGCTGGGATTGTATTACAGTACCATCACCTCCTTGCAAAGTCCCTGTGAGTCAAAAGTAGAGGTATCCAGTGATGTGACTACTTTTTCAAAGCGTAATTTCTGTTATATATCCACCTGCACCTCCTCAAAGCTGCCACAGCTTTTTCAAGAGTTTACTCCAAAACATTAATGTGTCTACATGTTAGGAAGAATCATTTGGTGTTTCCTCCTTTTGTGGTTCCCATTTTATTTTTGGAAATAAAATATATATTTGTATCAGAAAATTTCACCTTGAGTTAAGTTTATTAAATAACTCATATAGTAAACATTAGATGTAATATCGTGGGTGTGGGAATTACTCATGCAGGATGTAAACCTGCTTTTCTGTCACAGAAACTGCAGTGCAGCACTATGTCCTGTAGAGGGCAGCAGTGTACTTTTAAATGTCAAAGAATTTATGCAGCATCCCAAAGAAACAGATGACAAATCAGAAATTGAGACATTAAAGATCACTTACCCTATTGAAGCAAAATGCACTGCATCTCAAATGTAACAGAAAAAAAATCATATCTGTGGGTCAAACAGTCTGCACAAAATTAACCATGCTGTGACTTTACAGAAGGGAACCGTGTCATTATTTAGTCAGAACATTTCACATACTTTATGGAGGAACACTGTGATAATACTGAGTAGAACTGGTTGAGGATTTCAGTGCAGCAAGAAGCTGGTTCACCGTCATTTAAATGTCCTCAGTAAACTTAATGGGAACATTTAGATTTGATTGTTGCAGCAGCGTGAACTGTTATAAAAACAATCACTCTGCACCAAACACTCATTTTACATTATAGCTACTAAAGACCTTTTTTTATTTTTTAAAGTTGACAAACCCCCAAACTGTATCTGGCTGCCAACTTCTGTCTTATTTTTACTGTCTCTGACTTTGGAATAATCAGTTGGCAGACTTACAGAGAGGGAGGAAACATCTTAGAGTGTTACATAATACTGATACTTGATTGATTTGCCAAATTATCAAAGGTTCCTGAGTAATAACACCACTTGGCCCATGCAGTAGAAACAGAGGCACCTGTGTTGGACGTAAATCTGACTTGCAAAAGTAAGGATTTTGGAAGTAGGGGTGTGGTAATTTACAAATATTACCTGACATACACTGTATACATTAGTCTTCAGAGCATCAGCCACACGTTTCACAAAGACATAATCAAAACAGTTCATATTAAACTCGTTTTCAGATTGTCAGAGACAGAGCCACGGAGGACTAACTGAGCCACCTCCAAGGAAAACAATCCCATTACCTCCTCTTTCGACAGTATTACAACCTCCGGCTAATTCGTGAAACTGCAGAAAAAAGAAAAAAAATAGATCATCCCCAACCTTTTAAACTTAAGATTTTTGGAAGTCATTTTTTGGTAGATGTAGCTGTGTGACAGATGTTTATAAGTTTGCCGTTAATTTCACTTTGCCTGGGGGAAGGGGAGATCCTTTAAAACATCTGTCACATCCTGACAGCTACATGCATGGCTACTGAGCAAAATCTGGCATTGTGACAACATATTTTCTGCTTCTTTATCTCTCTGAGGACCTGAGGCTAGATTCCCCCTGAAAAATGAAATAAAATAATAAAAATCTTTCTCCTACTGGCAGCTAGTTGAGGTAATAACTTAGTAAATGAACTCTGGATGTTGGATTGAAATGTATTATGAATGCAGGGGGTAATGGGCGCTGTTTTCCACTCTAAATCCTAGTTCTACTCTGGTTCAGTCATTTCTGAGTAAAAAGAAAGGTCTAAAATGGTATTAGTTACCAGGGGGGAGATGAAATCTTCCAACATATTTAATCTGTGATGACATTCCAGTCATGTGAGTTATTATAGACATTAAGCTTGCTAACTTTTAGTAACTTGGTATTCTTGCACTTTCAAGCGTTAGATGTGCTTTAATAAATGTAAACAAAAAAGTTTCTTAACATTAATAAAGCCATGTTTGCTCACTGTGTTGATGACAAATATGACATCCAGTCAGCAGAGTCTGGCACCAAATCCTTGCTGGAGAATCCAGGTTGTTGCTCGTACTTGAGCAGGTGTTCACATGCATTTTCCATGGGATTGTGTTTTTCCAAGGTACCCAGCGCCACATTAATGTAGGTAAAGTGTAACCGTGATTCTTTTTTCTCTTTACTTATTCATAACAAATGAAATGAGAAACAATGTCATCAGCAAAAGTTCGTCAAACATTCAAAACATATAAGTAAAGCACACAGATAAAGACTGTATCAAGAGTATATGATTAAGGAAGGAGAGAGGTAGAAGTAGAAGATAGAGAAAGTGAAAATTATGAGATAAAAAGTCTATTATTTTAAGATTAAATATTATGACCATCTTGTGACTTCAATTTTTGAATCTCATAGCCCTTTATTGCCTTTTGTATCATTTTTGATACATACTTTTATAATTCTTCTATCTGATAATACAGGCTGATAAATGATAAAAACTTCCTCTTGTGGTTTTATCAGTTTCCAAAAACATCTACTGTATCAAACAAGATAAATATATTTGTTAAATTTTAAGGACCAAGTTTACCTTTTTTACCATTAATTTCATTTTGTTTTATCATATTTCATTCTATTTAGCAGAAATGATCTTCCTTACAGCTGAAATACCTCACGGAGCTTTGTAGTTTGGATGCTCGGTAATCTGTTGATAATGTCTGGAGGATCCAGCAGACGCACCGCGCGCGCTAAATTTTTTTGTTTTTTTGTAGGATGGTAGGGGAAAGTCCCGCCTCCTTCGCCTCTGATTGGCTAGAAAAGCTGGAAACGTCTTCAAATCCTCAAGCAAACGCGGGCTGTCGACTCTGTACATCAAACAGAACATTATCGCACTTCTGAATCGCCTGACCGTAAAACTAACCCTCAGCCTAATCCTAAATCTCACACTTATCCTAACCCTAACCTTAACCCGACAGGCGATTACGTTTTACAGTCACTAGGAATAACCAATCGGAGCCCAGCACTTCTAGCCAATCACAGGCGAAGAAGGGCGGGACCTTCCCCTACCATCCTACAAAATATATTCGCGGACCGCGCTCGCGCTCGGTTTACCTGTGGAGGAGTGAGAGAAAAGGTACACGTTTGCAGATTATATTACTGTCATGGCACAACCATTCATCCAACTGAGGGTAATTACCGTACAGAAACACAGTCAGTTTGAAAAAAGGTAACAGTTTTCCTTGTGTTAATTTAGTTTTACACCTGTGTTTAGTATGAGCTGAAGGCGCGTCAGCTAATGTTGTATGTAGCTAGCTAGCTAGTGAGACTTTGGGAGACAGGGAGACCTCATGGCAGCGCTGCGGTCCTCATCTGTTCAATACTCTGTCATGGTACACTTACTCTTGGTTACATCTGTGATATAGTAATGTTGGATGAATATGTTGATTTCTATGTTGACTTTGGGCATAGCTACAGTTCACTTGGCAGCTGCAATAAACAAGCAGATCTGGGAACATGTCCACCATTTCAGTGAAGTAGTTATTGACATTGTGTTATAAATAGTGCTGTCATTTTTAATCACATTAATAATAATGATAAATTAATCTGCATTAACATGTTAACTTTGACCACCCTAGTTTTAATATTAACTTTTCATGTGGATATAAATAAATATTAAATCCTTAAACTCCCCTAGTAGGGGAGAGTGGGGTCAGATGAGCCAAAAGGTAGGTTGAGCCACCCCCTGTTGCCTGGAAATAGTTTAAAAAATTGAACATGTGACCAAATATTTAGGAGATTTATTTATTTTTTTAAGTTTATCTGTGTCAAAAATGTCGTTGAGCATAAGATAATAAAAAATTCAACTGAGATGTCTGCAGTTTTCATTTAATGAACGCAATCTCCCTACTCTCTGTAGTGCCGTTGTGTGCGCAAATAGTGAATTGTGTCTGTTTCTGCTAGGTGGGGCGCAGTCGAGATGGCGAATGGCTGCGCGTGCATGTGCTTGTGCACACTGAAGTTTCGGCAGTGGGGCCTGAAGTTGAGGGCCCCAGAGCGCTTCTCAATGGCTGATCCGAAGAGAGATCGGGAACTACACAGGTCTCGCTAGCTTGGTGACCACAGTAACACATCTTGGCGAAGTCAACTCATCCATGGACTGATGGATTTTAACAGCAAGGTCACACGAAGGACTGCAGAGCGTCATTCCTCTTCAAAAAGTGATCCACATAGGTGAGTCTATTATTCTTCCTCAAGGAAGCTGTTCCCCTGTGTTTGGTGCTAAAATGGCTGTTAGGCTGTTGCATGTTGTGTGTGGTGGCTTTGTATATTGATTATGTGTATTGGGTGTGCGCCGTTCACGCCTTTGTGTTTTTATTAATGTCATGTTGTTTCGCTCTTGAGCATTTGATATTGTGAGGCCTTGAACACCACCATTTGGTGGTGCTATTGGTATGATAATATTTGTCGCTAGATTGACATTGTTTGTGTGATGGCATTATTCAGCTGCAGTTTTGTCGTCAAAGGTGCTGTGGTCGCCTCTCTCTCTTGCTGCTGTGTTTTTGTTGTTTTTCAATTTCCAGACCAAAATCGCCACTGTGCATGAGCAGGCCTCTTTCTCAGAATACACAGAACTATCACGAATATACAGATAAAGTAATTATAAAAAACAAGAGGGAATTCAATATCTGAATGTTTTGATTTATACATCATGCAGAGTCAGTGTAGTGCAACCCTCAACCCTGCTGCTGCAAAAATGAGATAATCAAGGGAATGCATTGACTCTCTGTGGTTGTAATGCTGACGGTACTTGTGAAATCTTAATACTTACATATTCACTAAACAAGTTTTGACAACCATTACCCTGAGTGTAAATGACAACATGACCATTTTTATTGGTTTGTGTAAATTTTATTTTTCCATTTCAGATTGCAAAACTTTTTCTAATATCCACAACATACTCGTTTTAATTTAAATTATATGTATACTTTTGATTTCCTTAAGCTCTAAAATGGTATATTTGGTAAAACTGTAGCAAAGTTGTGACAAAAGAAACTCAGAGTGCAGAAACTTCATAATCAACCAGATGGTAAGAGGACAACTGGAAACAGAGGAGCAAATGAAGTCGAGGTAGTGCGACCATGTGCAACCACACTGAGCAAACCATATGCTGTTTGCATAAGACAGCAACTAGATTTTTCTGCTTTTCCCAGCTCATTGACTTTTATTGAGCCTGTTGGGCTGAAGGAAAGCAGAAAGCAAATGGGATTCCACTGAGCCATCTAAATGAAAATGAGATGGTCAATGTCATCTTTTCAAGAGTTTGGCTGCGGAACGACAGCCATTCAGCTCTCATGTAAACATCTTCAAGGCACTGATCTTGAGTTTAGAAGAAATCCTTTTTGTGAAATGGCTGACCAGATTGACTGAGCCGTAGGGGGAAATGATCTCTCATCAAGATATGGTGTTTTTTTTTTCAATTGGTTTACGTAGCTGAAGAAGTGTAGTTTCAGGCTGGTGTGGGTGGCTTAGTTGCCTTCGCGCTGTTGTCTGTATTATAACCTGTCCAGCAACGCCTTGCATTACACTGAATCAGATTCATCCAACCAGCGAGTGACCCGGTGCAACCACAGTGTCCCATTGTAGATATAGTTAGATGCTTGGCCCAAAGGCACCTTAGTGAAAATACTCTTTAATGAGGACGGAGGATTCTGTTTTATCACTTAGCCTGTGACTTCAAACTTGCAACCTTTAAGTCATGAACCTACTTCTCTTAAACTTAAGATCGCCACAGCAGAGCATAACATCTTCCCAGAAATAAAATGAAAATCCCTTATGCTGCACTTTGGTGGGAACAACCCAAGCTGAGAGATGGCGCCGGTTTTTGCGTCTGTAACCACTGTTGAAATATTATTTCAGAGACAAGCTGTCCCTTCATCTCAGAGCGCAGTGAGCAGTGCACTTGAAAAACGCATTAAGGCCAAGAGGCAAGTTGGAGGCTATACGTTTGCTACCAACTTAGTCCCAGCATCTTACATTTCCTTCTTCTCTTCCTCTCCTGGCCCTGAAACCAACCCTAATGTTGTAAATGACCTCTAGGATAAATAGACAGCAGGCTGCATGACCCCAGCCATCAAAAACGGAGGCTGTAATGAATACTACATTGCTGTGCAGGAAGCGTGTTTAGACACTCTCCCAAAAACCTGCAGGGAAAGAAAACTAAAGGGGTGAGCGGGGTGAGTCTGTGTTCACCGCTCTCTCTTTGGTCAGAACCTTTTTTCCTCAGGTCTGTTATTACCGGCCTAGTTCCTGGGTTCCCATTCAGAGTGGAGCTTGTTCATGTAAACGCTGAGGTTTTGAGGCACCGCTGGACTGACTGGGTGGCTTTCAACAGGGAATTAGCACAGGGTCACATTGGATCAGGATCAGTAGGCCCTCGTGGGTTAACCTGTGTTGGAGCAGGCTGCTTGTGGAGGAGGTGGTGGTGAGGACAAGTTTCCTGGCTCAGGAATATGGGTCAGTCAGGACCCAAGGATATGTAGGCCTTGATGTCGTAAATCATGGATTCCTCTACATGCTTTTCTACCTTTCTAAATCATTTTATTTAACCAGCATTTTTCAGATGAGCATCAGCGAGGTAGGGCATCTTTACTAGATGACGGAGCTGGTCTTTTTATAGAGCTGTGCGGTACAGTACTGCTGTGCTCTAGTGACAGACAGAGCAATTTAATGCCTGAGAGAAGCTCCACTAATAGTGAGGGTCTCTTTTTTAATATAACTACATCTTTACAAGACGTTTTATGAAAACACAAAATCCACCTGTAGAAAATCACTAACGGAGACAGAATTAAGTCTCTTTTGTTCATGATATTGCCTGTTGCACCATGTAATGCAAAGACAAAAGTAAAGACAAACTAAAATCAAGTACTGCAGAAGAGGCGGTGTAAGTTTTGAGTGAGTGAAAGGTTTCACTCCCTGAACTTCTTGCTTATTATTGACGGTAT